GTCCCGGCCCCTCCCCTCCCCGGTGTGCCCGGTGCTCACGATCAGCAGCCGCCCCTCCCGGTCGTAGACATAGACCAGCTCGCTCCCAGTGGACAGGAAGATCTCCGCCCCGTGGCACAGGACGCGAGGCTTGCCCGCCGCCAGGCCCCCGAGCGGGCAGCAGAAGCCCGCCAGGTATTCGACCCGCGGCCTGGGGCCAGCCATCGTGGGATCGCCCTGGAGCCCGGCCACCGGCGGGGGCTCGGCCTCGCGGCGCGGGAGCCGGGGGGCGGGGCCCTGCGCTTTACGGCCGCCCAGGTCGTAGCGCGGCCTCCGCCTTACGGCGGGGCCGGGGGCGGGGCCGCTGCGCGCCGAGTCTCAGGGGAGTATTAGCGGGAGCCGGGCCCTCACGCCGCTGGGATAAAGCTGGCGCAGACAGAGCTGTATGGCAAAGGGCCAACGTCTTTAAAGCCAAACGCGGGAGGCACAAGGGCCTGGCCTCTTCACTCCTCTCCACTCGGGGACTCCACTGGACCCGCCCGAAGTCGAAGGGCTGGGCAGGCTCCCGAACCCGGTCTAGTACACCGGCTCCCCCAGGGCGGCGACCCGTCCGCTCCTAAAGCGACTGTCTAGCGTTTCGGGGTTGGGTCTGTTAAGTCCAGGAGGGGGCGGGTAGCGCCAGGTCTTGACACTTTCAGCCGGGGTCTCTTCCCTCTGAGCTACTGAGACACATCCATGCCTAAGCCGTCACCGGACACTGCCGCCTCTGAACCTAACATGGACAGAAGGGTTTCTTCCTTTAATGCTTGAACTGTCTGTGGGTGTGTTGGTTTGACTGGACAGTGGGGAAAAGGGGTGAGCCAGAGGAATTCTGGGTTGAGGGCAGAAGACCATAACGAAAATCACTGGTTAGGCCTTGGTAAGGGGGGGCAGGTACAGCTCACCAGTAGTCCATCCTGGTGGTCAGGGTAAAGACAGGGCAAGACACCTCTTCTCCCTAACCCTATCCTCCACGGCTTTGGGGAAAGATCTGATCAGATGGCCCAAGAGTTCTCTGAATAGAGACTGAGATCAGAGTGACACTGAAAGATGCCTGCAGTCAGTTACACTCTTCTCAAGGCCACACATCTATGAGTCAAAGAGGCATCTGCTGGGGTGTGGTCACACAGGCCAAGTTGAAGGGGCCCAGCAGCCAAGTGTTTTCTGGGCCTGAGTTAAGCTAACCTCACCAAGGCTGGTGTACCTACCAAAACAAGAAACCAGTGGCACAAGTTCTAATCCCCCTTGTTGAGGGTGGTGCTCAACCCTCAGGGCAGTGGACAGCCACTGTGCTTCTGGGTTGGACCCAGCATGAGTGCACCATCTGCAGTCTGTCCTTTGCCCTAAGACCAGCTCCTACTTGGCTTTTGGGATTCGAACTGAGGACATGGTCCTCTCAAGACACACCACTCTGAATTCCTCCTCTACCCGCCCTCCCTCCCCAACCCCCACCCCCGAGTGCAACATGTTCTTGGCTTGTGTTATGACCTCCAATCCTTGTGGGTGACATGCCCGTACCAATTTCTACTCTGGTCCTCCCAGACTTCCAACACCAAGGGAACTACACTGAGATTGTCCCAGAGAAAATGACCATATGGGCAAGTGGACTGTAAGATGGCTAAGCCAGCCAAGCCTCACCACCCTGTTTCGGCCCCGACTGGCCAGGCACTGTGAAGTTGTTCACTACTCTGCCCCACTCCCTTCGGCTCTGGGGGGCTAGCAGGCTCCTGGCCCAAACCCAGGCAAACCCCACACTCTGTGATACAAGGATTTATGACCATCAGTCTATCCTGAACAGCGAGGGGCCCCTGAATGCTGATCACCCTGGAGGGTACAGACATGAGCAAGGGGCTTAGCCAGCTCAGGGGTGATGCAGAGGCAGAGGCCCTTCATGTGGGTGTCCCTGGAAAGCCTGTGGCAGGAGGTGAGACAGCAAAGCATGCTGTGGGCAGTCAGTGGTCTCTATGCCACAAGTGGAGGCTGTATGTCTTCCAAGGACAAACTACTAACAGCACTGGGGGTGGGGAGGGACAGCATGTACAGGCAGTACCAATCACTTCTCATAGCAACATAGAATGCCAACATGTTGAACGTGCCAAGAAAGGGGTGGCAGGACCCTGAGTTCTATTTCCAAGCAGTACCCTCCATTTGCTTGATTTCGAGGGGAGTGGGATATTCCAGAATCTCATCACTTCATAGAACCAACAAGGTCAGCAGCCTGAGCTATGCAGAGGGGAGGACACTGCTAATAAAAGCAGGCAAACTCAGGGACAGGACTGGAGCTGCAAGCTGAGGCCACTCATCCCAGTCCAGAAGCTAAGCTGGGCCTGTCTTACCCTAGGGCCCCCTGGACATCAGTGGTAGGGATTCTTATATACATGTTCAAGGAGCAGTGAGTCAGTGGCCAAAGGAGAGAGTTGGCTGTGAGGTGTGTGTGAAGGCTGTCATTCGACAAGTAATTCAGGCCAAGCAGCATGTCCCCTCCAGGTCTTGCTCCCCCCGTGTCTGCAAGTTTGCGGGCTTCTGGGCTTTGTCCTTCACCTGCTGCCTGGCTGCCTGCACCTGACCCACCAAAGGCCAGGAGCAGCCACATGGCTGACGGTGGGAAGGGTGCAGGAAAGGCACAGAGGAGGCCAGGCTCTGCTCTTCCCGTGGACATCACGCTGGGAGCACAGGGCAGAGGAGCCTGGACAGGAAGGGGTCTCTATCCTTCATACTCTAAACACATCAGCAGACGACAGTGACGTGTGGAGAGGAACAGTTATCAAGTCACCCGACAAGGTAGGCAGGTCAAGGATCAGGGCAGGGAGAGGCCTCAGGGCCCAGGAAGGACAAACGGGGCGCTGGCAGTCGCTTCAGGTGCTTTTATTGGTTCACTTGCAGGGCTGGAATCCAGGCAATGCTACTGCAAACCCCAAGTGGGAGCACGGGGAGCAGACTGGTCAGTGGAGGCTGGGGACCTAGTCACCCTTCGCTGAGTTATGGTGCCTGGTGGCATGAGAGGGTGTGTCCACATGAGGGCAGGTAGGATGCAGGTGGGGCTGGGGGCCCCCTCCCTGTGTAAAAGGAGGATGGCTAAGCTGCCTGGGCCTGAGTCTGCTGGCAGGGTGCCCCCGCTCCTTTATGCTGACCGCTGACTGTCTTTGGACAATAAAGTGCATTACTGAACAGAGGACTCAAAACCAGATGCAGAGAAATCACAATACTTTTTCTTTAGCTAAAAGACAGAAGGAAATGAACTATGCAGATGCCAGAACTTCAGGGTGAGCAGGATATTGGTCGAAGAGAAGGTAAAGACCAGAACAAGTGGAGGAGGAACGGCGGGGGCCGTGAGGTCTGAGGTCAGCGCACTTCTGCTCCCCCTGCAGACTCACGTCTGATCAAAGGAGCAGGTGGCTTGGGCCAGAACGCACACCCAGCTTTCTGGCAGGCGGCCACAGATGAGCTGGGGAAACGGGGCTCTGCGCCTCGTGCCCCCTAGAATAGGCCCAACCCACTGGCCACTTGAGTGTCCTATGCCAGGTCAACCTGGAGGTGCCAGGCACACCCCTGCCACAAGTGAACACAACACCCAAGTGTGCTCTGTTCACAGGCCAAGGGCGAGGGAGGGTCACATAGATTTGCGTCCTGCCCTAGGACAGAGACATGAAGTCCTCAAGCAGCCTGTGTCTGGGTCCACCTCTCCTGGGGATGGGTGCAGTGCAGCTCAGAGATACGGGTTTTTTTTAAGGCAAAGAGGCATCAGGATGTCACAGCTCCTGGGGAAGGGCCAGACTGGAACCCAGCCGTAAAAGAAATGCAGGACCCTAGAGCACGTGCAAGGTCTGACCACAACCTTTGTCCTGGGATGGCCTGGACCCACACCTCAGCACAGTACCTACTTTCCCACGACCCAGCAGCAGCTCCACTGCCCTCTACATCCAGGTTCCTTACTCCCTGACCTGGCTTGTAATGTGGCCATGTCAGAGGCCAGGGTCTAGGCAGGACAACAGGAAGGAATGGTGTGGGGACAAAAGGGACCAGAGCTTCCGGCCCTGCCTGGGGCCACCCAGCTCACCCCACGCAGGCCTGGTAAAGTGTTGGCTGCCCGAGGGGCTGCCTGCTCAGTGGGGGACACCACCAGGCTCCTGCTCGGTCCTGGGTCTGCAGCTGTGCCAGCCGTGTGGCCTGGCAGGAAAGTCTCAGGCACTGAGGTTCATTTGTGAGGAGACCTGACTGTGGGTCCCCTGTCCACTCACCCAGGCTGCACACACCTCCAGGGACTCATTAAAGGAGGGACGAAGGTGGAAACTAGTCTCTCTCACTCCCCTTTTATGCAGTTTTTATCTTAAAAAAAAATAAATAAAAGTCTTCTGGGCAGGAATTACTGATTAACTGTTATTACAACCAAAGCAGACTTTAAAACCCCCCATGGACACTGGGTGGGAGCAGGAAAGGGCGGGCAGCAGATTCACCTGCAGAGCAGGCGGACGGGAGGCCATGAGCCTGTGGCCACGCATTTCCACTGCATGATGGCTACCGGAAGGGGAAGAGGTGGCCCTCACAGGCAGGGTCTACCCCAGAGCATCAGGGTACAGAGGTCACCAAGAGCTCCCGACCAAAAACATGGGAGGAGCAGGAACAAAAAGCATCCAAGGAAGGAAAAAAGAAAGCTGGATGGTGGCAGCGAGCCCTCCCACCCCCTCGATTCCAGGTGATGATTCAGAGGCACCTAGTCCTTCTACCACAGTGGGGGCTGCTGCGGGGCGGCCGGGTGAGGCCACACCGTGCCTCCACCACGAGACTGGTTTTAGCCTGCAGAGCACCAGCCTGGCTCCCTCTCTCCAGGGAAGCCTGGTGCTGAGAAACTTCCTGGGTCAAGAGACCCCAGGGCAGCTGCCCCCACCTTGCCTTCAGGGCTGCTGAGGTGGGGCACGGTCACAACAATCTCGGCTTCCGAGAGGGCTGGGGTGGGCCCATTCCGCCAGCAGGGCCCAGGAGCCCTAGGTCCTGGGGAGGCTGCACATTTCGCAGTGGCCGGTGCCTGGCTGGTTCATGAAGGTGCAGTGCTGACAGGCCCACATGGCGGACGAGGCGGCATGTGTGGAGCCCCCGACGGCTCCGTACTCTTGGAGGCCCGGAAGCTGCACACCAACTGTGCCTATGGGGCGGGAAGAGAAGCAGTATTCATCCATTCTGCACAGGAAAGCTGTCCCACCCGTCTGAGAGTTCTGTACGGCTGCTTTTCAGGACAGAGGTGGACTCGAAAAGCAACTTCCATGGGTGTGGACGAATGTGGCTTGAGAGCCCCCACCTTGGGTACGCTCTCACACACAGAACCCTCCTCGGGAAAGGTGCTTTCTGCTGAGCAGAAAGCTGCCGGCGGTGGCCACTCACGCACCTGCCCACTGCCCCCGCCCAGCTGCTGTGTCAGCGGCTCCTTCCTTTTCACTGCTGAGCAGCACTAAGTCACATGAAGAGCATCTCTGGTTATCTGTCTCCCTCCTGATGCACACTTGGGTCATTGCCAGTTTTAACCTATTGTGAATAAAGCTGCTATGAATATTCTTAACACAAACCTTAGTGTGGATCTGTGTTTACCTATCTCTTGGGCAGCAGTGGGCTGGCTGGGTCATCCTCACCAGGGCGTGGGAGAGCTCCAACTGCTCTGGGAGTGTGTGAGCACGCCATGCAGCCAGTGTCTGCATCTCAGTCACTCTCACAGCATGTAACGGTAGCTTATTTATTTATTTTAATGGTAGCTTATTTAATTTCCACTTTTCTGATGACTGATGGTGACCTTACTGAAGCTCTTTATGTGGAACATCTTCTACAGTTTATCTTCTCCTAGTCTGTGCCTTGCCTTTTCAAGTTTTTGACATTTCTTGATGAGCCCAAGTGTTTCATTCTGATAAAGTCCACCTGATCAATCTTTTTAGTCAGTGTTTTTCTCTATCCTACCTTCAAGGTCCTGAACATATTCAACTTTTTTTTTTTTAACATATATCTTTATAGTTGTAGATCTTACCATTAGGTCTATCAGCCTGTGATAGACCTAATGTCCCAGCCTGTGTTGATTTATTTATTTATTTATTTTTAATCTTTAGCTTCTCCTGTTGCAGCATACAGGCTCAGTAGCTGTGACTCGCCAGATCTAGAGCTCGTGGGCTTCAGTATTTGTGGCACACAGGCTGCTGCTCCACAGCATGTGCAATCTTCCTAAACCAGGGATTGAACCCTGTGTCCCCTGCACTGGCAGGCAGATTCTTAGCCACTGTACCACCAGGCAAGTCCTGTGTTGATATTTATATATGGGGTGTATTTTGGAAGTCCCAAGTTCACTTTACCCACACAGGTACCCATTTGCTTCGACATGTTTTCCTAAAAAGGGTATATCTCCTCAGGTAATCGTTCAGGTGCCTTGTTATCACCCAATTCTTAACTCTCCATCTGGCCCATCAGCCTATTTATTCTCATGCCAAGAGCACCCTGTTTTACCCATGGCAGCCTTACTATTGAAAACAGGCAGTCCATGTCCTCCAGCTTCATTTTTTGTTTTTAATATTTATTTGGCTGCAGCAGGTCTTAGTTGTGGCACATGGGGCCTTCGATTTTCATTGCAGCATACAGACTCTTTAGTTGCAGCATGCTAACTCTTAGCTACAACACGTGAGTTCTAGTTCTCTGACCACAGATTGAACTTGGACCCTCTGCCCTGGGAATGCAGAGTCTTAGCCACTGGATCACGAAGAAGTCTCCATTCTTCTTTTTTCATGATTGTTTTCTAGGCCCTCTGCAACCCCAGATAAATTTTAGAACTTTTCCCCCCTCCCTTCCCTTGCAAAATAAATATGTCTATGGGGAATGATGATTGAGATTATACCAATTAATTCTGGGAAAACTGACATCTTAGAAATATCTTGCCTTCCAGTCCAGAGCAATGGTATTTCTTTACCATCTATTTAGCTCTTCTTCTGGCAAAGTGTTAGCTTTCAGCAAAGAGCTCTTACATGGTATCGGTGGACTGTGTCACGAGATCTCTCATGTTCTGTGACTCTGCATCTGCAAAGGGTACTCCACTGCTAATTTATGTTACCAACCCCTGTGCAGTGAGCAGAGTTCTTTGAGTAGTGTATCTGTTGACAGCATTTGACAACCACACAGCACATTTTTGCAAAGTGACAGGCGCTTTCTAATAGAGGCTCCAGGCAGTGGGTCCAGACCATATCATCCTGCTGGTATGAGACTGATGCTTGGCACAGGTTTGGGTTTCTTCCCACCCTAAGTATGAGGCGTGGAGCCAATGGGACCCAGCTCCTATGGGGTCACTAGCTTTTCATTAGTTTCTAGTGAGAATGGCAAGGCATACCACATGCTCAGACTGAATCCTTTCCTGATCTAGTTTTCTTTTCTCCCAACTGGGCCAGTGCTTATCTAGGGAAAAAACCTCCTGGTCAAGACACCCTCCTTGCCCAGCTTTCCCATGTGCTCTTTCTGGAGCTCTCTTTTTGGAGAGAGCTCCAAACCACTAAAGCTGCTGCAGTCAATGTTTCTGTGTGAGGCATCTGAAGAATAACACCAGGGGCTGGGAGAGCCCAGTACGTAGAAGAGCTGAACCAGGAGCTGAGACCCTGGCCAGCACCTCACACTGTCCACCCAAGGACATGAAGCCATGGGCTTCGCTATAGGAATTTGGTGAAACAATGGGTCTTCTGTTTCAGAATGCGAGGACAAGAAGTAAATGGCATGTCCAGCCCTTTTACCGTTTGGCTGTCAGAATCATATAAAAAGAAACCTTAAACAGAAGAGCAACACGGTGAGTAAATACCAAGGCTCCTCAGCCCCTGAACTTCCGGGTACTCAGTGTAGAGAAAGTAAGAACCCCACTGGGCTCCCTGTGGCTTGGGTTCCACTGAGGGTTTCCTAACTCTGGCTCAAGCATCTGCCCTCCAGATTGAGAAACTGTTTAAACACTTTTTTATATGTACTTTCAGGTGTGCTTTCAGGGGGTACTGCAGTTTTTCTCAAAGCCACAGGGAAAAGGGCAGCCAGGGTCACCACCCTCTCGAGCTCTTGGCGAGGGTGCTGGGAGCGTGAGGGCAGCTCCCAAGGCTGATGAATGGAGGCTCTCACTCTGGAGACACAAGATCCCCTAATTCTATTCTTTCTTCTCCTCCTTCTCCACCAAGAATACTCTGAGGATTGATGGGGAAAGGGGAAAAGAAAACCCCGAGGAGCCCAAAAGCTCTCTGTACTCAGCACTTAGGTGAGTGTGAAATTCCTGTTCACCTAAAACAATGACTTTCAAACTACTCCTAAGATGCTTAAAGAATCATGTACAAAAATCCATGGAACTATGTACCCAAGATGTGTGGCCTTTACACATATGTTACAGTGATTAAAAACAGCTGTGGGCCCCAGCAAAGTTCTTCTGTCTGTGCTTGTTCCACTGCCCATGATGCCATCAGGATACATCTGGGGTCAGGCTGCCAGGGCCCAGGAAGAAGTATTGGGGCCTGAAGGGCAGGAGCCCGAGCCCTGGTCATGGGGGCTGCAGGAGGGGAGGACACTTACTGCAGAGCTGCTCGATGGTGGCCCACTGCTCAGACTTCTTCCAGGTCTGGGCAAGCTCCTCATTTCTGGTCCTCACGGCCTCCAGCAACAAGCTGATGCTGTCCTGCAAGAAGCCAGAAAGGAAGGTTCCAACTCATTTCACCGACAGTGGACAGACTTGCTCACAAGCTTTTCTTCCCCAAAATCAAGACACACTGAAGGGGGAATTTCGAAAATTTCCCAGGCTGTCACTATGAAATGCAAAACATCACACACTTAGTCTATAAAGACAAATGCTAAATTGAGCTAAAATGTAAATTCTTCCCAGAGAGCCCCAAGGTGACCACTGTGCTGCTCTCTCTCCTGAACTGACCACTCCACCCCCTAGGTAGTCACAGCTCACAGGCCTTCTCCTGAGGGCCTAGGCAGACGGGCAGGAGCCCCGTGGCCATGAGGCCCATCCTCATCCCTCTCACCTCCCTCAGTCCTCTGTCCTCATCACGTCTATATCTCAGTGCACTTTGCAACCTAGAACTCCAGGGTAAAAGTGCAGAGAACTAAATAGCTTTTATAATTAGAAACTTACAAAGCCTTCCAGGGCCTCTCAGGCAGTACCTTCAGAAAATGCTTCCTAACAGGTGACTGCAACAACAGCACACAGTTTCCAGTGAGAAGGCCCTAAGCTTTCACCACCTTCCCAACCAGACAGTCAGCAGCTGACCCTGGGACTGGAGCTACAGCTCTCTGGGCTAAACAGGGAAGGCAAACCTAGTGTGAAGCCTCAGGATGCCCAGTGTCAAGTAACACAAGTGAGTAGTTTGGACAAAAACAAACACAAGAAGATCAACCCAGCAGGACACAAAATAGCTACAGAAAATCAGCGGAAGGAAGGGGCTTCGCCCTTCTACTACATCTCCTTGTAGAAATGTTTCCTTGGGTCTCAGGCAGAAAAAGGGCCAAAGTAAAAGGACAGCCACGACACAACCCATGGAAGAGGCTTCCTGACTGGACCCGCTGCTCCTGTGCTGCTCAGAAAGAAGCTGCCATCTGTAACACTTCGCCCTCATCTCCCCACAAAGCATGTCTTAAAAATGCCAACTGTGCAGCTGTGTGCCCGGGGCCTGGATGCTGGCCAACCTTCTGGGCCAAGGCAATAAACCAGAGCTGATTCGGGAGAAGGGGAGATCAGGAAGAAGCAGAGGCTGGGATTCTCAAACTGTTCCAACAGGAATTTTTTAATTGTTGATCTCTAATGCTCCCCCTAGAAGGACACAGTTAAGTGGCCTCTGCATCCCATATGATTTATCCTCCGTCATGGAGGACAGACACTTTCAAACAAGCTATTCTAGTGCAAACTCTAAAACTGAGAAAGTCACCTATCAAGGCCCTTGTGCAAAGCTGCTCCCCACAGGACAGGTTAAGGGGGCCTCAGCTGCTCCGGTGCTGCCCAGAGTGCTCCAGTCTGAGGACAGGAAGCCCACCTGGCTCGTACCTGCAGAGGCATGACGTCGTTGGTGACCAGGAACAGCAGGAGGTGGAAATCCGAGATAGTGTCCAGGAACACAGATGAGGTGTTTTGGGACAGGTAGGTGGCCAGGCTGTGGAAATCCTAGAGGGCCAGGTATGCGGGGGTGGAGACAGACACAAGCACCCATTGGTCCCAGGTCAGAGTTGGAGGAGAGCCACTGTCCTACAAAAATGGGACTGAGCACATTGAGCGCTGAGGGATGGCCCACCCCCTCTCCTTCTAGAACCATTTACTGGGAGCCAGGGATAGAGGAACACGCAGCTGCAGAGGAAAACTTAGAGGAAAACGCTCTTAGTACATCTGACTTATGCAAAGGTTTTAGCAACATGTCTGTGAAACTGACCCAGATCTAAGACACATTCAAACTCACCTCTGGGGAGGAGTGGGAGTGGGAAGGGCCACTGTGGGGCTGCGAGAAGCCCCGTCTGTCCGGGTGCATTGTTGACCGGGCAGCAGAGTAGTGAGGAGCAGGAATTGGGGCAGAGGGATGGGGGGATTATATGACACTAACACTTTCAACAGGACTGAAGCAGGAGATTCAAGGGTGCTACCCCAGTCAGTGGCTCTGCTCCTCCACCAGCACCTGGCCAAGTGGGCAGTGAGGAAACCAAAGTATCAGAGAGGCCCTAGACACTAGTCACTGCTTCAGAAGAAACTCTCAATGCAGACATTCTTTAACCAGGCCCCTTTCTGCAGTGCCTGTGATCAACTTGGGATGGGTGTTCACAGGCCACTGACATGAGGACAAGGCAGTCAGAGCAGTTCTGACGGGTCTGATGTGCAGATGAGAGCCGAGGTGCCCAGGCCACATGAGGCCCCATGGCTCGGACGGGGCCAGAGAAACGTGGCAGAGTGACAAGGTAGGGGGCAGAGCCCACAACAAAGCAAGACACCGCCACAAAAGGCGGCACTTACCAACAATCAATAACCTTGCTGGGAGAGGACATGAAGTGACCGATAAAACAGGCCCCCTGAGAATGGTCCTTCTGGCAAATCCATAGGCCTGAGGACTTAGAGGGATTTGCCTCTATGCTCATCCACTGCCCCTGCCCTAGAGAGGGCTCATGCGATCAGCAGTATCTTAGAAAAAAGCCTAACCAGGCTTTGTCACAAGAACAAATGAGAGTCAGAAACCTTGATACTTTCTGGAAAAACAAGTGACACTAGATAAATAAGCAGCAGTGACTTTAAATTATGTTTCTAAAGACAAGGAGCTTACCTGGGTCTCACCCAATACATCCCGGTTTTCAATAGGAAATGGATTTTGTGAAATAGAAAAAGTGTAAACTGGATCCTTGGGGAAAGTTGTTGTGATCTAATGAACAAAAACACAAACCCATGACAAATTAATTGTGTCATAAACAGGGATGTGGGCCCTGAGCACACCAACCCTTGGAGTCCTGAGCTGCTCACAGCAGCAAAGTCCTAACTGTTCTACCCTGAAGGGAATGCTTAGTTCTTAGGACAGCCCCTAAATGAAAATTCTGAAACCGTGACTCTCAGAGGCAAATAAAGAATCATTTTTCATAGCTGGTGAGACTGTGGTACCTGTGGGCAGTTTCCTAACTCCGTCTCCACTGGGATGGCCCTTCAGCTCCTCTCCCACTGCTGAGGGGGTTAGAGGGTGGGCCATGGCAGAGAGCAGAGGCGTGAGTGCCATCTCAGGAGCCAACTCTGTTCCCACCACCATGTCTGGAGGGCAAGTGCAGAACCAGTTCCTGATGGTTTTGAAAGCCACCGTGCCCTCCAGCGAACTGGCTGAGCCCCCTTCCAATTCCCAGGCACCGCTCCATGGAGCCAGGGAATGACCAGGCAGGAAGAGAAGCAAGGCTGGGGAGATGCAGGGCATGGCTCTCCCCTGAAGATGGTTGGAGTCAGGAGCTCGTGTCCAAAGAGGAGCCGAAGCCCTGCAGTGCCTCAAATGTGCTTCAGAAACGAGAGGGCATTTAAAATTCAAAATCAATAGTAGCTACAGGGACAGTGGCAAATGTGCAAAAATCAATACAAATACAGTTTCTCATTCCTCCTGGCAGGTGACCCTCCCCACAAACGCACCCACGTGTGCGCCACAATCAGCCATCTTTTGGTTGACGCAGCTCTTCCTCTGCAGTATGACACTGGCAGCAGCAGATTACACCTCGTCCAGATTTAGCACAGCTATTCTGGTTCCTTTGGGACTATTTCTAAAGAATGAAAATGTGGCTCTGGCCTCTTTTCTGCATCAGTGAAAGCAGCGAGCTGTGCCAGGCTGGCTGGCTCAGGACCCGCTGTGCCTGTGCCAGCGCTGTGACAGTGAGCTGAGCCATCAGCAGCTCCTTCACTCAAGCACTGCTGGCCTTTTATGGATGACACCACGTGGCCTCAGGGCATAGGGTGTGAACTCAGCACAGTGCCAAGTCCTACTGTGAGGCCTCATTTGGTTCATCTGAGAGATACGGAGACCGGAGAGCCCATGCCTCCTAAGGCTACATGAGGATCAAGTGTGCCCAGACATGTGGAGCCCACAGAACAGGCAGCACACATGGGGCTCAGTCTCAGCTGCTGTCATGATTCTAGAGATGGCGGAGGGGCCACCTCACTGCAGAGACAAGGCCTGTGGCGGGCTCACACCCCTCCCTTTGGAAGGCAGATAAAGGAGTGGACTGGCAACAACAGAAGACCCACTAGTAAGTAAATGTGGAATTAAGGGAAGTATTTGTTAGACCTGTAACTGCCCCTTGGAGAACTTCAGAGCCAAGTTCACACAGCAGTCTGACTATCCCAGAAGCCCAGGGAAGAGGATGCAGGGTGTCAAGCACTTAATTTTGTGCTCAAAGCCTCTCCCCACCCAGCCTGCCTGGCTCACCCCCCCACATGCAGAGCACCTCCACAGAAGGCCCGAACGGCCACCTGGTCACGAGGCTTATTTAAAGTCGTTCAATGTGCTGATCAGGTGGGGGTCTGGGCCTGGGTGAGGAGTGAGCACACCTGTTTGGGCACCTGCTCCAACCTCCTTCCACAGAAGAGAGCACTTGAGTATCACAGGGTGGAATGCTTCCTCTTCAACCAAATGCTACTGCAACAGCACTAAGGCAAGAGCTTAGCTCCTTCGTGAAAGGAAACGGGTGGGAAGGCCACTGGGAAAGAAGATCTCAGGAAGCTGGCTTTAAATCAGGTAGACTCCTCCTAAGTGTATGCTCCATCAATCTGTTTTCATTTTAATTACACCCTAGGTAGTCTAAAAAGCAGATGCCTTTATGGCCTAGGTAATAAATATGTTCTCGGGAGCTGTCAGTTGGAATGGAGCATTGGCGGGCTCGGCTCACAGGGACCCACTGCTCCAAATGCAATGATACTTTACAGCCTGAATCACATGCCCGTCCTAGTCCAAATGCGGCCTGAATTCATCCTGGCAGGCAGCAGTTAGGAAATGAGCCACCTCCCGTACCCTGTGGACAGAGCGCTGACTGCAGCAAATGCATCAGGCTCTGGTCCTGCAGCATGCGCTGCCCTCTGCATACGACCACATCTCCGTGAGCGGAGCATGCCTCCAGAAAGGAGCCGAGGCTTGGGGAAGGTGTGCCAGTAGCAGGTGCTTTCTTGGCTCCTCGAGTGCCCTCCCAGAGACCATGCTGTCCCTTCACTCAAGGGCAGAGTCATGGCTGTATGCCCTAAGGGCTGACTTGCAGCAGCCCACCATGAGCCTTGCTGTGGCAGCTGCTGTGGCCAGGGCAGAACCCGCACACAGAGCCAGGGAGAGGCTCACTGACCTCTGGGGCTGCTTGGCCTAGTCACTGGTCCTCTGCTGCACTGTAGGTTGGGAGAAATTAACCCCTTAAATTGGTTTTAAGGAAATAAAAAATGAAAAGCCCTTAAGGTTTCTAGCTTTTCAGGGCTGCCGGGAGCTCAGTGACTCAAACATCTCTGGGTGGCTATCCTGTGCAGGCAGAGGGGCTGGTGTTCAAGCGGCGCCCTCTCAAGGCCTCCCCCAGCCGTCCTGACCTCCGCGGGGAGATGACACACACTTACGTCTATGATCAGATACTCCACAGGCAGGGGGCGGGCCAGCTGGGTGATCTCATTGCCAAACTTGTCTATGTCCTGAAACAGGAGACAAAGGTCCAGGGTGTGAGTGCTAACCTGTGATGGGTTTTCCGTCCACATGCTTGCCTCACTCCTTAAATTACTACAATTCCTGCTGAAGTGTATGAAAAGCAGAGAGGAAAATGTGCACATTTTTGCAATGACTCCACCTTCCACCATTTCTTGGAGGCCACGACCCAAGAAAGTAGACTTGCTCTTGGCCACAAGGGTCTCCGCCCCCCAGCCTGCTGCTGAAGCTCTGGGAGACAGACCCCAGCTCCCTTGAGGACAGGTTCCTAGAAACAATCCCCCTCAAGCCGCATCTGTGCCCCTTCCTTCTCTATAAGCTCTCCCAGTCTCACACCTGAATGCAAACTCTTAACAACCTCCCTCACACCTTTGAAAACCCAACTTCATGGAAACTTAATCCTTACACGTTAACAAAATAAACACACACACACACACACACACACACACGTACACATACTACTACACAAACATGAAAACCCCACCACCAATCTGTCAAAGTCTAAACTTGTTTTGCTTTGTCAGATGCACGGAACATAAAGTTTAATTATGGGGAAAAATGGCCAGCATATGTTCATTAATCATAAAATGACAATTAGATCTGATTTATGTCAAACATGCTGAGTTCAAACAGAGCTCTCGAAATAAATTTCATAAGAACTAACGCTTTTCATTAAAGATTCTGCGAGAGGATCATATTTTCTATCTAACTCATCACTTAACATTATATAAATCATTCATTGAGTCATATAAATTATACATCCATAATTTCCAATTATGGGACCTTATATAAAAGTTTATGTTTATTAAGGCTCTCAGACCTTAATGGATGCCAAGCAGACCTCCCTGGGGCACGCAGGTGACGCAGTGCCACCCCGGCACATCACACCTTTTGGGGATGTCAGAGGCCCATGCCGTCTTTTGAGACAACATTCACAGACGTTAAACCAAGTCTGTTATCCTAACGAGAAGTCTAGAGGCTCCAAGCGGCCCTGCTCCTTTTTTTTCTTCCCCAGATATTGAACTCTTTGGTCCACAGCACATCTCAGATTACCCACACCTTCCCTACCTTTTCTCGGTTCACAACCCAGAGAGCTGCTAGCAAGCACGTGCCCCTCTGCCCTTCCAGAAAATGGTTCAAATACATCTAAGCAAACACAACTAGCCAGCCACACAGGGAGTAAGAACACCAGCAGAGGACAGGTTCCTGGAAACAATGCCCATTCTGTCTGCCCTCCTCGGAGGCTGGAATCCTGTCCCTTCCACCTGGGCAAGAGTCCTTGGTCATTCCGCATGCTCACTGCTGCAGCATATAGAGGAGGCCTGGCTTTCTGTGGCTCTACCAGCTTTGACACTGGCAGCCCAAGATATGAGGCTTGCTGAATGGGTCCTGGGCCCCAAAAGTGGAAGTTTTTCAATGGAGGAAACATGGTAGGAGGCGGGAATCAAACTCAATCAAACTACATCACCATTTCCAAAAATACATGCTTGCCCCTACAAGAAACAACCTGCAACAACTCACACATAATTAGCCCGTCTGGAATTCATCTTCAAATCTAATTAAGCTCTAATATGCAGAGACATTTTCACAGCACCTGTTCGCTTTAATCTTCCCCTCTAGGGATGTTTCTTGCTAAATGCCCCCCTCTCTTTTTTTTGTGTCATGCTATTCTCTTTCAAATTTAACTACCCCACTGTACCCTTATGCTCCCAAAGAAAATAAAGGTGCTGCATCCCCATCTCTTCCCTGGAGGAAAAGCAGGTACCTTCTATCTCTCCCCCATGCTTTCATTCAAATGTTTTTGCCAGCCAAGCCCTAGCCCCACATACCATTTTAAAAGGCAATTACTTTTTATGGGCGTTAGCAAATGTCAGGCAGAATACACTAGGAGAAAGACATCTTAATTCTAAGTTTGGCAGCCACCAAAGTGTCAGCAGTTTTATCTCCACCTGGAGCAAGACACTGGGAGAGTCAGAAATCGAGGTCCCTGACGCCTCGCTACCTGCCATCGGTCATGTCTAGAAATGTCAACGAGAAATCCAGGGATCTCTGTCTTTGTTAGCTCAGAGCCAAGCAGGCTTTGTGCCAGGACAACAGCAAAGTTCACTGACTGGGTGGCACCAGCTTGCTTTGGAAAAGGTGAATGAAATCCTTAATGTATTGCTTTTCTCCTTAAAGAACTGGCAAGAAGACAAAAAGTGATACTAGCAGATTGATCTGAGACTTTGCAGGATAAAGTAAGAAAAAACAACATTCTCAGGACAAAGTCTCTTAAAGAATCACCATTTAGGAAACAGTCCAGTTGATAAGCACCTAAAGAGCATGTCCAGCTCCATTTCCACCCTCGTGGGGATCTGACCACAGACTTGTCATCTCCAGCTCAACGGAAAGAATGAAAGCGAAGCTCAGAGGTCTCAAGAGACCACAAAATCCTTCTCCCTAGACTGGGATGTTATACTCGTATGTTGTTGTTCAGTTTCTTCTCTTGCTGGCAATTTCTTGGTTCCTTGATACATTTTCCTGAATAATGCTGGAGGCAAACAATCTCCTGTGATGAAAACATTCGTTTAGAATTTCCTGGTAGTCCAGTTGTTAGGACTTGGTGCTTTCACTGCCAGGACTCAGATTCAATCCCTAGTTGTGGAACTAAGATCCTGCAAGCCAAGCGGCACAGCCAAAAATAAAAGAAAATTTTAAAAATAAATAGGCAAAAAATAAAACATTTGCTTAAAAAAGTTGAATAGTGCAGAGTCTTGCCCTAACAAATATAAAACTGTATTATGAAACTAAAATAAATAAATAATGGATGAACATTACAAATCTGAATGCAAAATTAAATCAAAAAGCACTAAAAGAAAATATAAGTAAATAGATAGCTTTAAGTAAAGAATTATTTTCTAAGTATGATGATAAAAGCAGGAATTACAATGAATAAAGTTAAAGGTATCTCTGAATCAGAAAATGTTAGAACTTCCTTTGTATGTAAAGAAATGATATATATGACAAAGGGTTTACATATAAAGACCCCTCATAAACAAATGCAAAAATGATGAATCGCCTTACAAATATCTTAGGGCACAGAGAAGCAATTCACACAGAAAACAGCAATGCACACAAGAGACCTGGGACAGAGTGAGTGCAGAGCATGGAGTCCCAAAAGCAGGGCCCTGGCAGGCGAGCGGACGAGAGCACAGGGCTGGTCCGCAGCACAGCCTGCTGTAGCCTTCTCAGGGGAACTTTGGGAGACCACATGACACCCCTGAAATATAGGTTAACCTTTGACAAAACGCTGGTGGTTTGCTCGGAATGCCCCAAGTAACTCAGCACACACACGGAGTGAGCTCTGGATGAGTCACAAAGAATGGCTAGTCAGTGCCAGATGCTAGGACAAACCATTGTTGGGCTGAGGACAGGTGGGTAAATGATGGGTGGGACAGAGAGGACTCCACAGGCCCCCAGAGAGCGCCGGTCCCCTCCACAGCCACTACACCCCATCCACCTGTGTGCTCGTTCCTCCCCACCGCAGCCACCTGTCAGCAATTCCAGATCGTCATCACTGAGGCCACAGCTCCCTCATGCCGGGAGAACCCACCTTGCCACCCTCCTGCCTGGGCAGCCACCTAAGAGCAGCATTCCCTGGGGTCTCTAAGACCCTCCTTGTCCACTGAACATCCACCTTCTCTCTTCTACTTCCAGGGCTTTAATCTGGGGTGTCTCAGCACATAACCCTGAAGAGGCACTCTTGGCTGGCACCTCTCACCTTCCTTCCTGTCCCACTGCATCCAACTTCAAAACACGGGCACTGGCACACCCTCCCACAGCCTCCTCTCACCACTACTCATCAAGGTTTATAGCTCCAGCACCTACCACTCACCCAAACCAGAGACCCACTTCCTTCTTGGCCTCCCTGTGCAAGGCCCACACGGCTCTCATCTCCAGAACACCCTCGCCATCCCCAAAGGTCATGTCACCTGGACTGCGGCACCAGCATTCTCCCCAGTGGGCCCCGGACTCTGAACCCAGAATGAATCCCCCACACCAGGTGCTCCCTCCCCACAGCATGGCCTTCAGCTCTTCCTGCCACACCTCACATTGCAGGCCCGCCTCACGTCTCTCTCCAGCTGCCCCTCCTGGATCAGCCACTGATCAGCATCTGACACTCAGGTTGCTACAGTGGCCTCCTGCCTCCAGATCCCTCTTCTTGCCACACCCAGCAAGAATGTTCCAGAACCACCTTCCATCTTTCTTTCTGTGGCTTCTCACTGCACACCAGCCATCATATGCACACCCCAGCTAGACTGAATCTGGGTCCCCTGGATGCACCACGCCCTATGGATGCGTGACCCCCAAATGGGTTTCCTCCCCACCTGGCTAACTTCCTTGCCATACCAGACACCTCAACAGCCATCAACACACCGCCCAGGAGGAAAGGACGAGTGTGACATGCTCACCACTACAGCCCCAGGACCTAGCGAGGCACCCGGCACTCTAGCCATGACTGGACTGAATGCAGAGGCTACAGTTCCATGGGTGAGGCCTTGTCAACATCCACACATCCACGTGAGCCTGGGGGTGCTGGAAGGAGAGTGAAGGCAGGTGCTGGGGTGTTGAGTTTCTCATTAACCTGTAAAGTCTAATTTTCTTAACACACACATGTTTGAGTTCACGTTAATAACATGCTCTGTGAGAAGGCTTGCACCCCTGAGGCACACACAACCTCCACCTCAATATCCTGCTGCCCACCCCTGAGCATCCCCTCGCCAGCTGCCGAGCTCCTCGCTCCTCTATGTGCATCTCTCCCCACCGTGACAGGGGGTGCTCCCTGGCCATTCTTCACTGGTGCCACAGAGCTTTCCAGGGCAAACAGATCAGAGCTGCAGACAAAGGTGGACCCTCAAGCTTTCCAGCCTTGTCCTCTGTGTGAAAGCACATACAAATGTGTGTACATACGTGCACCAACATCTACAGGAATCGGGTTTTTACTATACATACAGATACAGTTTATTTTTTAAATATATTTATTTACTGAGCTGTGCCAGGTCTTAGTTGTGGCATGTGGGATCTAGTTCCCTGACCAGGGATCGAGCCCAGGCCCCCTGCATAGAGAGCACAGAGTCTTAGCTGCTGGACCACCAGAGAAGTCCCATACAGATACATTTTAAATTTTACATCATGAGTTTTATCGCGTATCTTTTTTTTTTATCACATATCTTCACATAATTTTCAAACACACATTTTTAGTGACCACAGAATATCCCACCATATAGATGTATTATAATTTAATGTTCCCGTTACTAGACTTTTAGATTGCTTTAAGTTTTTGTTACCACAGATAACACTATGATGAACAGCCTTAGACAAACACGGGTATGTGTCCTGTTTACAAGGTATATTTTAAATCAACCCCAAAGCCCACAGGAGGACTAAAAGGATTACTTAAATGTTTGCTCTCATAGGCCTCTTTGCTCAAACTGATATTTTCCTGAAATGTATGAGAAATGAGTGTCTCAACTCCTACAGGGCTATAAACAATTCTGAGAAGCCTTTCTAGCCTGCTCTCACTAACGGGCAAGTAAGCAATCTAAGAAAACAGCAGCATGATTAAGGAAATAATATGTTCCGTGACAAAAGGGAGCTCTCTTCTTAAGGGGAGGAAAACTTACAACAAGACATGGAAATAAAAAGCAAATCTCCACCATGATAAAGGGTCCAAAGAAACAAAACACAAAAAAGCCCCACAGCAAACTCACAGTTAATGATGAAATCCTGAAAACACATCTTTTACGATTAAAAACCAGACAAAAGCACTGGTTACTCAACACTTCCAGAAGCCCTAGCCAGCAGGAGGAGCCAAAACGAAGGGAAGAATCATCACTCCTGCATAATGTAGAGAATCCAGAACACATGTACAAATTAGAGGAACAAGTAACAGAGAGCTGAACTGCCAAGCCAGTGCTTACTGCAGTATGCAGAAACTATAAAGTACCTAAGAACAACTTAACAAACAATGGACAGAACCTTCTTGGAAAAAAAATCCGAACTTTCTGAGAGATGTCAAAGTTATCGTTCGTGTGTGTGTGTGTGTGTGTGTGTGTGTGAGAGAGAGAGAGACAGAGAGAGAGAGAGAGAGAGAGAGAAGAGAGAAAGAGAGAGAGAGAATCACATCTGGGTGAGGCCTGCAGGCTGGTCCTGAATTCTAAGAAGGGGAGGGTCAGAACAGTCCGGGCTCGGAGATAAGCAGGGTAGGGCCACAACAGATCAGGGAAGAGTGAAGTTACAGTGACTTGGACAGCACAGTACTGGTGCTGGCTGAGCAACACCAGCCACGGGATGGAAGGGAGGACAGAGGTGAGGCCACGATCATGGGGACGACTGGTAATGGAGAAGCACCACAGATCAGCAGAGAAAGACAGTTTTCCCAATAAATGGTGTTCAGACAGAATATGGCTACAATAAATTAAGAAGAAAACTGGGCCCCTACCTTGGAACACACATTTGAAGCAATCCTAGGTGGACTTAAAACTCAAAACCACCAACCTTAGAGAAAACAAGATAACAGATTTTCTTTATGATTCAAAATGCCAAACCATAGAAAGCTGACTACATGGAAATGTAAGCTTTCTGCTTCAATGACACCACGGGAGAGAAGAGGCGGAGATGCCACACTCCTGACATGGTCAGAGTCAGGGAGAAAAATGAACCACCCAGCGAGGAACAGGAAACAAATACAACCAGCACATCACAGGAGACAGGAGGGAGCCAACAAATGAAGAAAAAGGAGCCTGGCCTCACTTATGATCAGGATGGACATTTACGGCTCAAGAAAATGCCCCATGGATGTCTGAATGGTGAGCAGGACTTGGGCCCGAAGCTGAGTACGGTGCTTCGCGTGGCATTCTGCTCACAGTGGACTCGTGCCAAGGCAACACAATGGCCACACACAGGGAGGTCTCAGGCTGCTCCAGAGTAAGGGAACAAGGCCTAGCTCGGAGGACACAAGAGAACAGTTTTGGGTCTACTGTGTGCAGCAACATGTAAAACTCAAAATACCTAGTTTAGGAAAACATACATAGGAGGTAAAACTAGAAGAAAATCAAGGAAGTCATACTGTACTCCTTCTGGAAGCAGACAGGAAGACCCAGCAATTTCAGAGGCCATAGGAATATTCTGGTTCTTAATTCTGGGGATTGGTATTTCTGCTTTTTTTTATTTCTTAAACATGTTTTATAAATAATCTCTCATATCTACTCAGTATTTAATTTTTAAAATTCTGGGGAAAAAAAAAAAAGAGATGGTAGCCTGATGACCTTGGAGCAATGTGTCCACACACACTGAGCACGCCGGGCTTCACAGGTCTTTGCAGCTAATAGGGAACAGCTTTCCACGAGGACACCAGACCCCATCACTGCCCCCAGACTGGCAAGCTGTCCCCAAAAGGCTTAGGAATGCAACTAGCAGGACCACCAGGTCTTAGGGTCTAAAAGTGAGTCATTCTGCATTCCGAAACGCGCCAGACAGACACATATCTTATAAGACAGGAACTTTTGGGGAGAAGATCAAACTTTCACAGTGGTTCCCAGCATGGTGTGATTTTGATGTGTGAATGTTTAATAATGGTTTAAAATATTTATTCAGAGTACCTGATGCACACAGAATTTGTGTACGGGCAAAATCTGGGTTATCAAGCCAGAAATTGTTACTGAACACCACAGGAGAGAAGAGACAACAGATCTCTTAAGACTCTTGGAAATGTTTACTTTCAAGAATGATATGGAGAACCCTTTCCCAGAGCTCCTTACTGTCCCACAAATCTGACGGGATGCCTGAGCGAGCTATATCACAGGCCAGCCTCACTGTATCTCTCCACTGCCACCAGCTGAAAGGAGCAGATACAGCATCGAGGCCTTCCTGCTCCGTGAGCGTTTCTTGACAGGCTGCTACAGAGCAAAGACAGGTTGCTTGTTACCATACTGACCTGGCCTTTCTGGCACAGTGATGGTCCCTGCCCCCACTACCCTCAGACCATGCAGAAGCTCAGATTCAGAAGTAGAAGACAGACCTTCATTCCAAAGAGCTGAGGAGGAGACCAGCGGCAGGGACAAGACATTCAGGCCCTCGCACTTTTCCTTTGCACATCACCCACTGCCACAGATGTCCACAGCAGGAAAGATCCAGTTTCAGACAGTCTCAGCCCTGTTTCAAATCCCTGAGGAGGTGAAGTCTTTGTCACAATCACGTAGTGTCTAGCCTTCAAGTTACCACCAGGATGAGGCCCTGGAGCCCCTCAGCTCTGGGCACTTTCCTGGGTGTCTGACATGCCCCACAGGTAGTAGGGTGTGTCCTTAACACGAATGCTATTCAGCAATGAAAAGAATGAAGCACTGCAGACTGCAGGCATGGATGAACCATGAGATACTGTAAGTGGTGAAAAGTCAAGTCACAAAAGACCACACACTGTAGGATTCCATCAAGGAAACCAGAGAAAGCAAATCAATGGTTGTCAGGAGTTGGGAGGACTGGTGTGTAATTGCTAAGCGATGCAGGGCTTCTTTTTTGGGGACAAAACTGTTCTAAAATTAGATAGTGGTGATGGCTACGCAACCCTGCAAATATCCTAAGAGCCCCTGAGATGGGCACTTCAAATCAGTGAAGTGTGTGATGTGCAAACTGTATCTCAATAAAGCTATTTAAAAATACAGCCTTGTTGAACAATAAGAACAACAAAACAATGACTAGACACTGTTTAGTGTCTAGTCACTGCACACACTGATACAAAAAAGAATGCTGAAAGAATCAAATCAGTTTAAAGAAACTGGATCATCACTCTTTATGGGCTTTCACTGCTTGCCTATTTTTGGTTCCAGGTCCCTCTGCCAGCAAATCTTTGTGGCCTAAGTGCAGTGAGACCACGAGCAGAACTGTGAATCTAGAACTCGTCACACAGTGAAAACATCCTTCAGCAATGGAGATGAAGTACTTCTCAGACATACGAAAGCAGCCTGCACCACAAGAAATAAAGGCTCCTCCAGGAAGAGCAGTGCCAGATAGAGACCGAAGTCTGCCCGGGACGGGGAACAGGCAGGGTGCCAGACTGTGACCAGGAACAGCTCCCACAAGGAGGATGGGAACCAGGTCACTAGCCCCCAGGGAAGCACCCAACGCTGACTGTCCAAACCAGATCACAGCTTTCTTTCTTTTTTGGGAGGGGGGAGGGGTGTGGCACGCCATATAGCATGCAGGACCTCAGTTCCCGGACCAGGATGGAACCCATGTCCCCTGTAGTGGAAGCCCAGAGTCTTAATCACTGGACTGCCAGGGAAGTCTCCACAGTTTTCAATAAAAGTCATTTTTACAGCTTTCACAGGAAACAGATTTAGAAATGGATGACTGGGTCTCCTTAGGAGAGCCTCACTTCTGCCAGGCAGCTCCAACCTTCACTCCTGCTGAGGCCCACAGGCACCAATTCTCCTTTTCAGAAACTGAAACAGTCTGTGCTGCAATGGTCTCACTTGTTATGCACCCCAACCCCAGTGCGCAGCATCCCCACTTTTGCTTATAAGCCCTAACACCACACAAGCCTGCATAGTTAACAAAAGCCCTGGAAATGCTACAGATCCCTTATCCACAAGCTGGCCTCTAGATGACCATGGTGGACCCATGGCCAGAATGCACCAAACTTAGTAACGTCCAGGACAGGTCAGCGTCCGCACTGCTCTCCATCCACCTCTCTCTTCTGGCACCATCGCGTTTTTACCTTATAAAACACATCGGGCACGTACTGCTCGCTGCTGGACTCCTTGGCATAGCCGAGCTCGGGGGCGTCCTTGCAAGGCAGCAGACACTCATCTCGGACCAGCGCCATGCACTGATTGGACACCTGGTACCCTTCAAAGTGGACCTGGTTGTCAGGGCCACCTGCAAGAGAAAGACCTTCAGTGAGAAGCCACGGGAGGATGCTCAAAACAAGTGTCATTCTTCATCTCGGATCTGCAGAACCAACTCCTGTGTATGTGTCTTCGCTAGAATAAAAAACGTTCGACTGCAGCTTCACGAGAGCTGTGGGCACAAAGCCTTGGACACAGGCTGTGGAAATGCCACTGCACCTCCTCAAACAGGCCCACCAGCAACATGCTCTCTTAGAACTGGAGGCATGACTGTTAAACCTTCTCTAACACCCATCCAAAAGCACGCTTGGGCTCCTGGATTTTAGTAACACAGGGATGTGAACAACAGAGTCCCATGTTCCAGCAAATTTCATTCTTGAGTGAATGCAGAGAGACGGATGGAAGTGAACGGGAGAAGACAGAAACTTTTCCCAGCAAATACAATGCGAGTTATCTGCACAGTGCAGAGGGCAGCCCTGACCTCAGACACCTGGACAGCCGGCATATCTGGGAGGCAGACGGGGATCCTGCCACAGCACTTAGGAGGCCACGCTCCCTGCACCGAGCCCTGCCCTGCACTCTAACCTTTCTCAGGTCCTACTCCAAAGAAACCTGCAGCAGGGTTAGTTTGAGATGAGGGTAAAACCCACAGAGGTCAGGTAGGACCAACCATTCTGCCATCTTCCTCCCCTCCAGAATCAGGGTCACACTTTGACAACTGTGATAGCTTTGGAGAATTTTTTAAAAAAAGCTCTTAACATCTCTAACTTAGTTTCTTTTATAAAAGCAGAGTAAGGTACCGATCAAAGAACAGGTGTTTTATGTGTCTGGCTTGCAAACATTTACCAGAAGGCAGACATGATGGCCAAGCAATCAAACACGTAAAGGATGGGGCACAGCCAGCCTCCAAGGGACAAGCAGGGGCTGGTGTCGACTTGACTCTGCACACCAGAGGCTAATAGCAGCTGGTTTCCAAATGCTGCATCACACTGGGCTCCGAGGCTGGTGGACATCCAAGCCTAGCATCTCCTCTCTGACCCTTGACTCTCACACTTGGTGTGGGGCGGGGGAGGCCTGGGCAATGACAGCTAACTAATGTCAAGGGAACAAACACAAGGCACATGACCCTCCAGTGCAATCCAGGGAATGAATGTCACAGCTCCATTAGTGATCTCTGACACTTTGGATAACCACTGTCCATCGCCACCGCCCGGGAAAGGGAGAGAAATTATGCATCTGAGCATCTCACAGCACTACCAAGGACAACTCAGCCCAGATCTGAAAGGACTCTAACTGAAGATTTTATTATAAAGATTTATTACCTTACAGTTTTAAAACCTGTCAGTAAAGTGCCAATTTCAGAGGCAAAAATTCCACGGACAATCTGTAATTTCCAAATTCCCAACAACAGGTATGACTCAATAACTGAAAGTACAGGCAGCTCCTGAGTTGCAAACTATTTATAATTCTAAACATGTACCAGTTCTTTGGGCTCATCAAATAATTCCCCATAGAAACAGTAATTAAAGGGGTTAGGTTACCATGGGAGCCCATGGAAGCCTAAAACAACAGTGCTCATGAGGAGCAGTTCTGAAAACCTGTGGAGGTGATTTTTGTTTTTCTTAACGAAGTGGGGCAGGGTGGGGCAAGAGCTGCAAGTTTTAGCAGGCTAGAGTCAAAGGTGCGGGACGTCCTGCTGTGTTCAGGGGAGTCCCTCACGACAAAGAACCGCTCTACATCACACCTGGCCTTGAAATGTCCTGTGCACACTCCTGTAGGCAAAACCTGTATTTGGGGGACCTGGGATTAGAATCAATTGCATTTTATACACAACCACAGAAATAAACGCTCATAGCTTTAACAGCATATCATCTATCAACAGGATACCGTGTAAGCTGAGGAAGGGCCCTGCCTGGCTCAGAGTTCTATGGAGGGCTGCTGGCTGAATGTCTAGGAACCATGTCACTGATGCCTGCACAGGGCTTGCCCACAAGGCTGGCAGCCCTCCACAGTGCTGTCCTCAGCAAGTATCAGTCCCCAAGCACTTGCTGGCTCATGGAGTGTATTGTGTTATTACATGTTCCTTCACTGTTATTTTTCCTTAATGTTACAGTCATCGTACGACTCTGCTTTCTTTTTAGAATCAGGTGTGTAGGCTGGTATATTATCTATGAACTTTACTTTCTGGATAGTAAAGACGTGTCATAAATGTACTAAAGAGCAGGTATCAGGTCTTATAGGTTTGAGAACCACAAGCCTAAATGCCTAGACCCAGAGTCTCAGCCTAAATGAAGTGAGTGGGGGTTTATGTGATCTAGGGAGTAGAAAGAGAACACTTCCCTCCCCTGTGTCAAAGAGAAAGCTGGCTTGGCAAAATTCTGATCATGTACAACCTGTCTCTTCTCTGTTCCCGCCTTGGCTCCTGCTGCCCTGAGTGTTCTCATCACAATAGGTTCCCTGCCCCATGAGGCCCTGGTAGAAGGACTCTGTGCTACAGAATTAGTGCTTTCACTAATCCCTGTCCAAACTCCCATCTTAAGCACTTGACCCCATTAATTCACGTTAACATGTGAACGATGCTGCCATAGCTTCTTGTGCCCAAAAGTACATTCATTTCAAAGAGAAGGTGCCTGTCACTCTAAATGGATCTCACATCAAATGGATCTTGAAAATTCAGACAGCATGAAAGATGTTTTCCTTCATGGTTCCCATGGCAGTGGTAACAGGCTCAACTGGGATTAATAGGGGATATAGTTACTTATGGAAAAGGAAATGGCAACCCACTCAATACAAGTATTCTTGCCTGGAAAATTCCATGGATAGAGGAGCCTGGCAGCCTACAGTCCATGAGGTAATAAAGAGTTGGACATGACTGAGCACATATTTACTTATACGCTTTAGGATATTTGTAAACTGGGTTTTTAAACTAGAAGAAGTGTGGTAGCCATGAGCGAACTGGATTGTCACCTCTGTGATGGAAGAACTCAAGGCTACACAGGATCAAGGTTAGTGTTTAATAAACTGACCAAAGAGACTGTTTTTATGAGTTGGTTTTCCAAGTTTCAAATTCCTACTGCTTTTGAACCATATGGTCTTATACTTGGCTTTTTTCTAGGACAGCATCTCAAGTGTATTATAGAAGATTTGGTGGCACTTTTTTATAGGCCATAATCTTTTATTGCTATGTATTCATGACGTATGGGCTTCCCTTGTGGCTCAGCTGGTAAAGAATTTGCCTGCAATGCAGGAGACCTGGATTCGATCCCTGGGTTGGGAAGATCCCCTAGACAAGAAAAGGCTACCCACTCCAGTATTCTGGCCTAGAGAATTCCATGGACTGTACAGTCCATGGAGTCACAAAGAGTTGCACACGACTGAGTGACTTTGACATTCATGACACATATGTAACATGTAATACAACAGACACAATATCACAAACACACTCATCACTCCCAATAAAAGCTTTATGGAAAAGGTTTCTTAAAATGACACTTCCACCCATAAGTAAACAAGTAACAGAAACAGTAAATTCCTTTTCTCTTACTTAACCAGAGCCATCCTTGGTTACTGGAAAGGGGCAAAGACAGCCTAGAACTCAGATCCAGAACCAAGTGAACCTGGACTAAGGCTAAGAGAGTGGAGTAGAGGAGGGCTACACTGAAGCCACGATTCTAGGATTAATAGTTTTGGGTGATGCTGAGTTCAGGATTTCTGCCACAAACCAGAAAGAAGAATTTCATGTCTCACAGGCTCATTAAGAAAATCTATTGTAACTATGTTAAGAATGCATGGCTTTTCTGGTTGCTCACTAGTAAAGAATCTACCTTTCAATGCAGGAGACCTGAGTTTGATCCCAGGTCGGGAAGATCTCCTGGAGAAGGAAATGGCAACCCACTCCAGTACTCTTGCCTGAGAAAATCCCATGGCAGAGGAGCCTGGTGGGGTTACAGGCCACAGGGTTGCAAAGAGTCAGACATGACTTGGTGACTAAAACAACAACTGGGTAGCAGAGCAGGCTAAACACAGACTTGCCGTGATTTAATCCTTTCTTTCCTGTATCCATTCAGGCCTGGTACCAGGGTGAGGCAAAAAAAAAAAGATAAAAAAGTGCCTAAAAAAGAATGCAAAGAGGAACAAAACCTATTGACAGGGTAGTAATGGTTATAATATAACTCAGCCTCCATTTATACCTGTAGCCACTGCAGTAACAAACTTTGATCCAAAATGTCCATCTGGAGATAGTCGACATATGTTGGGATGCTTATTTTGGAAGTCTCCTGCAGTGATACATTCTTCTGAACTCAGGAAATAGGTGTCCTAAAAAAAGAGAACCAGCATATCAAGTTCTACAGCATCATGTCAAAATATGCTTGCATTTCTTATTCAGAAAATATTAAGAACTAAACTATGACACGTCACAAACTACCGTGAAACAAGTACCTAACACTCCCTATTACCAACCCCTCACAGAAAACCACTTGTAACCAGTAAGGCCAGAAACACAAGGCAATTCACCTCATGGGCTGACCTCTGAAAGGCAGGACTTCAGAAAGGTAAGGAAGGTTTTGATTTCCGAGACAGAATGAACAGACTCAGCCTTAATTTATCAAGAACAATGTGTTGAAAATAATGTGGTCTAAAAACGTAAGCTGTGCAGAGATTCCCAAGAGTGCAGCCCAGAGTTGGTCTGTAACAAGGTCCAGGCAAGCAAACATCCCTGCCCACCTCACCTTATTTCGACTATATCGAACTGTACCCTTCCGAGTATCTTCTGAGACAAGGTCTGTAAATATCCAGCCAACCTGCATAAGAGAGAAAAATACCTTCTGAGTTTCTCCCTGAAACAGGTGACGAATGCCTTCTAGCTTCTGCCCAGAGAGGAGACTCCAGGAGTCGGTCCTTTCTTTCTAGGTGAGTCAGCTCCTCAGCTAAGGCATCATCCACACCTGGGCTTTCAAAGAGTACTCAGCTGACACTGGCTGTCCTCCCCCTGATGCTGCCGGGTGGAGATGAGGGCAAAGGAGCAAAGCTCATTTATGTGTTTGAAATACTAAGACTCTGGGCCCAGCACTGTGCTAGGTGCAGGGGACCTTGGGGTGGACAAAACTAACAGAGTATCAGTGAAAAGGGAATTGGCACTCTGGAGAGAAGGAGAAACGAGCAAGCAAATAAAGACAGTGACACTTCAGACATTAGGGTTTTCTCCATAAGACAGGAGAACATACTCCCTAGAGAATGCATTTAAAATAAAAGAAAAAACACAACAGAGACTTCACCCAGCTGCTCCTCTGAGCACCAGCGCAGGGCTGAAGGAAGCACCTGAGGGTACATGGATCTAAGACCTCGGCACGGTCAGCCTCCCTGGCCCGTCCTGCTACAGCAACGGTGCCTGTCCATGTGCTCTGTGAACCCTGGCCCTCCTGTGCCCATGAACCTCACAGCTGGTTACCATTCCTGAACCAGAACCTGGCTAGGAGGTTGAAGAGCGGCAATGGAATCCAGACACACCCATTTCTGTTCTTCAAAGAAGTGATCTGGTGCCTGTGACCCTCTCCAGTACAACCCTGACATGAAACTCTTCAACTCAACCTCCTGCAGACATGACCAGCCAAATCAAGAGACTTTCACTTTCTTTAAAAATGCCCAAATGAACAAAACCCCCAAGGAGGATGGCAATGGAGAAAATGAGACTTAAGGAATAAATGTAACTTAACATTAAACAAAACAGAATCAAAATCAAGCTGAGATAAGGGCTAAGGAACTAGTGTTTGGAGAAAGGCATTTAAGTAATTTCAAGATCTACTCTATCGTGAACCAAACATTTATAACAAAAATGGGTTAACAACAACAAAAAAAACACACTGATTTCTCTTTTCAACATGAGAAACTTTCAGAATTTAAATCAAAATATGCCCCTAAATCATAATACTGACTCCTTGTTAGAAACAACGGGAGTTTTTTTCTTAAAATGATGCAGTAACTTTGCTCCATAGCATTCCTGGGTCATAAGGCACATTTCCAGTCTTCCCCCATTTATCTGTACGGAGTCTGTTTCTCCCTGTCTAAATTGATTAGGAAACAAAGGATAAAACTTATGTAGCTATTAATAGTGAATTTCTAAGATGTGTTCAAGTTCACATTTCAACAGTATCTATAAAAAGTCACCTGTATAGTTCCTAGGAACTCTACCAAAGATGTGAGATAAACTAGATAAACAGATTCAAAAAGAAAACCCTCTGTCTTCTAACTGCCCAGAAAACTAGCAAGGCTTATATGCTCAGATGACTCAATTACAAACAGGAGGTTCGATGAGGACTGAAGAGGAACCACTAGAATCTCCAAGTGCCAGGGACAGAAAATGATCAGTGCAGACAGACACGTGAAGGGAGAGCGCACACACAGAACGATCTGCCTTAGCAGGCAGGTGGGACACAGAGCCTGGTGTCAGGTCCCCTGCAGCAGGAGCAGGGGTCTTGCTCCTGCTGCTTCTTTCCTGGCCCACTTTGAGGCAATCCACAAGAAGTATGTCTGGTGGATTTACATGTAACAGTCCCTACACTGGCATCTTTTTAGGCGCCCAATAAACATAAGCGAGGCTTCAAAACATGCAGGGCCTGCATCTGACCTTGAGCAGTCCCGGACCAGGCCTGGCCACGCCAACCACCTAGACGTCCCCAACACAGAGCCCAGGTCCTCTCTAAAGGACAAAAAAAGTCTCAGTACCTTCCGCAGGCCAAGTTTGGCAGCAATTTCATCAACCACCTCAGCCTTTGGGTCCTCAAGAAGCTCCAAGCTATTCTGTGTACCAATCTGTGAGGGTATTAAAAAGAGAAGATGGATTTAGAGGAGGGGTTCAGAAAAGCAGCAAGCAGCTCTGCTCCATTTCTGGTCGGTTGTCACAAAGGAGCACCAATCTCCCTTGCCAAAAAGGAGATTTTAGGCAGTAAAAAAGCTCAACCAGATACACAAGCCAAGTCCTCCAGGCTCTTTCCTTCCAGGGCTTGGCTTTGCTTTTAATCAAGATTCAGAGAACATGAAGAGGCAATATTCAGGCTGGTTCACGTTAGCGGCTCCACATGAAACGTGTGGTTGTTCAGGACTAGAGAAGGTTCTCTACTCCTTAAGGTTCCTTTGTTTGGAACAGAAGTTAGTTTCAAAACTCCCTTGGATAAATAGTTTAACTCCAAGTAAGCTTGGCTAGATTAGGTAAGGTTAGAGTTGCAAAGTAACATTCATTCCCAGAAAACAGCCTTGGAAAATCTCCACACAACTTCTACAAGGACAGTGCTTAGCTTCACAGGCAAGGCAGAATGAAAGAGCACAGAAGATAAACACACTCTAAGCCAACAAACGGGCACCCGAAATGGGTATCCTGCTGACTGGTGAGGAGAGTGCTCAGCTCAGGGTAGTGGGGGCAGTGTTTGGGCTGGCTCACATGCAACCTACACTGGCCATAGCACCCCACTTCTTGCAGTAGACAAAGCTTGCTGAAATCTGCACCAAAATGCAGCTCATAGGTTAAGCATCATACTGAGCAGAAAACACGGCTAACAAACCGGAAAGTGAAGGTAATTCCAAATTGAGTTATGCTAATTGGGTATATCCTTGTAAATTAGTTAAATCCTGGCAAAATAACAAAAGAACTTTATGTTGCTGGGTATGACCCATATGGAGATGATTAATACCTCCAGAGCACAGGTCAAAGCACAAACTCAGAACAAACCTAAGGATTTTTGTTTCATGACATGTGGCATCATGAGCTTCAACTTCTAATGAGCTGGAGGTTATTACAGGTCAAATGTTTCAACCTCCAGGATCCCCAATTTGGGAGCTCTGATGATGCTGTTAGTAGTTTCGACGCCAAAGGCTCCTGTTCCCATTTTTTGTTCAATCATACGCTTAATGAAACTGTTAAAATACTTCACGAAAGGACCCTCCTCAAAACTGAACTGGAACATCGTGAAGGACCCTCCTCAAAGCTGAACTGGAACGTCATGTGCTTCCAAAAGCAGATCCCGCTCACAGAGCACATTCAGCACCTGAAGGGTTGGACAAGCAGGGTCTCTGGGTGAGCACCTACTGCCATCTTCCATCTCCTTGCAAGTGAACCATCACAGAAGGCCTGGCCCAACACATCCTCTGTGGCTCTCAATAAATAACAAGAATGTCAAGGGGGTAGACGACACACAATCTGTATAAATACACCCAGGGAAGAAATGGAATCTCTACAGGAGCCACACACCTGCAAAGGTCACAAGGCCTACAGTTCAGACCCTGGTTTATTAAAAAAAAAAAAAAAAAATAGACCAGTTATGGCAAGATCTCCGGAACACAGCACAAGGGGACACACATGTGCATGGCATGATGCCCCCCAGAGATAAAGGAGAAGACAGGAGTATCTATGGACCCACTTACACTAAAAAAAAGAAAAAAAAAAAATCAAACTTTACAGATCTAAGCCAAAAACTGTTTAAAGTGAGGGCTACCTGTAGGGGAGGGAGGAAATCAGATGAAGGGGAAGACGCTGTTTGTAGAACTCACTTTGCAAACGTGCAAATTTTTTCTTTCCCAACATTTTTTAAAATAAAAAATTTCAGGCATACAACAAAGTTTAAAGAATCAGTAGTGAACATCTATATACCCACCACCTAATTCAGCCTCTAACATTTACTATGTTCCATTTGTTTCTCTGTTCAGGCCTCAGTGCATTGCACTTTTTGTGTTTTTGCATCACAGTAACCAGAAGGAACAAGACTCTCTAACTATCTCAACACATCATAAACCAGGATGCAATACAGTTCCAGTCCTCACTTTTGTAGTAAAGTATAAGTGTATTATATAAAATAAAATATAAATATATTACATATATGTAACACACAACCACATGAAAGTTTTACATAATTGTACAACAAATTTAAATACATATATATAAAACCAACCCCTAAATACTAAAAATCAAATGAACCTAAATGTTGGTTATAACCTGCTGGTGACACAATCATACAGAGAAGATATTCCAGGCAACTTTAAACACAGAAACCAACTGCTGGTCCCTAGTGGGATATACCCGAGGGACCCTACCCTTCCACCTAATTCTAAACTGTTTTCAGTTCTACACTGGTGGTAATTTTGATACTGTTATTAAGTTACATGTGTGGCATAAGATAAAGAACTAGAGTAATTCTGTGACTCTAATTTCGTAATTCCTAGGATAGGTGATTGTAGGCATGGGCAGAGGAGACAGAGAATCAGAAGAGAGCAACTTTATGACACTTTTGGGGGAACTGACAAAAGTGGAAAAGACGGCAGATTAGATCTGTATCAAAGTTCAACTTACTTCAATTTCTCAATGTACTTGTTATATAAGAATGTGCCCTTATTCTTTGGAAACATACACTGAAATATTTAGGGGCTATGGTCTTACTCTCCAAATGTTCTTTCTGAGTGTGTCTAAGTGTCTACAGACTGTGGCAAATGATGCAGTAGGAAAAACAACAAACAATCTGAAAAAGGCATTCCATAGAGCCATCAAAACAAAGCAATAGAGACCCACAGACTGTAAGTCCTGTTCATGTCTACCTGAGGAGGCTCATAAATTGCAGCTACTTCAGCCCTGATACCAAGAGGAATGTCTTTGTGCTCCGTGTACCGTCCATACAAGTACCCGAAGTGCTGGTTCCCTGTCTTCCTCCAGAAGTCAAGGAAGCGGTCAGCAACTGTATGATTCTCAAACATGATGTTGTCCACATGTCTGTATTTCTGTAGAGTTAACAACAATAAGTTAAATTCAAATACTCGATAAAAAATAATTGATTCTTTTAGCACAAGACTCTAAGAATGTGCTCTGCCCTTAAGACTACTTCAGATAAGAACGTGCTCTGCCCTTAAGACTACTTCAGATTTTAGTGGGTAGTCTACAGCCATACCACCCTGAACGCGCCCGATCTCGTCTGATCTCGGAAGCTAAGCAGGGTCGGGCCTGGTTAGTACTTGGATGGGAGATTTTAGTGGGTAGAAGGGGTAAGGGTGGGACTCCTCAATAAATTAATTCAAATTAATCTCAGCAGGGGACATCCCTAGTGGTCCAGTGGTTAAGACTCTGCACTTCCACTGCAGGGGGGAAGTGTTCAATCCCACATGGCATGGCCAAAAAAAAAAACACCTTACTGGGATTCTACCTAAAATGCAGATTTTCACATTTTCTAAGTCAAAAAAAGTTTTCAAAAAGAAATTAAGACAGAAAAAAAGAAAAGAGAACTAGAGGGATGGATGGAAGGAAGGAAGGAGAAAAAGAAAAGTAGAAAAGTTCTCAGACAGTCAAGGAGGCCATGGAATTCTAAGCAGCTAAACACGGGCTAGCAGCGGCAGGGGAAAGACGAGGTGAGCTATTCTTGGAGGGCTGGACGATAAGAGTGGAAAAAGCCAGAATAACTACACAAAATTTTCCCTGAGCTCCTTCTTGAGCCCAATCTCCTTCCTGAGCCCAGTTCCCTTCTTAACCTGGCTTGGAAAGATGTCCTGAGCTGGTCCCAGGACAGTTCTGTTCATAGTTGAGCCATAGCCAACTTCCAGAGCCACAGTTTCTTAAAAGGCAAAGTCACAACCACTGAGCATTTTAAACAGTCACCAGGAAAATTTTGCCTCTACACAAGCCAACAACACAGAAAACTGAAGGCTCCCCTCTATGCTTGAAGGAGCTAGAGATCTTTCCTCAGTCATGAACACAAATATACTGCTTTCTGAACCCAGATGGACACAGCCAACATCTCACCTGTCTGTTCAGCGTGATGGCACTTGGCTGGCACTTAGTACAGATGCCGTTAGGCCATGGAAGGTGTCCCTCACACCCTGATTTAATCTTGCAACTGATGTTCTCCAGGGCAACAAATTTCCCCCTGAACAAGAAAATGCAACTTAATTAAACATTACAATGGTTAAAAGTTTAGCAGGAGGCTGGAAATAAAATGTAAGATACCTTACACTTCCTGAACAGAGTTCTCAGGAGCTAAGCATGTGGTAACAACAGCAGGGAAAATGTGCTAAAATTTATTCTAATGGAGTTCTAGCTTCTGTCCCGTACACTTAAGACTGTACAGGATTCAGAATTATTTCTGACAAAAACAGTTCGTTTTCACTAACATCTATGAAGATTTTCAAGAGTACTGCTGAATATCTGGATTTAACCTATGCCTCTGAGAGAAAATGAAACTCTTTTTAAATTTCATCGACTTAACAAATATTTACATAATGAGTCTAATACTTAAGATTTCTGGACAGAATTCTTATCCATAGAAAAAATGTGATTAGGATACATAACAAAGATATCACCACTCTGCTTTTGGTCAGTGAGGATGTCCTGGGCCCCACTGTGGACTTGCAGGTGAGCCTGCACAAGTGCCTGCAACCTCCGTCGCTTTCCTGTTCACAAACAGCCCAGTGATCAGCACTGTCCTCACAAGCCAGCAGCATCATGAAAATGATGGCACTTGGAAAGCAAGGGTTACAACCAAGGCTGCATGTTAACGACAGTGACAAGCAAGCCTTTGACCTAGACTGACAAAAGGCCAGCAAACCTCAGCACACTCGTGCTCTGGTCCAGACAGCTTCAGAGCTTACCCCACGGACAAAGCAAGAATAGGCTTCGGGTGGGATTTTTTTTTCCTGGTCTAAGTTTTTTTAAAAGTCATTTCAGGATGTCAGCAGGCTGTCAGAGAAAAACTACAAGCAGGCGAACATGACATTCTTCATGAAATGTTGCTGACTTGTGCTCAGCCACCATCTCCTCTCGCTGCACAGACAAGAATCATAAAATCCCAGTAAGAAGTCCGTTCCTTTTTGGTGAGGTGAACACATCAGCAGGATATGGCTGCACGGCAAGGACTTGATGTAATTCAGAAGAAATCAAAGTGCTTTCAGCTTGCCACTGTCACAGCTGCTCTCTAAGAGCCAGCCGTCCCCACTGCCCACCTGCACCCCTATTGCCCGCCTGGCCAAGACTGCAGACAGCAATGCTGAGGCACCAGAGGCCAAGCCAGGGATGACACCCTACCTTGGCCTTACTATGGCTGTGAAGTTGAGCTGCTAACGAGGCAGGTTCCAGGGCAAAGGGATGACGGGGGCTGTGAAACAGGAGAGCCAAGAGGACTTGGGGGAAGTGGTTCAGGTTTTCAAAAATCAAAGGGAAGGTGGGCTGAGACTCCATAAACACAGGACTGACCACTGACATGCCTCATCTCATTCATCTTCACAAACAGCTAGCTGCCAGGACACCGCATACCCGAGAGAAGGTTGCCAAGGTAACCCCTGGGCCTCCACAGAGGCCACCACCAGCCTGGCCTCTGCCCATGCACTGGCACTGCAGACTACAGCAGGTACCAGAGTCTCCACCCACCTGTTTCCTCTTCTAGAATCAGAATAAGATTCACAAATTCAAACAATGCATGCCCAGACTCTGATCTTTACTTTTCTCACTCAAATGCCAAGGGGCTTTTAAGCAACATGTGCAAGAGACAGAAAATGAACTTTTGCGACCCAAAGCCACACGGGTGCCACCACCTCATTCAAGCTGCTTACTTGTCAGCCCCTCCAGTCAGCTTCCGGATGTAGGCGTGGAAGGACATGTGCTTCACGGGAGGCTCTAGGTGGTTTAGGTAGTCCTCGTCAAACGGCTGCCAAAACACACAGTAAACAGAGTCACACACCTGCAACTGGGGTCATGGCCACAGCCTCCACCTGCCAAGCCCTGAGGCAGGTGGGCAGAAAGGGAGAACTGGTGTTGGGTCCTCACTATTGTTCTAGGTCAGAACCAGGTTCTCTGTGTACCAGTTATCTTTAAAAGATAACTCTATTAATCTCTATTAATTAATTCAATCTCTATTAATTAATTAAATCTCTATTAATCTGTTAATCTCTATTAAACATAAAATGATGCAAGTCAAGTATCAAGTATATTTTGCAAAAGAAAAAAAAAAAGTCACAAGATGAAGCAAGAGGAGACTCATGAAGAAAATCAGGTTGGCCTTCCTGCCGTAAATTCAGTGTTAACCAGTCACAAGTCAGCATTATTATGGTAACTCTCAATCTCACCAGGACAAATCAGTAGAGACATGAGATTCGGGGCAAAGTAAATCAAAACGATGATGAACACAAAAACCGCCAGGTCCAGCTTTGTGTCAGGTTTTAAAAGGATTGTCCAGGGAACCCAGTGTAAATGCAGCCCCTTTATCACAGCAATACCCTGTCCCAGCTGTTCATAATCTACCCAGAAGGTCACTCCCATAAATAAAGGCTCATCCTCTCAGTGCAGCCTGCACTAGGGGGAATCCAAGGCCCAGGGCAATAAATAGATAAGTTCCTTGAACCACTCCAACCCAGCCCAGGGACTTAGAGAAGCGTGGAGACGGCTCTGGGAACTCACTCTGCATGGACTCACCTCAAGAGGAACGCAGTGCACACACTTCCCCAGAGGCCCGTGCCGGCACCTAGAGCACAGGAAAGAGAAACGCACAGTGTCAGCACGTGTTCTTCTGCCTCCTTGCAGGGTGATACTCACAATGCATGTCATACCTAATGAAATGCTGCCCCACCCACGTGAAATTATCTGAAATGGTACGTGGTGAAGGGCTTGTAACAGTTTAATATTTTGGTGTGTATTAAAACTATTGACCTGTGCATCAAACCTGTGATTCTATGGATATTAACTGCTTAAAATGACACAAATTAAAAGCAAATGAATTTAACGTCAATTTAAATAAAAATGTTCGGTAAAGACTAAGAAAGTTGGTATGTGGATGTGGCAAAAACTCTTGAGAATGGTACAAAAATAGCTTGTGTGACACAGAAATCCCTTGCATTTCTATATACTAACAATGAGAAAACAGAAAGAGAAATTAAGGAAACAATACCATTCACCATTGCAACAAAAAGAATAAAATACTTAGGAGTTTATCTACCTAAAGAAACAAAAGACCTATACATAGGAAACTATAAAACACTGATGAAATGAAAGAAATCAAAGAGGACACAAACAGATGGAGAAATTTACCGTGTTCATCGATTGGAAGAATCAATATTGTCAAAATGGCTATACTACCCAAAGCAATCTATAGATTCAATGCAATCCCTATCAAGCTACCAACGGTATTTTTCACAGAACTAGAACAAATAATTTCACAATTTGTATGGAAATACAAAAAACCTCGAATAGCCAAAGTAATCTTGAGAAAGAAGAATGGAACTGGAGGAATCAACCTGCCTGACTTCAGACTATACTACAAAGCCACAGTCATCAAGACAGTATGGTACTAGCACAAAGACAGAAATATAGATCAATGGAACAGAACAGAAAGCCCAGAGATAAATCCACGAACCTATGGACAACCTTATCTTTGACAAAGGAGGCAAGGATATACAACGGAAAAAAGACAACCTCTTTAACAAGTGGTGCTGGAAAACTGGTCAACCACTTGTAAAAGAATGAAACTAGAACACTTTCTAACATCATACACAAAAATAAACTCAAAATGGATTAAAGATCTAAATGTAAGACCAGAAACTATAAAACTCCTAGAGGAGAACATAGGCAAAACACTCTCCGACATAAATCACAGCAGGATCCTCTATGACCCACCTCCCAGAATACTGGAAATAAAAGCAAAAATAAACAAATGGGACCTAATGAAACTTAAAAGCTTTTGCACAACAAAGGAAACTATAAGCAAGGTGAAAAGACAGCCCTCAGATTGAGAGAAAATAATAGCAAACGAAGCAACAGACAAAGGATTAATCTCAAAAATATACAAGCAACTCCTCCAGCTCAACTCCAGAAAAATAAATGACCCAATCGAAAAATGGGCCAAAGAACTAAACAGACATTTCTCCAAAGAAGACATACAGATGGCTAACAAACACATGAAAAGATGCTCAACATCACTCATTATCAGAGAAATGCAAATCAAAACCACAATGAGGTACCTTTACACGCCAGTCAGGATGGCTGCTATCCAAAAATCTACAAGCAATAAATGCTGGAGAAGGTGTGGAGAAAAGGGAACCCTCTTACACTTTTGGTGGTAATGCAAACTAGTACAGCCGCTATGGAGAACAGTGTGGAGATTTCTTAAAAAAACTGGAAATAGAACTGCCATATGACCCAGCAATACCACTTCTGGGCATACACACCGAGGAAACCAGATCTGAAAGAGACACGTGCACCCCAATGTTCATCGCAGCACTGTTTATAATAGCCAGGACATGGAAGCAACTTAGACGCCCATCAGCAGAAGAATGGATAAGGAAGCTATGGTACATATACACCATGGAATATTACTCAGCCATTAAAAAGAATTCATTTGAACCAGTTCTAATGAGATGGATGAAACTGGAGCCCATTATACAGAGTGAAGTAAGCCAGAAAGATAAAGACCATTACAGTATACTAACACATATATATGGAATTTAGAAAGATGGTAATGATAACCCTATATGCAAAACAGAAAAAGAGACACAGATGTACAGAACAGACTTTGGACTCTGTGGGAGAAGGCGAGGGTGGGATGTTTCGAGAGAACAACATCGAAACATGTATATTATCTAGGGTGAAACAGATCAGCAGCCCAGGTTGGATGCATGAGACAAGTGCTCGGGCCTGGGCCTGGTGCACTGGGAAGACCCAGAGGGATAGGGTAGAGAGGGAGGTGGGAGGGGGGATCGGGATGGGGAATACATGTAAATCCATGGCTGATTCATGTCAATGTATGACAAAAACCACTACAATACTGTAAAGTAATTAGCCTCCAACTAATAAAAATAAATGAAAAAAAAATAGCTTGTGTGGAAAACACCCACTCTGTGTGCATATTTTGGAAAAAAGGATGAAAAGATCACTTGGCTCTGTGGGTTTCAGTCTGCACAGGGTAGGACAGTGGGGATGCGCTAGGGTGGTGAGCATGCTGACAGGTGCAGTCACAGCACTGTCCACATGGGGTGAGAACTCTCAGGTGCACCTCATTCTATATCTCAGAGCAAAAAGGGCCTGGATCTCCCAACAGGCAGGCTCGTCCAGGTGATACACACAAAGGCACATGAACTCTGAAAAAGATTTCTAATGAGGCCTCACAAACACTGATCAGGGTGGGAGCCACCCTGGGTCCCTGGGAGGAAAGCAAATAGCGGCAGAGAGCTGACTGATGGCCACAGCCACAGAGTGGTTCCATGCCAACTGCATCTCAGCACTCTTTGAGGCCCTCTGATCGGAGATATACAAGTTCCTAATGCAGCATGTTGAATTCTAGTATCTCAATGTCATGCTTGCAGGGCGATGCAGTTACACACTCCACTGCAGAGACAACCTTCACTCAGTTTTACATCAGAGTGTGAACTCAGATGTTTCTAACTAGTCTCCTTAAAAAGAACAGCAAAAAATCTAAAATAAACAAATGTACACAAGCATAAGCACTTTACACAATCCTCGCTGAAAAGTGAACATTCCGAAGGGAGCAGCACCTTTAGCAAAGGAAACACTCCCTAGAAGAACAGAAAGAGCGCACTGGGTATGGAAGGTTGAGCTTCGCCCACGAGCATTAAACAAGACGATGTGAATGAGGACCTGTGCCAGCAGGTGCCAGGGTACCACCCCCTCTCCCCTGTCACACTTGCTAAAGCCCACTCTGCATGTGCATCCAGGTATTTCAGGGGCACACCACAGAGAGGACTTGGTTTAAGGCTCCTTCCTTCTTTCAAATCTCTTAGTTCTCACCACTTTAAAATTTTTAAAATACATGTGGAGCACAGTTTGAGATTCAAACAATGAGAAAAAGCTCACAGAGTAACTTAAGTGAGATGTAAGTTGAAAATAGATGGTCAAACTCGAAACTTACATTTCTTCCTCAGAACACATTACAGACATTTCACTTGACTGACCCTGTGGCCCCGAGGGCACTTACAGCTGTGGGTCGCGGCTCCTGTAGATCTTCCCATCCTGCCTGCTGAGGTACTGGTCGATCTCATCTTCCACCACGTTGGGAGCACCACAGGCCTTCAACCCCTGCGGGGCCGACGTCTCCATCTCAGATGACGGTCCCGCAAGGTTCGAGGGAAACAGGAACAGCAGATCTCCATGCCTGTTCAAACAACGAATGTAAGTTGAGGCTGTCTTCCTTTCTTCACAACCTGAGCTGCACAGATCAACTCATGTGAAAACCTCTGATGCCTACACACAGCCAACACCAACCACCCCAACGGCACAGACAGCTAGGCTTCCAATTTTAAGAGAGTGAGTGCTCCTTTCCTGTCTCCTCATGTCTCTTCACCTTACCAAGGTCAGCAGCAGGCTCTCTGGACTGAAATATAACTTCCCTACAACCACACTGCAGGATCTATGCTGCGCAGGCACAGACACACCTAGTTCTACACAGAAGACGTACCACCTCACCAGATACTGGAGCAGCACAGCCTCTACCCACCTCCTCCTCCTCTGCTTGGTGCCCACTTCCCCTCATTCCTTCCTTGGCCCTCTCTTTAGCTCTCTCATTTACCTCCCTGGGGCACATCCTTCCACTTCTTTCTTTACATTCACACACGTGTCCGTAACATGCACATCACTGATGTACAAACCTGAGATGATTAGACATACACTTTCTCCATCTGCTGTTCTCACACAATCGCTCCAAAGATGTTCTACCTCTAGTCAACGTTCTGTGGTGAAGCCACCCCACAGTACCCTTTGCTGCTCCCGCATGACAGGCAAGGCTCCTAAGAGACCTGCCACCACCATGCCACCAAGAGATGGCACGGTCTCCCGGCCATAGGGCAGATTTCCCAGAGAGGGTACATTAAACTTTAGGAGCTTTATTTGTTCTTAAAGCTGCTGACATACTGCTTTCTACAAAGGCTGCCATGATTCACACTGTAAAGGGCAATATTTGGTTTTCAATCATTTTCAATATGAACAGCGTCCTTTCCCCATCAGACCCACTGCAGACTTCAGCAGAGCCTGACTGCCCACCTACCACCATGCCTGAGGCCAGTGAACGATCCCATCCGGGAACACTGCAGGTCCTGAGACAATCAGCCAACCCCAGTCTTGGAAGAAAAGCTGTAGCACCACCACTGGGTAAGCATTTCCTTGCTCTCAACAAGAGGCACATGCAGGAAGTAAGACTGGAAGCACAGCCTGCAGCCTCCAAACAACAAACGGAGAGAACCGGAACAGGTGCCTCAGCCAGGATGGGGAGGCTGGGCTGCAGCTGTTCAACGGGTCTGCTCGACCCTCTTTTTCCTCTCACAATTTAGGGTGATAAGACCTCCAATTTGTAATTGAAGATGTCTATGTCTAACAGCAAATGAGGTATTCCTAAACATCCTCCAGGTTCAGGATACTTGGCTCAACTGCTCCATCAGTTTTAACAAACACACTCTAAAATGCATTGTGGAGCTTAAAGAAAGGAACTCCCAAGGGTCCAAAAACCCAGAGCAGCTCAAACAAGAATAGTGAAGGAGCCTATGGCCAGCTCATGATGGGAACCCTGAAGTTGGCTTATAGTCAATTCTCTGGGTGACAGAGATGAGGCCTTGAGCCTGCCTGCCCAAAATGGTGGGACTGCATCCCACCAGGCTCCTCTGTCCAAGAGATTTTCCAGGCAAGGATACTGGAGTGGGTTGCCATTTCCTTCAGTAGGAAAGCCAACAACCCCAGATCCTTCAGGGCCCCCTAAGACCAAGTTTGGCCAAATACAAGCTCTCAAGAAAAGGTCACCAAATGTATAAGAGAAACGAACCACCAGGACCAAGAGAGGGCAGGAAACAATCAACAGATTTAGATATCCAAAGACTTCAGGTGTGGAATTCAAGACAAAGAATATATACTTATGTATGAAATGTCAACTGGAAATGGAATGAAGAATTGTGAGCAACAAGAGGCCATCTGCAATGACCAAGGGCTCCGAGAGTGGGCAGAGGGGCCACAGACTTAGCAGCTCTTCCCAAATCCCCTGCTTAGAACAGGCTAGACAACACCAGCAATAGTGCAACAGGATCCTTGCAAACCCTAAATACACTCAGGAGAGACAGACTCCAGACACCTCAGGACCTGAGAGGGAAGCACCAGGTGTGTGACAGGCCAAGGTAGAACCCCAAGGAACCCAGCAGTCTTCACTGGAACCCTGGGGGCCAGCGTGAGGGCAGAGCAGGAGCCGGGAAGAAGCCCCTGTGAGCACATGAGTTAACAGCCAGTGCTGAAAGAAATCAAATAGAAAAAAGTTAAAAATGTCATCACCGAAATAATAGAGAGACTGAAGGAGAAGTAATATTTAAAGAGATAATGGGGAAGAATTCTCTAGACCTCACCTGCAGATACAGAAAATACATTTTACATCAGGTAGAATTACACAAAGCAACTAACAGGCCACCGAGTCCACACCTGGACAGGTCAAACAGATACCACAGGACCCCAAGACCAATGAAGATCTTTAAAGCAGCCAGAGGGTGAAAAAAAGAACCTACAAATGAATAAGAGAATTAGAACAGCCAGTTGAACTGTGAAAATGGCAACAAAGGCAGTGGAGTGAGACCCACAAGGAGCCCTGGGTGACTGACTCTTACAGACATGGTCAGCCAAGTCTAGAACAGTGACAGGACATAGTTCTCAAGTTTGGGCTCATGGCGCTCAGCAAGCATCACAACCATCACTGAAAAGACACGCTCCAGGATCACCCAGAAAGACACGCCCTCCAAGTATGACTGCACCTCAGGTGGACAGCTTTGCCTCGAGGGTGTTTCACTCTGCAGCCCCCCTTTTCTGCCATCCAGCCGTCAGAATAGCCCTGAGACACATAGCTGCCACTTCCATAGTGCTCGTCCCGTGTAGGGACCCGACAACCATGTGGAGGAGGCGCAAGCCCCCCACCCCCCAAAAGACAAGGGTGAAGGGGCCCAGTGAGATTGGGTGATTATTCAGGCACACAGCCCGGAGTAGTGGGTATGAGTTCAAACCCGAGGAACACCCATGAGAAGTGATTCTCGAGATGCAGAAACCCTTGGCAAGCTGGAAGAAAAGACGGCCCTCATCCACTGGAAACAAATATACACAAGACAAGGCTTTACAGCATCACAGCAGCAGGCAATGAGCAGGTGCCGAACAAGTATCCATTGAAGAACAAATAAATTCATGTTAAAATTGCATTTCCCCTACCAAGACATACTAATTGTGAATCTAAAATGGACCACACAGATTGCCAAGACAGCCTATTATTCTGACTGGTAAAAGGCACACAGCCAAGTACCAACAAAGCCCAGCCCAACCCTCACTAGTGGTCACAGCAGCCAGGCTACCTGTAGCCCAAATAAGACAATTACCTGCCCGCTACCTAAGGACAGCAAAGACCTGAAGGGTTCTGCTCACTGATATGTGAGCAGGTGTGCCCACACAGCTCAGACAGGGGTCAGCAAACCTTTTCTATAAAGGGCCAGACAGAGAAATATTTTTGGCTTTGCAGACCAGACAGCCTCTGTCACAATCACTCAGCCCTACCCTTGAAGCATGAAAACATATAAACGAATGGATGTGGCTGTGCTCCCATAAAACTAAAAAAACAGGAGAGGTCTCTGCACCCAAGAAATTCCTTCTGACATTACCTATCAATTCTAAGGCACTCCAGGGGTCTTGCCAGCAAGAAATACAACACAGACCTACCAAGCAGGTCTCAAGGCAGAACTACACACAGAGCTACATTCAAGGTCCTTCTCTGCAGTGAAGCAGCTGAGTGTGCAGTTGCACACACACTATAACTCCTCCTCTGTGACGTATATCCCTGAATTCTCCAAGTCAAACAGATCAGCTCGACAGTAACTGTATATTTGGCATGGCTGCCAAACACCTGGCAAGCAGCACGGTCCCCTGCACTTTGGTACCTGTTCCAAGACCGTAATCACAGTAGCAGAAGGAAACAGGGCAGAAATTAGTGACTTCAGGCAGGTAACTAGTGCCAACATGCCCTCCCCACTCCCCACCTTCTCCCCTCAGGCACTCACTTGATCTTCAGCAGGTTGAGGGATTTGTTAGATGACGCTGTTATTTCTCCAGTCTTGTTTCTATTGATGTAAACTGAGAAGCCATTATTTTGGAAGCCAAACTCCTTTGCGACCTAAAACAAGCCCCAAACAACAGAGATTTAATAAAATATTTAAGGGAATTCCCTGATGGTCCAGTGGCTAGGACCCTGAGCTTTCCCTGTTAAGCACTTGGGTCCAATACCTGGTTGGGGAACTAAAACCCCACAAGTCCCACAGCACAGCAAATAACATACCAAAATATTTAAGTATCACTACCCTGACCACATATATACATCAGACATTCCTAGTGAGTTTAGAAATTGCTCCTCATTAAACAAATTCCTCTTGTTGTTTTGCTCTCTTACAAGGAAACTTGAGTCTGGGGCCAAGACATGGAGCTCAACTCTTAGGGCCATCTGAGACAGGGAATTTTGGCAGAGAAACAGAAATGATAAAATAGAATAAAATGGAAATTCTACAACTGAAATAGAAAATTCACTGGATGGGCTTATCATCAGAAGGGAAATGACAAAAAAAAAGTCAATTAAAGATGGGTTATTAGAAACTATACAATCTACAGATAAGAGATTTGAAAGAACGTACAGAGCCTTAGGGAACCTCCAGAGCAATAGCAAATAATCCTCAGAAGAGAATAAGGCTAGGACTGAAAAATATTTGAAGAAAGAATGGCCAAAACTCTCAAATTTGATGAAAAACATACAAGTAACAAATTCAGGAAGTTCAGCAAAACCAAAATAGGATAAATAAAGAGAAAACTATGCCTGGGCACACTGTCATCACATCGCTAAAAACCAAAGATCAATGGAGACCAGAAGACAAAGGAACAACATCTTTAAAGTGCTGAGGCAGGAATAAAAATCTGTCAACTCAGAATTCTCCATCTGAAGAAAATACCTTTCAAATACAAGGGCAAAATGAAAACATTCTCAAGTTGACAAGACCCAAGGGCACTGTTGCCCACAGCCTCCACCACAATAAATGCCAGAGGATGTTCTTCAGGCTGAACACCAGACAGAAACTCAGAGCAGAGGACACATGAAGATAAGAACTCCAAATCACACAACAGGAAATCATCACAGAATTGCCATGAGAATCCTGAGAGAGCAACAATGCTGGTCAGAAACAGGACCAGGTACTTTCTTGGCAGTCCAGGGGTTAAGATTCCATGCTCCCAACGCAGAGGGCATGGGTTAAATCCCTGGTCGGGGCCTATGATCCCACATGCTGTGCAGTGTGGCCAAAGACAAAGAAAAAGGCAAGACTAAAGACTTTGACGTTTTTCTGAAACAGCGATAAACTGAAATTAACAAATTGTGGCATTTTATCTGTTCTGCAAAACCATACTGTCTGCAAAACCATACTGTTTTTCTATAGACAGAGCACTGTAAGTTACTGCCAAGAATAAGAAAGAACTCTTGCACCAGGAACATTGGCTGTGTGAGTTAGGATAGCACCCCTGGGATGTAAGGCAATCTCTGAAGTGGTGCAGGGTATTGTGTGGGCGGCCCTGTGGGCAGAGGGAAATCCCTATGACCACATGACTGAGATCTGTGCTTTCTATCAGCACCGAGAGCAGCAGTATTTTCAAATACAATAGCCAGCAACATTACTTCACATATGCTGAATCCCACTTTTGGGAGATGCAGAAATATACAAACTAGGTTCTATATGGTGCTCCTGTGAAAATAACTGCTTCTTTGAACTCTGAATTATTTATCTAAAGATACAAAAATCGAACACAAGGCATCAAGCATTTAAATAAAAAAATTTTAGCAGAGTCTTTTTTTTTTTTTCCATTTATTTTTATTAGTTGGAGGCTAATTACTTTACATCATTGCAGTGGTTTTTGTCATACATTGAAATGAATTAGCCATGGATTTACATGTATTCCCCATCCCGGTCCCCCCTCCCACCTCCCTCTCCACCCGATCCCTCTGGGTCTTCCCAGTGCACCAGGCCCAAGCACTTGTCTCATGCACCCATCCTGGGCTGGTGATCTGTTTCACCCTAGATAATATACATGTTCGATGCTGTTCTCTTGAAACATCCCACCCTCGCCTTCTCCCAGAGTCCACAAGTCTGTTCTATACATCTGAGTCTCTTTTTCTGTTTTGCATATAGGGTTATCGTTACCATCTTTCTAAATTCCATATATATGTGTTAGTATACTGTAATGGTCTTTATCTTTCTGGCTTACTTCACTCTGTGTAATGGGCTCCAGTTTCATCCATTAGCAGAGTCTTACAAGAGCACAGTTAAAATCTTAAAAACTGGGACTTCGCTGTCAGTCCAGTGGTTAAGACTCTGCCTTCCAACGCAGAGGGCACAAGTCCCCAGTAGAAGAACTAAGATCCCACATGCCATGCAGTACATCCAGGGGAAAAAACTTAAAAACTTCATTTCACACCTGAGATAATCTTGATGTGTGACTACTGTAATAAAACCAGAAACATGGTACTGTGTGAGATGAATACAAATGTTTATAATGGAAGGTAACAAAAGAGAATACATGGCGGGACTTCTCTGGTGGTCCAGTTGGCTAAGACTCCACGCTCCCAACACAAAGGGCCCAGGTTCAATACCTGGTCAGAGAGCTAGATCCCACATGCTGCAACTAACAGATCCCATGTGCTGCAACTAAGACCTGCTGCAGCCAAATAGAGAAGTAAATATTAAAAAAAAAAAAAAAAAGAATACATGGCATGATTTCACTTAAGTTCAAAAACAGCCAAAACTAAAATTTAGGGTTTAGGAATGCACAGAGGTGGTAAAACACAGAAAAGTGGGGAAGCAGCTCCCATCAAGCCAGGAGAGGAACGACAGGATGAGGAAGCGGGAAGGCTGACCAATGGTTCCTGGAGGCTGGCAACTGCCCCAACCCAGACTTGGGTATTTGCTTCATCATCAGTCTTTTTGACTGTTCACATTTTTCAAGCATCTCTCAGCAGGTACTTTAATTCACAGGTTAAAAAAAAAATGTGTAATATGATAAAGAGAAAGGACAGAGTCACTTGCTGCTAAGATGTCGGTTAAGAAAGGACTGAGGGAAATTTCCTGACAACCCAGCAGTTAGGACTCTGCATTTTCATGGCTGAGGGTGCACATTGATCCCTGGTTGGGGAACTAAGATCCCACAAGCCACAAGGTGCAGCAAAAAAAAAAGGATAGAGGTAGGATCTGGGGTGACTCAGTAAGGGCCCTTTCAGGGAAGTGACAGCAGCAGAAGCAAACCCTTGGATCCTGAAGATGAGGAAAGATGACGCCAAACGAGACAGCCAGAAGAACCTGTCCTGGAGGGGTTTATGGTCTAATGATTCAGAGAAGGAATTCTTCAGTGAGAAGCATTAGATGGTCTCCAAGGATCCAGTAACTCAAGATTCTATGACAGTTTTTCATTGCAAGACGTCTCATCACACTTGCAAAACCAATTTCCTTAGAGAGCATAATGCCTCATATTAAATCAGGATCAAGGGTATCAGTGTGGGGATGGGAAGTTGGAGCCAACAAAGTTCAGTGGTTAACATACTTTTCAGGCAAGTCTGTGAGGCAACAGGAAGGCCATTTCAAAGCCCACTTACAGGGCACAAATGCACAGCCAAATTATCATCAACAATAGTATGAGTCCACTTATATGACACACCTGGAGGAGTCAGATTCAGAGACAGAATGAAGGGTGGTTACCAGAGCTGAAGGGGAGGCAGGGAGAGGAAATTTGTGTTTAATGGGAACAGAGTTTCAGTGTGGGAAGATGAAGAAATTCTGGAGATGGATGGTGATGGCTGCACGACACTATGAATGTACCTAACACTACTGAACTATACACTTAAACATGGTTAGCATGGCAAATTTTATGTTACTTTTCTTATCACAGTAAAAAAAAAAAAAGATACAAATCTACATTTGTTGACATAGAGCCATGTCCATAACCTATTGTGAAGTGAAAAAACCAGGTTATAAATGATCACAAGGTGAGATGTGAATTTCTCTAGAATGCGTGCATCTTACTTCTGTCTGCAGGGCAGTAGGGTTGACATATGGGTCACTGCCTGGACTCGTGTAACTTGTCACCCAGATACCTAAACAACCATCAACCCTCAACACTACCATCAAACAATCCATTCAATGATCAATCAAGGAAGAAACAGGGATCTCAGTTGTTGAGCCTTGTTGGTGAGGTGGAGAGCACCCTAGCACCAGCACCTAAAACACAGGTGTTAGGGGCTGGCTTGCTGATCTTCCTGATGGGGCAGCCAGTGACTCCTTCAGTAAGACATAACATCGTCACTTGAATCAAAAAATGGTTGAGGAAGGTTGGACTCTGAATGTGAGGTCACAGGGAGAGGCTATCCAGTTAATTTCAGTTGGATTTTCCTCTTTACGAACGCATAATACATAATTAAAATACATTATTTCCAAATCAGTCTTAAAAAAGCACTTTGCATATGAGGTAAAATGCAAGCATGCCGGGTTTTTTTTTCTTTTTTTGTGCTAAGTTGCTTCTGTCATGTCCGACTCTGAGATCTTACAGACTGCAGCCCACCAGGTTCCTCTGTCCATGAGATTCTCTAGGCAAGAGTACCAGAGTAGGTTGCCAATTCCTTCTCCATTTTTTTCTTTAGTGATCCATAAATGTTTCTCCTTAACCTCAGATTTGAAACAGCAGTAGTACAGTACAATCCTATTTTCGTGCGAGTACATGTACATGCAGACTCAGGAATGCATGTGCACATATGCCTGCACATGTGTACACATAAAGATGTGCTACAATAACAGTTATTTCTGGCTAGTAAAATTTTGAGTTATTTTTATTGCTTCTTCATACTTCCCTGTATTGTTTGAGGCTTTTATAATTCATCCATATTATTTGTATAATCAGAGGAAAGGATTTTCACTTGAGGGGAAACATCTCAGCGTAATAAATGTGTTTGTTTTTGAGTATTCCCAAGCAAATTTCTCCTAAGCAATGACTACTGTGGTGATAATGGCTTCAGAAATTAGGTCAACACTAAACTGTACCTCCCTGACTCCACCCACATCCAGTGACAGCTATTGCATCTATATTCCCTATGCAAGGCAACAAGTAAATACCCAGAAGGAGCACTACGATTTCAGGATACTTCTGAGGCAAATAAAAGTCAGAATAATCCTGTATTTTTAGATTTCTCTGAAATCATCTGAATTTAACCTGTCCAACAACTCTATATTTGATGCCAAGCACAAAAGTCTCAAGTTAAAAACAAAATCATGTCTCTACATGGTTACTACAGATATAAGAAATTTTCATATCACAGACCCGGAAAAGTAAAGAACAACTGTAGGCAGTCCTCTTAATCTCACATTTATTCCCACAACCAAGCAATAGCTATGTAATCCTTAATGTTTGTCTCAGACAATCTCTCAAGAACTCAAGCTTTTAGGGTATCCCAGCACCATCACCAGGAGTGAGCTGACAAGGGTCAGCTGCTACTAAAAAAGCAAAGAGTAAAATATTAAAATGGAGTAGGAAATGGCAACCTACTCCATTATCCTTGCCTGGAAAATTCCATGGCAGGCTACAGTCCATGGGGTCACAAACAGCTGGACGTGACTGAGCGACTAACCACACACACAGGATATTAAAAAGTCCTTAAAGACACAGAGATTCTCTTTTCTGTGTGCTGTCTACTGCACCTGGTCTTTTTTCTTTTATTCTTGTAAACACGGTCGCTTAAGCAGCACCGTTGGAATCAGAATAGAAACTACTTTTCAGAAACCAAACTTCTCAGGTTAAGTGCTATGACTTCCTTAACAGATGACGGTGTAATCCTCAGCAAATCTCCTTATTCCCTGGACTTCAATTTCCATCTTTGTGAAAACAAAAAGATCAAACTACCTGACACTGAAAATTCCCTCTGGCTTTTAACGATCTGTGACCTTTTTTTTTTTGCCTATGAAAAATGATATATTTTTATCACTATAAAAGTTAAACGCTATCTACAACAAATTCAAATAATAAAGAATGTATAAAGTAGAGGTTGGCAAATTTTCTCTGTAAAGAGCCAGGCAGTAAATATTTTCAGCTTTCAGGCCATACAGTCTGTCACAACTACTCAGCTCTGCCCCTGGAGCTCAAAAGCAGTACATAAGCCAATAAGTGCAGCTGTGTTCCAATGAAAAGGGGCAGCCAGCCATGTGCCATGCTTTGCCGACCTTTAGAATGAAAGCATCAAGCAAAAGCCACTCTTCTTCCTTTGGCTTCCTCTTCCAGAGGTACCCCTTTTAGGTCTGGCTTATGCTCTTTAAGCCACATTCTCATATAACACATTTGTATATGGAGCTTTACTTAATTTTTTTAAGAAGAAAGTGGGATCACTCTATACATGTTAATAATTCCCCTTTGCCAGACGATTCAAGTTCTTCACTCTCTGATTTTTCACTCACAAATATTCCTCCTGTGAAATCCTTTTACACTGACCTTTGGGCCCTTGGTCCTGCAATGGTAAGCAGTGGTCAGCTGTGACACATCTGATCCTGTATCAGTCCCACCAATCATGACAGAGAAAACCAATGCAAGAGACTAAACTTGGGAGTGGGGAGGAATCAAGAAAATGAGGGAAAGAGAAAAGGTACAGACTAGGAAGGGAACAACAATGAAGGATGAAGAAAGGTCAATACCCAAGCCACAGGTACCTTTTTCAAAAATGTTGCAGCCGTTTCTCTCTTTGTTGCTGTGATCCGCTTCACCCCATCTGGGGACTGGACACGTATTATCTGTGGTAAATGAAACAAGGTGTTTACTGTGCAGACTTGGAAGGTCCCGACCTATTACTTACAGAAACTAACATCTGCACTCTCTCGGCATATGAGTTACAGAAACTTAACAGTCAAACTTCACATTTCCCCTTGCGTATTGTAACCCAATGTTTCTAGAAGATGAAGCAGAGGTCTGAGAGTCATCAGCACAGGGGAGGACATCCTAAGAGGGCTGCCTTAATAATCAACTCGTATCATCTCACTCAGAAAAATACAGCTTCAATTTTTTAAAAATTGATTTGAAAAAAAAATAAAAAAATAAAAATTGATTTGGCCATGCCACATGGCTTGTGGTATTTTAGTTCCCCAACCAGGGCTTGAACCCACACCATCAGCAGTGAAAGTGCAAAGTCCCAACCTCTGGACCACCAGGGAATTCCCACAACCTCAACTTTTAACCATTATTTATAAAGAATATATCTGAAAGACCAACATTTTTCTCTTCAGGTTTACACAAATTTTTTTTTTTATCAGCAGGAAAAAAACCCAAGAATCATGAACAACTGAGTTGTTAAAAAAAAAAAAAAATCTTTGTTCCCAGATCCATACAGATGACTTTTAAAGATCACGGAATTCAATGTGGAACTCCCTAGCAGACTAGCAAGGGTTAGGACCCGCAGTGAAAGCCAAGGGCACGGGTTCGATCCCTGGCTAGAAACTAAGATCCCTGCAAGCCACAAGGCCAAAACAGAAAAAAAACTAAAAACATAAAAGGATTGCAAGAAATCTTCTAATTTATTTACTTTCAATAAAAAGAATAAAAGAAAAGAAATAAGATGTTTAATACCATGGTAAAACTTGTCAGGGTTTTAAATATATGTATTTTCATGGCTAGCCATGAAATGGTTGTCAGGTCTGGAAGACAGCTGGACAGAGCAGCACTTTCTAGACTTGATTTTCACCCTGACAGAAGCCCAGTGAAGGCGAGCTGTTGTGTCCAGGCCAACCATCTGAGGTCTTGCCTCAATGGGGGGCATGAAATGGCATGCCCTGCCACCAGCAAGACAGAGGATGTTCCAACCACCTGAGGGATGGGAGGAGCCAAAAAAGAATGTGCCAGAAAGCACTCATGTTCTTCCTCTCAGCAACACTGCGCTGTATATTGTATTCAAAACAACACTATACAGATGAGAAATGTCATAAGCAATTGATTTTGAAAGGCTTTCATTGATACAGGACAAAATGCCACAATGGCTTTCGATCTGGTCTATTTTATCAAACATATTAAGAATAATGTAGGGTTCAATGGCTAAGACTCTGGGTCCCAATGTAGTGGGTTTGTGTTTGATCCCTGGTCAGGGGACTAGATCCCACATGCCACAACTAAGATTCTATGTAGCCAAATAAACAAATATTCTTTAAATAATAATAATTTAGATTTTCCTAAACTATTCCTAAGTTTCCTAAAAAATTGCTTGCCTCTGTCTGTCTCTGTTTTGATTTTTTTGGCCATACCTCTCAGCATGCAGAACTTTCCCAACCAGGCGTCAAAGTCCTACCCCCTGCAGGGGAAGCAAGGAGTCCGGTCCCAACCACTGGACTATGAGGTAAGCCCTTTCTCATTTTCTAGGGGTGTGTGTGTGTGTGTGTGTGTGTGTGTGTGTGTGTGTAACTCGTGTCTGACTCTGCAACCCCATGAACTGTAACCCGCCAGGCTCCTCTCTTCATGGAATTTTTCAGGCAAGAATACCGGAGCGAGTTGCCATTTCCTACTCCAGGGATCTTCCTGACCAAGAATACCGGAGCGGGTTGCCATTTCCGACTCCAGGGATCTTCCTGACCCAGGGATTGAATAACTTTTGCTTAAATGAAAAGGTTTTGCCCCCATATTGTATTCAATTTTAAGGTTTTGTTTTGAATAGTCCTTATGAAATTCCAATTGTTAAGAGTGTATTTTCTTTATTTTTGCTTCTCAATAACATCTCTTTAACTTTCTCACTCATCTGTGTGTACCACAAACAAAAAGTCTTTTGACTTTTGATTTCTAGTATACTGTAGATTCAACATCTAGAAAAAATGTTTTCTTAATATACAGCCTGGACATAAGGTAATCTCCCACTTACTTGTTTCTGCAATCTGTCTCCAATACTGAGGCAGGTTAAGAAGTAAAGAGCCCTGCTTCTCTTTGAGGGGTGTCGTGACTGTGGCTTTCACTGTTCACTTAGGACCAAGAGCATGACACTCTACCCCTTGAGGAGTTAAAGGTCAGGATTACATGTTTCTGGAGAGTTCCAAAGGTTAAGAAGTTATTCTACTTGTTCGTTTACAAGACACAGCAGTCGAGGTTTCCAAGCTAAGCTCAATATTTAACTCCGAAAGACAAACATGACTTATACTGAGGGAAGTTATGGCCTGGCCTTTGACACAGGCTATAAAGTAAAATACACAAGAAAAGACAAACCCAGCAACAGAGACACATTAACTTCTTGGTAACCTAGGTCTCCCTATTTATAAGAAAGTGAGCCCAGAATACTTCTTGAGGGAGTCAAAGAATTAGTGAGATAAAAATCAAGTTATTCCACAGAAACTTTTAGAAGACTTCTTCTAAATAAGCAAACTTTTGAAATAAATTTCAGAAGAATGATCTGTTTCAATTCCTCACAATGTGAGAAATTCAGCAAGAGATCCATGCTATCAACTAGAGCTTTGCCTTATACACAGAAACAAAGGTGGCTTTCTCTGAAACAACTCACTTACCCACAGGTATTTCAATTCAGTTAAAAATATTACAGTAAAGAAAAAGTTTGGAAGCATATCTGGGTGCTAACTCTTAACCTATTTCTAGGATGAGTTACCAACAATTGGTGGTAAGTCTTATTTTAAAACGAGTTACTCGTTTCTCTTGGGCCATTTATTACCTCTGCTCATCTCTAGGCTGCGAAACAGAGAAGGAGCCAGGGCCCTTGAATAGAGAGCAGAGTTAGGACTCACTAGAGGAAAAGTCTGAAAGTCCCAGAGCCAGAGGTTCCTGCAGACCTGACCATCCAGAGAGAATGAGTGCTATTCCCAACACCTGGCAAAACTGTTCGAGGCCCTCCCAAGGCCAAGTTCTGAACATGACTTGCCACCCCATACTGCTTTTGCTTCCCCCAGGAAATTCCAAGTGGCCCTTAAAGTTAACCAAAAAATTTTTCTGTCCAGCTGGTCTGTTGGGTTTTTTCCGGCCACACTGACTTCTGAGAGGAACTTTTGTCAAGCTAAGGGGCGGCTAGTTTTTTCCTGATTTTTCACTTAAAAACACACACACACACAAAACTTTAAGGGGACGTGTGTTAATCTCTAATTTCGGGTACAAAATGAGATCTTTTAACACCCCTTTACAGACAGGTAGCTGTCAAGGTCTCCTTGCCATCTGCCAATCCACCGTCTCCCTTCTTCGCAGCTTCCTCTAGCGGGGATGGAGGTCCCCATTTATAGAAAATGCTCTTTTAGTGACCTGTGACAAGGAACTCACTGGGACAACGGCAAAGAGGCAGGAAAGACGGACAGGAGGCGAGGCGGGGTCGAAGTCCCCGGCAACCCGGAGCCCCTCTTCTAGGCGCGCCCGGCGAGACCCCGCGACCAGAAATAGAGAGGCCAGCACAGCCCACACCCTCAGACCGCCCGGTCTCCCACTCCAGCCAGGGACGGGAGGAGTGAGGAGAGGAGATCGGGAACCCAGCCGGCTGGCCGGCCCAGGAGGAGGAGGGCGGGCCGCTGCGCCTCTCCGCAGGCCGCGCCGGCAAATATGCTGCCTCATCCCGGCGCCCTCCCGCCCGGCCGCCCCACTCACGATGCTCTCGGCCATGGTGGCCGCTCCCGTGTCCGGGCTCGAGCCCCGGGCTGCCGCCGCCTGCCGCCCCACGGGCCTCGCAGCCCCGACCCCGGGCTCAGCCCCGGCCCCGGCCTCCCGCCGCCGCCGCCACCGCCGCTCCAGCTTCACCGCCCGGCCGCCACCGCCGCGACGTCCTGTGCCTCACCCGACGCGCTCCCCCGGCCGCGCGGCCGCGCAACCAGGTTCCGGCCCCGCAATCAGGTTCCGGCCCCACCAACGGCCCGCGCCTGCGCAGGGCGGCCCTCGCGCCGGACTCCGCGGGAGAGGCTCCCCCCGCTGGCCACGCGGTGGAGAGACGCTGCGGTGCAGCCCAGAGGGAAGCATCATCGGAGCGCATCTCATCCACAGACAGAGATCCATGGGCTCGAATTGGGCATTCCCGGCGCCCTGCTAGTCAAACGGAAATTCTGTTCTAAGTGTGTTAGGCGGGGTATTTGGAGCGGTGAGAATGGAGGGAACATGCTCTGTGTAACATTGTAGGATTCTTCTAGAAGCTGAATGGAGAATAGTGCAGGAGGAGAATCAGGGAGACCCTTGGGGAGCCTGAGGCTTTAGTTCAGAGGAACACTGTGGCCATGAGGAGGCTGGACGCAGGACAAACATTGGCGGAAGAGCTGATAGGGTTGCTCCTATCAAGGGGCAAGGTGTGTGGTTTTTATCCCGCTGACACGCATCCTGCTTTCTCACCCTACCCTGTCCTGCTCTTGTACAGGACGGCCTCTTTTTGCTTCTCATATACTGACTGTATCCCTTACACAGAAGGACAAGACTGCGTCCTGGTGGTGACGTCTCCTAGTGTGGTCACGTCCAAGCATTGACAGACGCGCTATTCTACTCTACACCACTTACCTTTTAATCTCCGTTGTGTGACTGCGAAGGTATTACATTAATGTTTTAAAGCTATTTCAGTAGTTCTATCTCTGGGGCTGCCATGACAAAATACTACCGACTGAGTGGCTTAAATTTATTTTCTCACAGTTCTGGAGGCCGGAAGTCAGAGATCAAGCTTGGTTTCTTCTGAGGCCACTCTCCTTGGCTTGCAGATGGCTGTCTTTGTCCTGTGTCTTCCCTCTGTACAAGTGCATCCCTGATGTCTCTCTGTATCCCAGTTTCCTTTTCTTTTAAGGACATTAGAGGAGGGCCCGCCTTAATGGCCTGATTTTAAGCTAACTACCTCTTTAAAGACCTTACCTTCAAAGTCTCATTCTAAGGCACTGGGGTTGGGACATCAACATAGAAATTTGGCCGGGCGGGGCGGCGGCAGGGGGACACAGTTCAGCCCATAACAGTGGTGGTAACTACACTTTCATACAAAGGCTACCCAATATCAGAACAGGGCTGAGATGGAGCCAGAGGTGACAACCATCTTCCTGAGAGCCTGCTTTGAAGCCTGATGCAGTAACTGATGACACCTAGCGTGTCCCCTTTGAGGAAGAGACGAGCCACGGTCTGGTTGCACTAGGCCTGACCTCCAGCTCCTGTCCTATCCCTGACCTACTGCCCATAGCACAGCAGCCTGGGTGGTCCTTTTGTCAGATTGGGTGCATGTTACTCAACACCTGTCATCTCCTCATCTCACTCGGAGAAGAATTTGAAGACAGCCACCCTTCTTCAGACTTTCCAGGCTTGCTCCCATCTAAGGCACCACACACGCCCGAAATGCTCTTCCTGCACGTTAGTCTGGCGTGTGCCGAGGGCACAGCCCAGACCCCCACTCAGGACCAAAGCTGCTGGTGGCGCTGGCTGAGCTCCCCTTTGGGGACTTGGCTTACTCCCGATCACAGTCCCTTCCCCCACGCGGCTCATGCCCAATAACAGTCTATGGTTAGCAAGGCCCAGCCCCATGTCTCAGTCTGGGACAACTCTGCAGGCCTTCCCAGCTGCCGGGATCCCTGAGGCCTTTATTGGGACTGTCTGACTGCTCACCTTCTCCCTCTGCCTGTGCCATGCTGCTTCCATTGCGGGTCTGGATCCTGAGACACTCCCAGGGGACCCTCCTGAACTCATCCTCACAGGGGCTTTGCCCCAAGAAAATCCATGAGGCTCGTTCCCTCTCTTCCTTCAGCTTCTTCTCAGTCCTCTTGTTGTTTTCTTTTCCTTTTTTTTAATTTTTAAAATATGTATTTATTTATTTGGCTGCACTGCAATCCTGACATGCCAGGATCTTTGGTTGCAGCATGTAAACTCTTTACTTGTGACATGTGAAATCTAGTTCCCTGACCAGAGATCGGAGCTGGGCCCCCTGCATTGGGAGCACAGAGTCTTAGCCTCTCGACCTCCAGGGAAGTCCCTCTTTTCTTTTTTTAAATTGAGATGACATTCACAGAACGTACAGTTAACCATTCTAAAGGGGGAAACTCACTGCCCTTTAGTGCGGTCCCAATGTTGAACAATCACCTTCTCTATCTAGTTCTAAAGTTTTCTTCACCCCTGAGAAGGAAACCTCACACTCATTCAGCTGTGGCTGCCATTTCCCCATTTCCCAACCACTGGCAACCACTAGTCTATCTTCTGTCCCTATGGCTTTACCTATTCTACAAGTGGAATCGTATAATATGTGGACTTTTGTGTCTGACTTCTTTCACTGAGCATCATGTTTTCAAGGTTCATCAATATTGTAGCCTGTGTTAGAGCTTCTTTCTATTTTATGGCTGAGTATGGTGGGTTTCCTGGTGGCTCAGTAGTAAAGAATCTGCCTGCAATGCGGGGGCTGCAGGAGATGCAGGTTCGATCCCTGGGTCAGGAAGATCACCTGGAGGAGGGCATGGCAACCCACTCCAGTATTCTTGCCTAGAGAATCCTATGGACAGAGGAGCCTGGTGAGCTACAGTTCATAGTGTCACAAAGAGTCAGACATGACTGAAGCAACTAAACACACATGCACAGATACTCATAGCATGGATGGAGCACATTTTGTTTGTCCATTCTTCATTGATGGACACCTGCATTGTTTCCTTTTTTGGCTGCTATGGTCCTGTATATCTATGTATTTGTTTGAGTCCCTGTTTTCAATACTTTTGGGTGTAAACCTAGGAACCAGACATCTAACTTACAGTGAGGCCTCCCTGATCACGTTATACAAGACAGCATCACCACTATTTTCTTCCCTTGCTTCATGACACTCATGACCATACAAAGCAACACATAGTTACTTGTTTCTCCACATACTCTGTGACTTTCCCTGTGCTTGAATGTAAGCGGCCAATGACGGGGGATCGTCAGCTTTCGTCACTACTCTACCGCAGGGCTCTGTACTGCATACCAGTCCCTGACAGAGAATAAACCCCGTGTCAGTCATCTGTGCTCACAATGCTGCTGTGTGACGAACCCTCCCAAAATTCAATGGCTTAACACTCAGCTGGCCCTCTGCTGGAGCTTTGGCTGGGCTCCAAGGAGTGGTCCTTATGGGAGCAGCTAATGAGGAACCCGAAGCAAAAACACAGATAGGAGCTTCTCTGGTGGCTCAGTGGTAAAGAATCCACCTGCCAATGCAGGAGACATGGGTTTGATCCCTGGTCTGGGAAGATCCCATATGCTGAGGAGCAGCTAAGCCCGTGTGCCGCAACTATTGAGCCCGTCCTCTAGAGCCTGGGAGCCACAGCTTCTGAAGCCCGCATGTCCTAGACCCTGTGCTCCTGTGCAACAAGAGAAAGTGAAAGTGAAAGTCGCTCAGTCTGTCTGACTCTTTGAGACCCCATGGACTCTTCAGTCCATGGAATTCTCCAGGCCAGAATACTAGAGTGAGTAGCCTTTCCAGGAGATGTTCCCAACAGGGATCGAATTCAGTTCTCCCACATTGCAGGCAAATTATTTACCAGCTGAGCCATCAGGGAAGCCCAAGAACAGTAGAGTGGGTAGCCTATCCCTTCTCCAGGGGATCTTTCTGACTCAGGAATGGAACTGGGGTCTCCTGCATTGCAGGCGGATTCTTTACCAACTGAGCTATCAGGGAAGCCCGTGCAACAAGAGAAACCACTGCAGTGAGAAGCCTGCATACCACAACTAGAGAGTAGCCCTTGCTTGCTGCAACTGGAGAAAAGCCCACATAGCAACAAAGACCCAGAGCAGCCAAGAATAAATAAAACATACATATTTTTTAAAAGAACACAGATAAACAAAGCAAATAAAAATGAAAAGTGCTGCCTGGGCCGTGCTAGTCTGGAATTGGACCCCAGAAGGAGATTTCAGGGGATGGCATAGAGTGCCAGGCTGATCAGGGCCCAGCAAGCAGCCCGTGTGTCTGGATTGTAAAGTGGTGAGTGAGGAAGGAAAAGAGATGGGCTAAAACATCAAACAGAGGAAGCTGAGAAAGGGAGTGGGGAGTACGATGGAGACAGGACAGGGCACACAAACCCCCCCAGAGACCCCCCTTTCTCCTGCCATGCAAATGTGTTTGCAGAGGGGCTCCTGGCAGCCTCTGTTTTCCACGGTCTCAGGACCCTGGCAGCCTACAGCAACATCCACACACACCATAGTCTCATGCACTCCATAAGCTGGACTCAGGATGTATGGAGGTTCATGCCCAAGGTCTTGCAGAGTTGGTGGGGGGTAGAATCCCGCTCTGAGCCAGGCTTCCCACTGCATCCAAGCAAGGCAGGCAGGGTGAGAAGGAAGACGATGCAGGCTCAGGGAGCCTGGAGCACACCTCTGTCTGTTCTGTGCTGCATGGCCAGGGGCCTTCCAAGCTCTAGGGCCCAATAGTGACCTTGACAATGTCCTGCTGCTGAGAAACTCAGAGGGTGAAGGATCCCGGGTACCTCAAAGCCAAGAAGGAAGTAATTTACCCAGTGACATGTGAAAAAATAATAAAGGCACTTCAAATATACGTACATACATTTGTATATAGTTATAGGCTTCCCTGGTGACTCAGATGGTAAAAAATCTGCCTGCAGTGGAGGAGACTGGATTTTAATCCCTGGATCGGGAAGATCCCCTGGAGAAGGGAAAGGCTCTGCACTCCAGTATTCTTGCCTGGAGAATCCCATGAACAAAGGAGCCTGCCAGGCTACAGTCCACGGGGTCACAAAGAGTCGGACACAACTGAAGCTACTAGGAGCACACACACACACATAATTATACGTATATATTTATATATGTATGTATATAATTATGATGGTCAGTTGCTAAGTTGTGTCCGACACTTTGCAACCCCATGAATTGCAGCACACCAGGCTTCCCTGTCCTTCACTATCTCCTGGAGTTTCCTCAAACTCATATTCATTTTATATGTATTTATATTTATATATACATTTATATAATTTCTTTCTTTCAGTGAATAAGTCAGAGGATAAACTGGCATTTAGCTGTGGGCCGGTCTCCCAGGCTATTACTGAGGCCCAGGATCTGATCCTCCAGCTGAGCTGAGGGGCAGCACTGAATCTACTAGGCTGTCCACACTGGGACCCTCTGGCGATGACCACGAGGCCAGCCCCCTGACAGCTCCCACGTCATGCCTGCAGAGAGCAAGGCCAAGAATCTGGGCTCAGGAAGAAGAATTCTCTGCATCTCGACAAGCAGAGGCTGTGTTAAGCCCTAAAATATGACTCCTCACATGATCTGGTTGTGACCACATCATCCCAGTAGGGCTCACAGCTCACAGAGCAGCCAAGGCCACAGGCAACACCAGGCCTGGTGTCCTAACTGGAGAAACCAGCAGGGTCCAGCATACCTGTCCTGGTGGAGGATGGAGGAGGGGGAAAGGAGCCCCCTGCTATCCCAGGTAAGCAATGCTGTGGCGACTACCAGGGTTGGAGGTGTTCTCTCCCCCCTACCCCACACAGAGCCCTGCTGTGTATGGGGGAGGTAGATGCCCCACTGCTAAGATTGGGGTAGGGCTTTATTAGTCAGGTGCCTTAACCACCCCCAGCACCCTATTCTGACCCTGAAAGGTGATCCAGCCTTGCCCTTGTGTTTAACATGGCGTGGGGTGCATCCACACCCCAAGGATAGCGCACACCCAGGGACCATCACCCATCAGGCCACCCCCACATTTTCCCTGCCCCCCTCCACCTGTGACCCAGCCCCTGTTGCCCCCTGCCTAAGGCTGCCATCCACTCAGCCCTGTATGGCCCCTAGACAAGAGATCTGGCAGGTCTCCCTGTGGGTCTGGGTGATGGGAGGGTGGGCTCTGGCTTGGTGCAGAAGGGGCTGAAGGCCAGTGTCGTCAGCAACTTGTCCTTTTGCTCTTACTGACTTGTCGAGGTCTGGGGGATGCTGATCAATAACCCTTATTTCCTCTGCTCTGATGCGGTCAGACAGGTGGGGAGTAAAGGGCTTGTTTCTTCCTGGGAAACTCGGGACTCTGCCCAGGCCTGGGGTCTTAGCTTCCTCATTCTTCCCACAACCAGACTTCAAGGGCCTGCTGCCCCTTACCCTGCAGAGAGGGGGCAGAAGCCCTTCCACACCTGCCTGCCAGTGAAGGGGTTGGGGAGCAGGCAGAACTGAGGTGGAGACTGTCCATCAAGGGACAAAGTTCCATCGATGAAACTGGCAGCTTCTCCCAACCTCATGATCAGTGATTCAGGCCTCTGTTGGGGAACTGAGAGGAGGGTGGGCCCCCCAACCCTAAGCACCCCGTTATTCTTTTCCTGGGTAAGGCCAGGGCCCACAAACTTGGCTGAGAGTCCTCCTGAAGGGCAAGCTGGGGTCTTTGGGAGGCCCTGCACCCCACAGAGCCCTGGTCTTATGGCTGCACCCTTGTCCCTGGGCTTCTAGGGTCTCTGAGCACCCCCTTCCACCTCTGCTGTCTAGCTTCCTCCCCCTGCAGGCTCTGACCCTGCTCCCAGCTGAGCGTCACAGGGTCTGAGTGAAGGGGGTCACCCCGGTGAGACCTCCCTGTTCCTCCTTCCTCTGCAGGAGGCTGGAGGTCAGGAACCACCCCTCACCAGGAGCAGCCCCCTCACTTCCAGTCGCCCAGGACCAGCTCCCTGGGAGGACCCAGCCTGGAGGGCAGGCCTTGGGGGGTTCCTGGCCTGCTTGCTCCCTTCAGAAAGCAGCTGCCTCAAGTGCCTACTCTTCCTGTCCAACTTCCTCTTCTCCCTGCTCAGCCTGCTGGCCCTGGCCATCGGGCTCTGGGGCCTGGCTGTCAAGGGGTCTCTGGGAAGTAGTTGGGGGTCCCCCCTGCCTGCAGACCCCATGCTGGGGCTGGTGCTGGGTGGGCTGGCGGTCAGCGCAGTGAGCCTGGCGGGCTGCCTGGGTGCCCTCTGCGAGAATGCCTTTCTGCTGCGCTGCTTCTCCGGGGGCGTCCTTGCCTTCCTGGTGCTGGAGGCCGTGGTGGGGGCCCTGGTGGTGGCCCTCTGGGGCCGGTTACAGGATGGCCTGGAGCACGTCCTGCGCCTGGCCATCACCCACTACCAAGACGACCCAGACCTGTGCTTCCTCATCGACCAAGTCCAGCTGGGGCTGCAGTGCTGCGGGGCGGCCTCCTACCAGGACTGGCAGCGGAACCTGTGAGTCCTGGAACCCACGAGGAACGAGGGTAGCCCCACGGTGACTGGCAGGGTCCCTGGGGCTGGAGAGGAGGTGGGCCACACTCACATGCCCATACTCACTTGTACACACACTCACCTGTACAGGCTCCTCACCTATACATACTCACGTGTGCACACGCTCACGCGGGCACATTTGCACATGTACATGCTTAGGCCCAGCCAGGGCCACATGGTCACGCAGGGATGTTAATGGAGAAACTCAGCTAGCAGATGTAGAAAATCATTTTTGGAGATGGTTGTTTTGTTGTTTTTTTTCCCCCAGCAAGGACATCATACAATATATCTCAGTGTCAATTGAAAATAACTTTTAGGTTAATCTAGCTTCCCTTGGAGAAGGAAATGGCAACCCATGCCAGTATTCTTGCCTGGAGAATCCCATGGATAGAGGAGCCTGGCAGGCTACAGTCCATGGGGTCGCAAGAGTCGAACATAACTTAGTGACTAAACCACCACCAGCTTCCCTTGTGGCTCAACTGGTAAAGAATCTGCCTGCAATGCAGGAGACCTAGGTTCAATCCCTGGGCTGGGAAGATCCCCTGGAGAAGAGAAAGGCAATCCACTTCAGTACTCTGGCCTGGAGAATTCCAGGGACTGTGTAGTCCATGGGGTCCCAAAGAGTTGGACACTACTGAGTGATTTTCACTTTCACTTTAGGTTAATCCAGGACATCCCTCTAGACTATGACTCCACAGTTCTCCCTCTGCTATGTGTGTATGTATGTGTACATGTGCGTGTGTTTAGAGTCACATGGAGACTCTTGAAAACCAGCCACTTGTACCCATGAGTCCCTGAGACGTGCTGAGCCCTTCCTTCTGAGTACCAGGCACCCTAGAAGCACTCACAAGACTTGTTCTCACTGGGTGGCCATGTGTGACTTTGGGTTGGTGGCAGCCCTTTCTGACATTGCTATGTTCACCCAGTCTACCGGTCTCCAAGCCCTGGCCTTAGTGAAGCCCACTCTTCGAGGAGATGAGGCTGCCTATATGGGGCAGGGGGTGGTGAGGGATGAGCCTGCAGCTCACAGGGCCCTGGATGCTTTGACTAGATGCCTAGTCAAAGCCAGGGGCACCTGAGGGCTGCCTGAAGCAGGTGATAAGAGCAACACTCCCTCCAGGCCCTGTGAGCACCTCCCAAGCCTCCTGTCCCTTGTCGCTGTCCGGTGTGACCCCTCACGTCCCCACCACAACCCACTGACCCCTACAGAAACCTCTGCCAGTCCTCAACCCCCCTTCTTCGGCTCCAACCCTGATGCTCAGACCAACTCAGCAGCATCTGTGGAGCAAGGGCGTCTTCCTTCCAGCCCCCATCAAATGCTGGCCTCCCTACAACTGTCTTGTGCAGTGTGTGCCTTCTAGCCAAGAAACATGTGCAGAGGCCTACCTGGTACGGGATGAATTATAGAGAACTGGGTATTGTGTGTGTGTGTGTTTGTGCACAAGTGTGCATGTGTGTGCCTCTATACATGCATGCCAGTGTGGATTCATACTGTATGTATATGTGTGTGCATTCATGCCTTTGTGCTTGCACACATGCTTGCATGCATGCACATGTGCATGCCTGCGTGCCTATGCACGTGTGTGGCCATGGAAGTTTGGAGGTGGGTAGGAGACATTCTGGGAAGCTCAGTGGTAAAGAATCTGCCTGCCAATGCAGGAGACACGAGTTCAGTACCTGGGTAGGGAAGATCCCCTGGAGAAGAAAATGGCTACCCACTCCAGTATTCTTGCCTGGAGAATCCCATGGATAGAGGAGCCTGGCAGGCTACAGTCCATGGGATTGCAAAAGACCTGAACACGACTTTAGCAGCTAAGCAACCACAAACAAAGAGACAGTTCACATTGGGGGCCCAAACCAGGGGACCTGCCCTCCAGACTGACACTGTGCACCCTTGCAGGTACTTTAACTGCAGCTCTCCTGGGGTCCAGGCCTGCAGCCTTCCTGCCTCCTGCTGCATCGACCCCTGGGAAGGCGGAGCCTCTGTCAATGACCAGTGCGGCTTCGGGGCCCTGGGCCTGGACGAGGACGCGGCCCAGAGGGTGGTGCATCTAGAGGGCTGTGGCCCCCCACTCATCCGGTGGCTGCACAGTAACATCCGGACTTTAGGCTGCTACGCCATCGGGGTCGTGCTGGTCCAGGGGGTGGAGCTCCTGCTGGCCATCCAGCTGGTGAGGGCTCTGACTGTCCACAAGGGGGCAGCAGAGAGTGGGGGTCTGTCCATAGGAACCCCAGACCCAGTGTCCCGTGCTCTGCCAAACTGGTCGTGGGCTGACCAACAGCGGGGATGAAAGACCCCGCTGGGGTATGGGGCTGCAGGCCGCCCCTCCCCTCCCAGGGCAGATGTCAGAGTAACCTGCCTGGGTGCTTAGGGACACACGCCTTGGACCCCCAGGCCACCTCCGCCTACTGACTTCCAGCTTCCCAGGGTTCCCTTTCCCTCACACTGCCCACTTGCTTGCAAACACTGATGTTCCAAGTGTAAGCTGACCTCGACGACCGCCTGGCCAGCATCTGCCTCCCACGGAGGGTGCCAGGCAAAGCCACCTGGCCGGCAGGAGGAGCGGGGCGCGAGAACTGGATGAAATCCTGCTTGCCAAGCCTCCAGCTCTGAATTTCACCTTGACCCTCACCTCTGACCTCCACTTTCAACCACCTCCAAGTCCCACCTCCAAGCCCAGCCTACGAAGCTCCATGTCTTCACCACAGCCTGGCACCTGCCCTCCTCTGGGGCCACCTCCCCCTTTCCTGTCCACTGTGGTGGTTAAGGATGAGGCCCAGGCCTCTCTCTCCAGAGTCCTTCTTTTTTTGGCAGAGTATAAGTTTTATTGCGATGTATCACTCATACAGTAAATTGAACCAACCTTAAGTGGGCAGCATGAGGCTTCTTATTTACCTACACACCTGTGGACCCACTACCACTACCAAGTCTAGCTCCAGCCCCAGCAGGGTTCTTTGTCCCCTCCCCGAGGTCACCCCTGGTGGAGCTTTGTTACCTTCAGTTCACGTGGCTTTTTCTGGCCTTCACATAGATAGGATCATGGGGCCCCCTTCTCAAGAGTCACTCTCCAGTTACTGCTGTGTGAACAGAGCCCCACGTCTGTGTGGACATGCACTTGGGCAGTTTCCAGAAGATGACTGCTAGTAGGGACAGTTTTGTGCAGGTCTGTGTGTATGTATGACAGCGTGCCCCGCTGTGGGGTCAGGAGTGGAATTGCAGAGTTGCTGGTGGGCATCTGTCTGGCTTTAGTGGGCACTAAAGGGGTCAGGGGGGCCCAGTTTCCCTGCACCTGTATCCTCACCTGTGGGGAGTAAACAGTCTTTCTCGCCCCCTGACCCGAGCTCCTGTCCCTGCAGTACGTGAGGCTGCCCACCTTGCCCCGATCTGGCCTTCAGGAGCCTTCCCAGCACCTGATGTGTTTCCTCCCCTCAGCCTGGCCGAGGCCCCGCCATCCCTGCCACTTGCGCCTGCGCCATCCACTCCTACTCATCAGACCCTATCCTCAGGCCCTGTCCCCACTGACAATACACCCCAGACAAGAGGTGGGGAGCACGGTAACTTTATTTGAAACAGGACAGCAAGCATGGCCATGTTGGAAAGGAGAAGCTTCCTACTGGTGTGACTGATCCAGAGAGTTCTCATTCTCTGACGCCTGCAAGACTCCTGCCATCCACCTGCCAGCCCAACGGCCTCAACTGGGAAAGGCTAGTGAGGGGAGCCCGTCCTCACCCCCAGACGGGCAGGGGTGGTGGTGGGAGGTGGCAGGAGGTGGGATGTGGCAGACACCACTGGGAGGCCTGTCTTAGCTTTCCAGCCTGGGGAGGAGAGGACCAGTGTTTCCGGAAGTTAAGCAGGGCCCGGCTGCCCCGAGAGGGTGTCCTGAAGGGAGGTGGTGGGCTCCTGGTAACTAGCGTCCAGGAGGCTCGAGGCTGCCACCCTGTGAGGGTCTCCAGACACAATCCAGACACTCTGGACCTCCCAGGGGGCCAGCCCTCCTCAAAGGAATCTTAAGCAGGGGGTCAGAGAGGGCAGCAGAGTGGAGGGGCTGAGGGTGGGGGTCCAGGGCTAGATGATGCCGTACTGGGCCAGCTCGTGCAGCTCCAGGTGGTTGAAGGCCTCCCATGGGCAGATGACGGTGATGTCTGCAGGACAAGGGGCCAGTAGGTTGAGGGTCCCAAGGCCCCCAGTGCCGCCATGCCCTCCGGGCCCTGTTGTCCACACCCCAGTGATGAGAGTACAAGGTCCTTTGGGCGTAGAGCCCTCCCCTCAGGACACACCACCTTTGGGGGGTATTGAATGGGTGCCCTGCCCAGGAAGAGAGTGGGTGCAGCAGGCCTGGAGGAGGGGCGGAGCAAGGTGGGCCTTGCTGCTGGTGAGGGGGGTGGGGGACTGGGACAGCAAGAGCTTTGTTCCTTCCAGCCCCCCCAAGCACCCACTGAGTAGGAAGGACCCTACTCGGGTGGTGTCTGAAGCTTGCAGTCGAGAAAGGGAATGAAGCACAGCTAGGGGGAAGTGCCCTCTGCCTGGGGTGGGGGGCTGGGCCCTGGGCACTCTGGGGGGGTGGGTGAGTGGGGGGACCTAGGTGGACACTTGTGGTTGTCATACCTGTTCCCAGACCTTCCATTCCAGGGATGTCATCACCAAACCTGCAAGGACAGAGCAGTCAGGGCCGGTGACCAGGAAGAGAGGAGGGGGCGCGTGCGTGCACTTGAGTGCAGGTTCCTGGGAACGTGGTGTGTCTGAGTGTGTCCTGGGTGTGTACAGATAGGGCTGCGTGTGTGGAGATACACGTTAGTGGGGTGCTGGTTGAGTGTCTGGGTGGTGGTGTGGGTGGGTGTTCTTTCCAGACCTTTCAGCAATAGCAGCTAAAATGGTGACAGGGACCCCCCCCCCGTTCCCAGGGAATGGGGACCCTGAGACAGGCCAGCTCAGGCCCCCGAGAACCGCCCCACCCACTTAGGAGGATGGGATCACCTCCCATGAGAAAAGGGTGGCTGAGGCCCCACCAGCCCCCCACCCGCAGTGCAGCACCCCTCCCTCCTGGACAGCTGGTGGGCCCTCCACCCCCCTCTCAGAGCCACCCCTCTCACAGCTCTGCTTACCCTTGGACACCTTTCTTGGGGGGCTTGCTCTTGAACTGCCTGGTTTGCCGCTGCTTAAATTTCGGGGGCCCTTTTCTGGGAGTGACGGGTCCCCCCATCACCCTGGTGGCCGAGCGGATCTCGGCCTTGGGTGGCTCCAGGTTCATGGCCAGGTTGGCAGAGATCCTGCAGTGACCTTCAGCTTCTGGACTCCCTCACGTTCTGGGCTCTCCTGCTTCCAACCTTCCTCGCAGGTCTCAACTCCCTGGAGCAGAGGAAACCCTGCAATATGAGACCCACCAGTCCCCAGTAGGACTTGGATGGTAGTCCCCTGACCCGGGGAGCCTCTGCCAACTGCACCTGGGGCCCAAATGAGGACCAGGAAGGGGGTGAGAGTGCTGGGTGGTCCCCAGGTGCACCCTCCTTATGGCTTCCCCCTTCTGCATTCCCCGTCCCAATCTCTGGAGTGGAACACTCAGCCTCATTTATGGTAGCATGTTGGGTACCCAACGGTGCCTAAAAGTAGCCTGAGAAATGGGAGGGCAGGGGAGGGGCCTGTGTCACAATGAAACCCCCAACTGGGCTGTGTAGCCTTGGCTCCAGCTGTGTCTTCCCTCTGCTGGTAAACACAACCCCTCCACCCGCCACCACTCACTAGGCACCAGCATCACCTGCTGGTGTCCTTGAACCCACTGCACGGGGTGGCCTCCCTTCCTCCTCTCCCTCAGAGCCTACCCCTGGATGCCCTAAGCCCGGTGACCTTGGCCAGGGGAAGCTCACCTTCCTTTAAGCCTATTAGCACCAGAGGGAGACTCTAATCTCTCAGGAAACACTGTGAGCCCAGAAGGTTCTGGGGCTAAGTACATGACACAGCCAGAAGCCGCTACCCTGGCACTGGATGCCCCAGGTACCACCTCTTGGGGCCCATTTTCTTGTCCCCCATTTGTGGGCTGCAATGCCTAACTTCTGTCTGGGGCCACCACCGGCTGCCTGCTAGAGTTTAAGGGCTGAGACCAGCTGGGAGGTAAGGACAGGTGGTTCTATCAAGACCAGTGAGGAAGGCCTGGCCATGAGTACCAGGGCACCTAGTTGGATAGGCCCCGCTGTGGACCTGCCCTCCCTAAGTTTTGGCCTCTGTGCTGGGACCAGCATCAGCCTGAGAGGAACTGGGGATCAGGGGCCGGATCTACACTGGGTCCAAGGTGGACAGCAGCAGGTCCGGTGGCCCTGGCGGCTCAAACCCCATGACACCCACTCCTCACGGCTCAGGCACTGTAGGCCCAGCCAGTCCCTTCCCCAGTCCCAGGCCATGGGCCTGGTGTGGGCAGTTCTGAGACCTGATGGAGCTCCAACTATCAGATGCTATCTCCATGGAAACCGCTGCCCGAGCTGCCCTGGCCCCAGCCTGGCCTGTGGCTTGTGCCCATTTAGGTTGGCTGAATGTGTGTAGCCCGAGGCTCCAAGACCATTGCTAGTCTGGGGGACAGCCTGCACCACCATCTGACACGGGGAGCAGAGGACGTGATAGGCTGGGCATCCTCTCTGAACAGGGCAGTGGGTGGCCTCCCATAGACCCAGACCTCAGGACGGTAGTGAAAAGCTCACCAGCTCCCCATCCTCTGAGCAGATACCCACTAACACCCTTGGGTAAGTGGCCACCAGGAAAGGCAACCTGGGAAGGTCTCTACTCACCAAGTTCTGGGGCAGGTCTCAGGGGACCATAGGTGTAAGTGGCAGGCCTCCCTCAGCAGGGTGCCAGCTGGGCATTTATCCTGCAGCTGGGTAAGCTGATTAGGACTGTGCTTGACACCACACTAATGAGATTGTGGGGTTGGGTAGCACTACCGAGGATTCCCCGAGATGGGGGAAGGGGCTTAGGTGCGATCAAGGGAAGGACAAGCTGGGGACAGGGTCAGGGCAGGCAAGGGATACATGATCATGAACAACCAGCCTCTCCTGAAGCTGCTTGTTTTAAAAAAAATATTTGTTTGCTGTGCTGGGTCTTAGTTGTGGCATGTGAGATCTGTAGCTGCAGCATGGGAAATTTTAGCTGTGGCATGTCGGATCTAGTTCCCACATCAGGGGTTGAACCCAGGGACCCTGCATTAGAAGTATGCAGTCTTAACCCCTGGACCATCAGGGAAGTCCCTGAAGCTGCTCATTTTGAAGCAAAGATGACATGGCACTGGCTGTCATCTCAGACCTCTCTCCGCTTTCAGTCCTGACTGCTGAGGAACCCCTTTCTGCCCCCCAAAGCCATGTAGCCTGGTCCTGATCCACTTCTTTGGCCTCACCTCTCATCCCTTCCTTTTGCTCTGTGCTCTAAGGAACTTCTTCCACCCCTAGAGCCTTTGTACTTGCTGTCCCACCATGTGGTGCATTTTCTACATCTCTCCCCTTCCCCTAGCTTCTTCTTCCTGGGACTTCACAAAGACCAACTCCAGGTTCATATACACATAGAAAATCTTTCATTTTTTCCCACAAATATGTTTTATTGAGAAAAAAAAGTAAACTTCTTCCTCCATCTCTGAGATTAACTACCTCCATGTTGTAGACCCCTTCAGGGGCCTCAGGCCCACTAAGGTCTGCTGTGCTTTTGTCTCCAGGGAAATCTCTTCCTGGGCCATTTTCAAATCTGTAGGACATGACTGAAGTAGATGCTCTCTGACATAAAGTGTAACAAACATGTATTGCTACTATCATTTTTTTCTGAAAAAACCAGAACTGATTCTGGATGACATGATTAGCTGGCCAAGATAGCTGGCACTACTGGGTGTATCCTCAGGCATTAGTACGGCAGCATGTCTTATGGCTGTGTGGTTTCATTCTTTGGTCCACAGATCTGCCTTCATGGGAAATGCTGGCTTTACATTGAAGGCCTCTACCTGGGAAGGCCTGTTTTATCAGCTCAACTCCTTAGTGAAGTTGGATCACAACCCTAGCTTTTCTCTTAAATGAGGAGATAAAACAGGCAGAAATTCATTTAACCCTGTCCATCCAGGACACTGGTATCAGAGCTTGGAAGTCTGCAGTTGGATGGATGGGATGCTTCCCAGGTCATCTGTGGGTATTTGTGCCTACCAGAGCTTTGCTAATGGCTGCCTCAGGGGCCAGATGGTCCTCCTTCTGCCATACCACTGAGATTAACCAGAGCTGACCTGTGGGTCAAACTTCTGGGACGCTGGGATATGGAAGGGGGCGCCTGGGCTCATTGCCACTTAAATAGTCAAGGAAACGGGTTTACTTTCACCTTCACAGGTTGGTGAAGGCTCTAGGTGCCCTGTGGACATATGATGACATATGACATAAGCCTACAGATGATGACACAAAAGCCTGCCGTCTAACCACCACAGAGAATGTATTTATTCTCAGGCAAAGTCAATAAACAACTCTTCCTACTCCTGCCGGCACCAGCCACATGAAGGGGCCATGGATAAAGGCGGCTGTGCAGGATCCTGAGGAGGAGTGTGTCGGGGTGAGGGTGTCTGGCCAGGTGGTTCAGCCTCCACTCCTAATGCGGAGCTGGATCTCCATCCGGAGGAAGGCCTTGAGGTTCTCATCAGTTACGTGCTCCTCCAGGGCGGCCAGGGCCCGCTCCCCGCCATCCTGGTAGTGCTGCAGCAGTGCATCTGCATACTCTACCCACACGCAGTTGGGGCAGCCACTCATGCAGCAGTTGGTGGGTGGCTGGAGCTCAGGTGGTGGCGGGTACAGAGGTCCTGAGGGGCCCCCACCCGGCAGGGAGGACTTGGGCTGGCCGGTGCCCGCTGCACCTCCTTGGGACCCCGCTTCCACATGGTTCTTCCCAAACTCTCTGTGGGCTCCACGGACTTGGATCCTGTGAAGAAGGCTGCTGCCTCCAGGAAGCTTTTGGCACCAGTCCCAGCTGGACAGTGGCCCCTAAGGATGCAGATAAGCACATGAGTCTCTAGGAAGCTGGTAAGGCCCTGCCTGCCTTCTGCTCTGGGCAAACTTTGGCTTCCTGTCACTGGCAGGGGACTCCATGTCTTTCTCAGCTTCCTTAATTCCTGCATGACCTTAGACAAGTTACTTCGTCTTCAGACTCAGTTTCCCATTTGTAAGAGGGACCTGACGCTTGGGATGAGGATGACCCATAAATTCGTGAGAGAGGCTGGGTTCAAGGCCTGGTAGTAGGCAGGCACTGGGCAGATGCTGAGTGGTGAGACTGTATCTCCAGCTAAGATGCCTCTGCCTGGTGGTCCGGACTGTGGCGGAGGTGGAGGCTTGTGAGCTCCAGCCCAAACAGCCGCCTCTCCCTCTCCAACCAGTACTGCCACATTTCCCTCCCGTGACCATCCTGACTAATCGCATCAGCCCTTCATCCCTCTTCCTTCTGTCACGGGAGTAGCCCAAGTCATTCCCAAGGTCCAGGGGACAGCCTTCTCCCCACCTGGAACCCCCACCCTGGCCCCTTGCTCTGTCTCCAGGGCACTGGACACGGGCCCACATTTTATTTCTCTAACTTCTCCAGCGAGGAGCATCAGCTGCTATTCACTGAGGTTTCCCCAAAGGCCTTGCACACAGCAGCTGTTCAACAGATACTAGACAGGGAGGGGGGAACGAGCGCAGACCCTGCCGGCACTACCCCGAGCTCTGATCAGCGGCGGGAAGAGCGGGGCTCCTCGTCCCTATGGGGCCCAGCCTCCCGAACACATCCCGTCCCCGTCCCCGCTTGTACTTGCCCCGCCGAGGGTAGCGGCAGCCACCGCGCGGCCTCCTTCTGCTACCCTCCTCAGGAGCATTGCCCGCGGCCTGGCTCACTTCGCACGCGCTGCAGGCGGCCGTGAAAGGCGGCCGCTCTGGCCAATCCCGACCCGTCAAGGAACTGTATATCGTCAGGGAGTTGATGGGCGCAGAAAGCGGAAGTGGCGGGAGTAGGGCGGGACCGTGCGGGAGTGCGGAAGTGACTTCTCCTGTGAACCCCGTGCTTGCAGATGGCTGGACTCCGGAGCGGAGTGGCGGCGGCGGTGTCGGCGGGAACGGCGGGGTTTGGGAGTCCAGGGCGACCGCAGGGCCGGAGGCAGCAAGAGTTGGGGAAGCAGCGCTCGGCGCCATGGCCGGGACCGCGCAGGTGGGTGCGGATCTCACCGCCCTGAAGACACCTCGGCGCCCCTCCGCATGCCGGGCACAACTCGCTGCCGGGTTCGGGCGGTGGGCGTCCGGGAGGGTTAGCTGGGTGGGCAGAGGCGTGACGGAGTCTCCGGTGTGGCACATGTCACTTTCTGGGCGCCGTCTTGTCATCCTGGACGAAGTCAGGTCCTTCAACTCAGGGTACTGTGGGAGACCGGTCCAGGGACTGTCTCCGGGCGGGCTAGGACGAGGTCGTGCTTTCTTGACCGGCACGCACGATAGCGGCCAGGTTAGCCTGCGAAGTTTCTTTCTCTAGGCTGAGCTTCGGCTTCTCTGATTGTGTTTATGCGCCACTTGAGACCTGTCTCACCCCCGTGTTCTCCTTCACAGCAAAGAAAAGAAGAAAGTGAATTGCAAGCCCAAGAACCAGGATGAACAGGAAATTCCTTTCAGGCTGCGAGAGATTATGAGGAGCCGGCAAGAGATGAAAAATCCTATCAGTAACAAGAAGAGGAAGAAAGAGGGTAACTGCAGGCTAATGCTGGGTGGCCATAAAGCCTTGTGTGTTTGAATCCACTTAATTGCACAAGTATTTAGTGGCGTTTCAGGCAGAAGAAATCTGCCAGACCCCGGCAGTTCAGACGGTGCAGGAGCGTGTGGAAGGCTGACTGAAGGCTGGTGTCACCAGGGCCAGAGTGGCGGGTGGCAGCAGGTGACAAGGTGGTTTCAGGTGAGGCTCCAAAAGGAGCCCCTGGGGCCTCATGGGCTAAGATGGAAGTGTTGATTTCACCATCGCCCCCCCAAGAGTAGTGGAGATACATCAGAGGGGACAGTCAGTTCAGATTTACTTGAAGAAAAAGGTCGCTATGTAAGGATTGAGGGGTGAGAGAACACTGCAGGCCAGCGATACTATGATGATGGTTCCTTGGACCAGAGTGCAGAAGTCATGGTGGCGAGAAGTGGATGGTTTCCAGAGGTTATGGAGGGAGTTGATCAGACCCCCTGGGAAGCTTATTTCCTCACCACCACCACCACCACCTCTTTCCCCAAGGCCAAGTAGGGTGCCCACCTGTCAGTCTTTCCCTGGATGCTGGGGGAATTGGGTCCAGAGTGTTTGTGTTTCATGTACACGTATAGGTGTATGTGTTCCTAAACATGACACTGATTTTGCAGCAATGCTATTTTGTCGTTTCTTTGTAAACCTTAGTCTTTTTATTGGGGGTTAGATGGCTGCCAAATCAATAGTGAAGTAAAGAATTGAGGAAGCAGAGGGGTAGAGGAGGTCACTGACCCAGATGGATGATGGCACATTCTGAACCATGCCCTGTAGAGTCAGCACTTGTGGGAGTTTAAATTATTTTAAAAAATATAAACTTATGTACTTGGTGAAATCAGTTCTGAAAGGTATGAGATGAGGCATCTTTGAATCCTGTTCCCTGCCCCTAAAAGAAACCACTGTTCATCTCCTTTTTTTACCTTCCCAGGGGAAATGTTATGCCTATTTTAGTTATTCACATGTTAGTCTTATGCATATTTCACTTTTCACATGTTAGTAAAAGCTATACTTTCATTCTGTATATTGTTTTGTGTCCTGGGTTTTCCCTTCCAGTGGATTTTGTAGATCTTTCCACGCCCTTCCCCATAACTCCACGAAGCTCTCCTCAACATTTGTGCAGTGACACCTCTGGATGAACATAAAGGGATTCATTCAGCCAGTCACCTAGTGATGGACACTTAAGGTCACGTCACTTTTTTCAGCTGAGCTGCAGAGGACGTCTTTGGTGTGTGCCAGTGAACTGTGGGGATGCCACCCCAGGGTGCCCCCAGCTGGCATCTTAGAGATTGTTTAGTTCCCATGTGAGTCTGCTCTTCCCTTTCTGTGGCCTGGGGAGGGGAGATGAACATGGGCGACCAGCCCAGCACCACCCAGTCCCGCCGCCTTCATCACTGTCCTCTCTGAGGTCTCCCTTTTGTCCTCAGCCCAGGCAGCCTTCAGCAAGACATTGGAGAAGGAAGCAAAGGGAGGGGAACCGGACATTGCCGTACCCAAATTCAAGCAGAGGAAGTGGGAGTCCGACAGGGCCTATGTCCGGCGCATGGAACAGGAGGCCCAGCACGTGCTGTTCCTCAGCAAGAACCAGGCCAACCGGCAGCCCGAGGTGCAGGTGGCTCCCAAGAAGGAGAAGTCGGAGCGAAAGAAAGCGTGAGTGGGGGCTGGAGGGGCTGGGAGGTAAGGCTGTGGGGTTCCTCGAATGTCTTCTGTATTGACAGCATCTTGTTGCCAAGGGGCACCCTCCCCACCCCGTGAGTCAGAGCAAGCAGGACCTGGTGTCAGTGGGTGTTTTTCTCTGCACCTCAGCCTCTTTTTTGTTGTTGTTGTTGTTTTTTCTTTTTTTTTCTTTGCACCTCAGCCTCTTGATCTGGGAGGCTCTGAACCCATAGAACTCTGAAAGCCTGGCTTTGTCTGTACCTCTCTGTGGAAAGCATCAAGGGATCCAGGAGCCAAGTGAGGGTTAGCTGTCCCCTCCAGGCCAGTCGTTGTAGGGAAGTAGAAAAAAGGTGAGGCTCCTTCCCAGGAGTGCTTGCAAACCACCAGGGGAACTGTGCCTGCCCCACAGAAGTCAGTTTCCAGGATTGACCTTTCCAGCCCCCAGAAAATTTGAGAGCCTGAGGCTGTGTCATTTGGACAAGTTCTGTGACCTCTCAGACTCAGCTTCCTGGTGGAGATACAGCACCAGGAGGAAGCCCACCACCAGCTGCCCATCCCTACTCAGCCCTGGAGAAGTCTACGACACAAACTATGTGCTACCTTCTTGAGCCTGTGGGTGGGGGCTGGGGCAGAGGTTCCAGCAAACAAATGCTTTTTGAGATGTGTTTATGCCTCTACTGAAACTTTCGTCATGAACCAAGCCAGGCTTTCATCAGAAATTTCTCTGAAAGCAGGGACTTCCTGGGCAGCCCAGTCCTGCCACTGCAAGGGGCATGAGTTCCATCACTGCTTGGGGGACCTGAGATCCTGCATGCCATGTTGCGTGGCCTTAATTTAAAAAGAAAGAAAAAAAGAAATTTCCCTAAAGCTATAAAAGTTTGATTGTTTTCAGCTTTGTGGAGTTTTTCCACGTCCACTTATAGTACATGTACTCATATTAGCCAATGAAAATTACATCACACAAAACCTATCCCAGGTACCAGCAAAAACCACAGTGATCTCCAGCACTCCCTGGACGCTGATTCCAGTAACAGTAAGGAGACATGTCACACGTGCTACTGTGCAGGGCGCTTGAGACACAGCAGCACGGTTGACACTTGGGGCAGGTGATTCTCTGGTTGGGGGGGCGGGGGCACTGTTCGTGCCCTGTAGGACAGTGAGCAGCATGCCTGGCCTCCACCATTGAGGTGCCAGGAGTACCCCCCCCACACACATTGTAACAGCCCAGAACATCTCTAGACATTGTCACATGGCTCCAGGGGTACTGATGCTGAGGACCCTTGACTTAGAACTTTGGGAGGGTCTGCTGGGTTCAGGAGTGCTCTTTATGGGTCGTGGGGTTTGGAGGAAGCCCCCTGGGGTCTGCCATAGAGCATCCCTCATGGGCAGGGGTGACCTCTCCCTCTTCCTGAGTCCAGTGAACCGAGGGTTTATGAGTAAGAACAGCACTGTGCTCTCTTCCCAGGTTCCAGAAGCGGCGACTGGACAAGGCCCGGCAGAGGAGGGAGGACAAGGCAGTAGAGAGGCTAGAGCAGGAGCTGCTCCAAGGTAGCTTTTCCGGAAGCAGTTGTGTCGGGGTCGGTGGGTGGGCTAACAGTGGCTCTGAGTGCCAGGGCTGCAGCGTTTGTGTGGGCAGCAGGCCTCAGCTGTGCTCCTCTGCCCCTCCAGACACGGTAAAGTTTGGTGAGGTTGCGCTGCAGCCCCCAGAGCTGACCGCCAAGCCCAGGATGAGCATGAGTAGGGACCAGGTAAGCAGGGGTTCAGGGAGTTGCCCATTTCGCCCCTTGATGCTGCCAGGTCCAGGGCACACAGGAGAGTGCCATGTTCTCACGGACTGACTTTTGGACTGACCTAGACCCTTCCTTAACCTCCCCTCCTTCCCAAACCTGTGGCTCAGCCTCCCTCTCTCTGTTCTTCAGCCTGGCAAGAAATCACTGATGCTGAAGAAGCTTCTAAGCCCCGGTGGTATGTCCCAGCCTCTGACCACCTCACTGGCCAGACAGAGGATCGTGGCGGAGGAGAGGGAGCGGGCCGTGAACGCCTACAGAGCACTAAAGAGACTGCAGCAGCAGAGGCAGGGGACTCAGTTGCCACAGCCACCCCACCTCCCTCCCGGGAAGAAGCCAGAGACGCAGCTGTGATGACGAGGGACCAGAGCTGCTGCACCTGGGCTGGAGCTGGACACGCAAATGGCCTAGTCGAGAGTCCTTTCCCAGGACATATCCTGGGACTCAGGTCGGGCAGCGGGCTCCTGTTTTTTCTCCCTAGAGACTGCTCTTTCAGGAGTGACCATCTGCTGGACCCATATCTCGCACAGAGCGTCATCTGTCTCCTGAGCCCCCGTAGATGGAGCCACCACCTGGGTGAGATGCAGTCAGCGTCGTTTCCTTGAGCCTAGCGTCACATGCAGCTTTGTTCTGAGCACACAGGTCCAGGCTGAGACACAACCCAGGGCCACTTTAGGGAGGGCCAATCCCATAATCCTGTCCCTAAATGCCAGTGAATTGTAGACACCACTGACTCGATAAGTGAGGCTCTACCGGATTCGACAGAGGCACACGGCTGGAGCCAAAGCCAGACAGCAGGCTGGTGTGGAGCAGGGGCGGGGGGTCAGCATCTAGGCCACCTAGACCACTGTCACCACGGTCCCTGCAGGATAGGTGGAGCCACTCCAGCTTATGTTGGGGTGTGAAGACTGAGCCACCCACACTGAGGTTGGGGAGGCTGAGTCCTTATGTCATCAAGGCCTCTGGGGAGGACATGGCGGGGCTCTCCAGCAGGTCCAGAGTAGGTAGACAGCAAGGACAGGAGCCCAGCCCAGGGCTCTCTTGCGATCAGAGGGGCCATGTAAGTTCCTGCTAAGGGCAGGATCTGGCAGGGTTTGAACCTCCCACGGGCGCCAGAGGAGGGAGTACCTGGGTTTATCCTCCTGCTCAGGTGTGGGATATAAGTGAGAACATGGGGATGTGGCTTACAGGCTGCTAGCAGTCGAACATGGAGGGACAGGGTCAGGCTGCTCATAGCCCTGTTGGAGGTTGACAGCCACTGGGCTGCCTTGCTCTCTACAGCTCAGGCTCCTCTAGCCAGCAAAGATGGCCTGGGCAACTCAGTCAGTGCTAGGCCTCAGCACTGGCCAGGGCAGCCCTGGAGAATGAGTGTGGAATGGTATGGGATCTGTTTTGCTCTTCCCCAAGTTTGTATTTTATGCAGTGAAGTTTATTTTTGAATTAAAAGATTGAAGTTCTGGAAGCTGTACCTGGAATCAGGGCTGTCACTCTCTGGGGTGTGTTTCTGCGTGGTGGGTGGCCTCAGCCCTTGCACGATCAGCTTCTGAGATAGGCAGGGCTGTGAGAGCGAGGGGTGAGGTGGGGCTGCTGAGAAACACCGGTGTTTCCTGGACTCACTGCAAGTACGGTATGAACGTGGGAAGGAGGAAACAGGTCGTGGTGAAGGATGTTTGCCCTTGGTTACAAGAAATGTGGAAATTATATTTCCTTAGACCCTTATCAGAGTGCCTCTAAAACTGGTCAAGTTGGCTTAGCTGGCTTTACCATCTGAGATATCACCAGGCCCAACCTAACCCAACAGCAGTGGTGACTAGGCTGGGTTCATCCCTCAGATAGGCCCCCAAGCTGGGCATCACCCCTCAGGAACAGAGCCCAGATTCGGGTCACCTCTAGAGACAGAACCCAGGTAGGATCAGCCATCAGGACATCCAGCCTGGGTTAAGGGTGTTGACTCTGAGCATGAAATAAGATCTTTGGCCAAAATGAGTTTATTGGAATCAGAATTTCAATTCAGAACAAGCAAATTGTGTGGCAAGTTGGAGGAGACAAAGGGAAGGTCAGCTTTTACTCGGTTTTAGGAGGAATTAATGCTTTTGAACTGTGGTGTTGGAGAAGCCTCTTGAGAGTCCCTTGAACTTCAAGGAGATCAAACCACTCAGTCCTAAAGGAAATCAGTCCTGAATATTCATTAGAAGGACTGATGCTGAAACTGAAGCTCCAAAACTTTGGCCACCTTATGTGAAGAACTGACTTATTTAGAAAAGACCCTGATTCTGGGGAAGATTGAAAGCAGGAAGAGAAGGGGACGACAGAGGGTGAGATGGTTGGATGGCCTCACCAACTCGATGGACATGACTTTGAGGAAGCTCCTGAAGTTGGTGATGGGCAGGGAAGCCTGGTATGCTGCTGTCCATGGGGTCGCAAAGAATCGGACATGACTGAGCAACTGAACTGAACTGAACTGAGGGGGAAATTAGGGGGCTCTGGTTTTCCATTGACTGCAATGAGTAGCTTATTTCTGAGTCAGAGAAAATCGTCCTGCTGGGTCTGTGAGCTGTGGTACTGAGGGACGCATGCGTGAGAGCCTTCCCTTCAGAGCTTCCCGACCCCATTCTGATTGAGCTTTTCTTTGCTCATTTCCACATTCCCCCCTCCCTTTTGATCTGGGTCTTTCCTTGAGACCATTACTGATCAGTTTTAGTGGAATTGTGTTTTGTCCCTCAATCCCAGGACCTTGCGTGGACATCATGTGCCACGTCAGAGGGAAAGTGCATAGTGATAGAAACTGAGTGAGGCCACGTTAGAGTAGTAAGGAAAGTAGAAGGAGAAACTCAGCCATTTTCCCTCTTGAAATCGTATCTTGTGAAGAAGATAGGAGCATCAGCAGCATCTCAAGGCACTGAGTCAGTGTCATTCTATTTAGTGTGCATTTCTGCAGGGGGTTGACAAGCAACATGTACAAAGTTTTAAAATAGGGAATTCCTGGTGGTTGAGTGGTTAGGACTCTGCACTTTCCCTGCCAAGAGCCCAAGTTCAATCCCTAGTTGGGAAACTAAGCTCATGCAAGCTATGCAGCATGGGGGAAAAAAACAAAAAACCAAAACTATGCAAAGCAGAATGCAAAAGTAATAATATGACAGCTAGCTTGTATGAGGGTTTTAAACCATGACCCAGGACCTGAAGGTAGCTGAATAAATCAAAGGGCCAAGGAGAGTCAGGTGAAATTTGTGCTTGTTCCCTCATCTTGTGTAATTGAGTTTCTCCTTCTCCAAAAGTGTTTATCCAAGTAGTAGTAGTAGTAGTATTTGCTATCGGACAAATGCTTCCTTATTCATTAAGTATGAAATCAAAGTCTATGTAGCTGTCTAAAATTACTTTAGGTGATGAGTCAAGTGATAGTTGTTGGGCTGCACAATTTGTGATTATGTGCTCATTGACACTTGCTCTGACCTAAGGAGGTTTTGATGAGAACTGGCCAAATGGCACAGACTTGTATAGCACTTGACCAATCAAGTGGGTTCCTCAATCTCTATGAAGTTCAAAAAGTGTTCCTTTCCAATGGTATCCGAGCCACAGAGGAGGCAGTGGCCTGGCTGTGTGGAAAAGCTTCAGTCCAATGAAGAAACATGCAAATCATCGTTGCTGTTTGGTCATTAAGTCGTGTCTGACTCTCTGCAGCCTCGTGGACTGCAGCCCCCAGGCTTCTCTGTCCATGCGATTTCCTGGGCAAGAATACTGGAGTGGGTTGCCATTTCCTTCTTCAGAGGGTCTTCCCAACCAAGGGATGGAACCCGCATCTCCAGCATAGGCAGGGTCCTTCACCACTGAGTCACCGGGGAAGCCCTGCCAATCGTTACCAAGAATTTCACCCATGAGATAGTGGGCAGCTCTGTGAAACCCACTTGCCAAACCTCAAATGGTCTGTCAGGCAACTTGGAGCGTCTGGGAGGGAGCCATGTGGGCAGTTTTCTGGATTGCGTTTTTGGAATGTGACACCAACCCTGGATCCAACATCTTCCCACATAATGCTGCATGATATTTGCCTGATATCATCTGCTGAGAATTCATTACTTGGGAAAGCAACACTGAAGACTGCATACTGATGTTCAGATTCACAATATCCAGCACTTCACCTGCCCCCTCACTTTATCACCACCAGTCTGGTGTAAGGGCATGACCTGTTCACTCCTGTTGGAAGAGCACTGAGTGTTGTGGGTTCAGTATCTTTTTTTCTTGATTTGCTGAGGTTTGTTGGAGACCTCCACAATTGGGAATCGAGCTCTGAGGCAGGGACTGTTCAATAGTACTGGGGTTGAGCATTGAGAATGTAGCTCCAGTATAGAAATTCATTCCCAGTCTGGAGAGTTGTTTCTCTGAAGCAATAAAGAGGGAGACTTGGAAAAACTGATTTCCTGGAAACCCATCACTGAGAGGTGGGAGGACCCTAGAAAGATGGATTGGGTGACTGAAGATGCCCAGAGCGCTTTGGTTTCTCTAAGCCTTTCTTTCAGTGTCCTGGCTTCTTACAATAATGATGAAGGCTGGGAGGACTTTGCTTAGGGGACTCTTATCTGTTGAACTGAAATATTAAGGATTTTAATGTTTGTTTTTTTTTCTTAGTAGAATCACCTAGGGTACAGGCTAATTGGTTTGCCAAGTTAACTACATCTTCAGAGGACAGTTTCCCATTCTGTCCTAGTTCTCTTAACCAACAAAGTCCTGGTTTGGCCTGTTAATGAACAGAGTTGAAGGCCACCCTAGTGAATTTGTTATCCATAGGGAGACCAGCATTCTCCTGAAAAACAACCTGGAATCGACTTGTGATGGTGTGACTTATGTATAATATACATTTGGTCTTCATCCTCATTTCTGGCACAGAACTCCTAAAACTCTTGGAATTTTCTGATTAAAGCAACAAAGATGTCTCTTGTTAGGTGAATGAGTTGGGTTTTGGACCCCACCTAAACATCGGGGCTGGCTGCCAAGAGAACCAGCATGATTAGAGGGTTAGAACTTTTCAGTGCCCATTACCTCCAACTGCCCAAACTCCAGGGAGGGGAGAGGGCCTGGAAGTTGAATTAGTGATTCAATCAATTATAAAACCCAAAGGGCAGAGTTTAGAGAACTTTCAGGTCGATAAACATGGCAACGTAGGGAGTGTTCACTGGAGGGGGCATGGGAACTCTGCACTTTCCCCATACCTTGTTCTGGGGCTCTCTTCCATCTGGCTGAATCATTTTCTTTTATAACCAGTGATCTGGTAAGTAAACTGTGTCTCTGAGTTCTGTGAGCCACTCTAGCATATTCGTTGAACCTGAGGAGGGTGGTCCTGGGAACCTGATTTATAGCCTAGCTGTCGGTCAAGAGCAGAGGTAACAACCTGGGCTTGCAATTGGCTTCTGAGGGCAGTTGTGCAGTCTTGCACCTCATCTTATAAAAACAGAAGGCATATAACTGCCCTTCGGGACATGCTAAATGGGAACCAGTAAGGGTGGCTGAAAAAGACCGATGCTGGGAAAGATTGAAGGCGGAAGGGGACGACAGAGGATGAGATGGTTGGATGGCATCACCGACTCAATGGATATGAGTTTGAGTAAACTCTGGGAGTTGGTGATGGACAGGGAGGCTTGGTGTGCTGCAGTCCATGGGGTCGCAAAGAGTTGGACATGACAGCAACTGAACTGAACTGAAGGGTGGCTGAACCCAGTGTGGGGTAGAAGCTGGGGTGCCATGGTGACCCTGTGTGGAGGGCAAGAGCCTGTGAGCACCCACCTAGCAGCAGCTGCTGGGACTTTGGATGGGAGAACTTCCACTTGAGGGGGGTTTACCACCTTGCCACCTGACAGTAACTGAAGCTGCCCCAGTGACTGAAGGATATAAAGTGATCTTAAGCTCCAATAGCTGTGATGTCTAGGCCAATGTCAGAAAAACACTCTAATGCAGGTGGCAGTGCCCAGAAGGGTTCCACATTAACATGGAAGTGGAAATGGTTTACACCAGACCAAGCTGCCTGCAGAACGCAAGGAGATGCAGGAAGCCTCTTTTCACCCAGGGCGGACTCTGGAACCACATGAGGAGGTGCTGGAGTCTACTTGGGAGTCACTTGGACAGTGCCCTACAAACTGCTCTCAACTGACCAACAAAGAGCTGTTCACTTTGTGAATGGCAGTTTCAAGTTGAATGGACAGCATTTTGTTTGGAAAGCTTCTATGTAAAGACCAGCAAATGGAGACTGATTGAAAAAGGTTAAAAAGGACCAGCTTGTTTGGGCTAAATTACATGCATTTTTCCTAGCACTGATGAAGAACTGAGTTGTCGAAGCCCCCAGGTTTGAATTTTTACTGACTGGGGTAGTGGCCAATGGCCTGGTCATATGGTCAGGCAGGAGGATAGTGGCCTATTTAAGGATGTCCATTTGGGGCACAGTCCCATGGAAATCAATGGTGACCATTTGAGGGGTGCGTTAGAGTTGGACATGTTGGTGCCTATCAGAAGAACCCCTTTCCAGGTTTGGAAGGTGACTGGAACAAAGATATCCCCATGTGCTCCCGTGAGATGACTACCTGGGTCCATGAAATCTGTGGACATGGGCACTGTAGCAACACTGAGATGGGCTGAATGTAGACAAATAGGCAGGCCTCATTTTATTATGCTTCACAGATAACTTTTTTTTTAACAAATTGAAGGTGTGTGACAACTGTATCAAGCAAGTCTATAGGTGTCATTTTTCCAAAAGCATTTGCTCTTCATGTCTGTCTATCATATTTTGGCAATTTTCACAGTAGTTCAAACTTACACACTGGGGAACTAAAATATTTGTGTGGCTGACTTTATTATGATACTTGCTTGTGGTGGTCTAGAACTGGAATACAGAGCATCTGCACCCTCTGAGGTCCAAAATGCTGATAACAATTGTTCTGTCTGCCACCGTGAGACACTGAGACCATGGAAGTTCATGTGCCAGGTGCACTGGTGGGCAGGGCCTGAGCAAAGGGGGCAGGTCAGACTGATGCCAGAAGCCCAGGGCTACAAGGGGTTCTGACATGAAGAGATGCCAACTCTGGACTGTGCTTTGCCGCCCTGGTGGTAAATGCAAATGCTCAGAATACTATAAAATCATGACAGAAGATTTTGCACCAGTTTGGGCAGCTGACCATCACTTCTTTAGACCAAGGAACTCACTGTAATGTCCACCGATGGATAGATATTATTCTAGATGTTTCTGTGAAGGTGTTTTTTAGATGCGATTAACATTTACATCAGTAGACTTTATGCATAAAGCAGATTATGTTCCATAATACAGGTGGACTTCAGTTAAGACCTTAATAATAGAAGACTGACCTCACCCGCACAAAGAAGGCTCTGCCAGCAGACGGCCTTCGGACTATAAACATACCATCAACCTGCTTCACCAGCCTGCTGCCCATCCTGCCAATTGTGGACTTGCCAGCCTCCACAATGACATGAGCTAGTTCTTTAAAGTAAATGTCATTCTCTCTTTCTCCTGTTCTCTATGTTTGTATTTATAATAGATACACATAGATGCTGGATCACAGCCCCCACCCCCAGCTGTACTATCCAGAATATTTCCAGAGTATCCACTGGTGGCCAGACTGTCCCAGTTAAGAACTACTGTGTATGTAAATCTTTTCTGTTTCTTGCTGCTAGTTTGTGGTCTGCTTCATCTATGTCTTATACATATCTTGACAGTTTACTCCTGAATATTAAAAACCATCACTTTGTGAATGAAAGTCACGATTCATTAAATTGTCTAACTTTACTGATATTTAAAAAATATTTTATTTTACTCATTTTTAACAGGTGGGCAACTGAATTATCTTAAACATATTGTCATATATTTATATTTCATACAAGTATAATATATACAAAAAATATATTAGTGATGGCCCTAGTGTTCCAGGCCTGCTCTTCGCATGGCAGCCAGGAGGCAGTCTTTGCTGTGGTCCTTGGCTGATACCTGGGGGACTCTTGCCCACTTGCCCACCCACCCCCCCAGCCAGTCTGGGAATGAGGACAGCAGATGGCAGGATCAGCACTTTTGAGAACTCAATACTGACTTCAGGGAGCCCTGTGGCATCCACATGGACTCGGAGGGTCCAGGGTCCATTGCATCGATAAGCTCTGTAGGTGATTCTGAGAAAGCAGAGTGGGGAGAACACTGAGAATGGATGGGCTCCTCCGATGGCCAACCTTGGGGGGTGGTGTTGGGGCCTAGTGGGACCCCAGCATTCAGAAGCTCACCCTGCAATCTGGGCGAGTGGGGAGTGTGCACAGGAGGCACATTCTCCAGGGAGAATGACCAGCCCCTCACCAGATTCTCAGGTTCCAGACAGCAGAACAGCTCAGAACCTTGCTCCATCCCAGAAGAGAAGATGGGTTCTGAGCGGCCAGCATGCCTTCCTGGGTCACAGTCACAGAATGGTCCCCAGTGGGGCTCCAAACCTCCACTGCACCCATGTTCAGGTGTTACGAACACTGCAAAACACTCTTCTATGGCCTCAGACTGACTCGGTCAGCCAGCGGCTCCCTCCAAAACCAGCTATTCTCTCCTCCAGGTCTTGGGAAGGCTGTCTTTAAGATTCTTCAGGATGGCTTGCCCAACCCCAGGGCCTCTTCACAGAGTGTATTTACTCCATCTGAGAGCTGCTTCTCAGAGCAACTGGGGAAACAGAAGCAGGCTGAGGATGTAGGTCAACTTGGAGCCCAGACCCCTCAGCCCACTCTACTGGAGTGTTGTACTGAGCCCCCTGCCTGTCCCCTCTGGGCCTGGACATCTGGCCCTGGGATCAGAGTGGGTGAGGCCAAGGCACAACCACCTGGGTGGCCAAGGCAGGCCAGTGTGAACTGTTCTTGCCCTAGAGAAACCCCAGGGTGTTAGGGCCTTGGGTCCCCACAAGGCTAAAGGGGGCCATGCAGGCCTTCCAAAAGCCCTTGGAGCCCAATGAGCTAGACCACCAGCTAAGACAGAGGAAGGTATTGTAGGAAACTCACAACCACACTCAAAAGCAGAGGATTTCTTACCAGACTGCAGCAGGTTTAATAGCGGCCCCAAAGGTATGCCCAAGTTGTAACCCCCAGAACCTACAAAGAGGACCTGATTTGGAGAAACAATCTTTGTACATGTGACTGTGGATTTTGAGATGAGCTCAGTCTGGATTAAGGTGGGCCCTTGTTTGGGCTCAGCTGCTCAGTTGTGTTGACTCTCTGTGACCCCATGGGCTGTAGCCTGCTAGGCTCCTCTCTCCATAGACTTTTCCAGGCAACAATACTGGAGTGGGTTGCCATTTCTTACTCCAGAGGATCGTCCTGACCCAGGGATCAAACCTGTGTCTCTTGCAATTCCTGCACTGGCAGTCTGATTCTTTACCACTGTTACATCCTCATAAGAAAAGATCATGTGAAGACAGAGGCAGAGAATGTACCTGGTGGTACAGTGGGTAAGACTCTGCCTGTCTATGTGGGGAACATGGATTCAATCCCTGGTCCGGGAAGATGCCACACGCCGTGGAGCAACTAAGGCCGAGTTCAACAACTACACCCTAGAAGCCTGCACCCTAGACCCCGTGCTCTGCAACAAGAGAAAAGTCAAAGTATTAGTCACTCAGTCATGTCCAACTCTTTGGGACCTGATGGACTATAGCCCCCAGGCTCCTCTATCCATGGAATTCTCCAGGCAAGAATACTGGAGTGGGTTGCCATTCTTTTCTCCAGGGGATCTTTCCAACTCAAGGATTGAACCCAGGTCTCCTGTATTACAGGGAGATTCTTTACCGTCTGAGCCACCAGGGAAGCCCAGAAAAAGAAGCCCATGAGCTGCAAGGCAGAGGAGCCCCAGCTCTCTGCAACTAGAGAAAGCCCTCACACAGCAACAAAGACCCAGCGCAACCAAAAAAAAAATAATAAAAGACAAAAAAAGACAGGGTCAGGGATTCAAGTCCTGCAAGCCACAAGCCAAGGACACCACACAGCAACCACAGCAAGGAATGGATTCTCCCTTGGAGTCTCCAAAATGCTCACCCCTGCTGATACCTCAATTTCAGACTTCTGGCTTCCAGTCCTATGACTGTTAGGTTTATGTTGCTGCAAGCCACCATTTATAGTGATTCATTACAGGGGCCCTAGGATACAGATGCACCAAGCAATAGATGTAGGTGTTTCTACAAGCTCTCTTAGCTGAGAGAACACAGCGGGCCATGGGGGAACTGTGGCCTGAGGGTCTGGCCAAGAGCTCACCAGCACCTCCCATACCCCATCAGAGCCCCTCTCTACCCTGGCCTACCTGTGGGGCCCCTGACCACTGAGGCACCTCTGGGTAGTAAATGTTTACTGTTTCTAACCCAAAGCCTGGTTTTTCCTACCACACTGACTCATGTACCTGACATTGTCTGTGAGGTATCCCACCATTAGGGTACCAGAAACTTTACAGGTTAGAGCTTGTATCACAGTTGGGAGAGCAGATCTCCTGGGGAGAGGGGAACAATTCCCCTAAAGCCATCCCAGAATGGTACAGGACACAAGCCACCTGGCAGGCCTCTCCTCCTCTCCCAACCCTGGAGCCAGAGAGCAGATATCAGGAGTTTCTGTAACCTGGGTGACTTGTTTATCCATCACTGCAACTCAGCACAGAACCCTGTCTTCCAGGGCTTAGCCTGCTTTTATAAAAAGCAACAGACGGCCAGTGGCCAAGCAGTGCCACCTCTGCCTTCTTGCCGCAGAGCAGGCTGGCCATGCTTCTCCACCCTGCAGTCAACCATTGGTTCTGTGGGTGTCCTGGAGCCAGCGCAGCACATCTGACAAACCAGTGCCTTTCCGGGCACTAACTTCTACGGTGGTGATGCTCTGCTTGGCGCAAGCAATGAGGTCCGGGAGCCTGATTAACGACTTCATCTCCTCTATGGTCATGTAACAGGGCAGGTCACTGGAGTGAAAGCAGCATGTATCAGAGCAGGCTGCCAGAAGCCCATCCTAGCCATCACTGTACCCCGCCCACCCCGCAATGAGCCACCCTCTTGGCTATCCTCTATAGGAGCTCCACCCTGGGGCACACCTGCACTCCCGCTCCCCTCTCAGACACGTACATTTTATTGAAGAGAATCAGAACTGATGCTTCTGCAAGTTCTTCTGCCGATAGGAGACCCAGGAGCTGCACACACGATGCCGAGAGCTGGGTGGGGTTAGAGGCATCCACCATGAACTGGAAAGAAGTGAATGGAGATTAGGGCCCCCCTGGGATGAAATACCATCCTTGCCAAATCTCTATTCACATCACAAGCCTGGCTCAGGAAGAGCAAGGAAGGCTTCAGGAAAAGCAGAGGGGAGCGAGCTATGCAAGAATCACCAGTGTTATTTGTTTCCACCTACACGGAAGTCGCTCTACTGTGCAGCCATTACTTTTACAAAGAAGTGTCCCAGAATTTGGGGCATAGATCTTGCCAGGATGGAATGAACCAGGGCGTACATAATTAAAACATAAAACATACAAACATATCCAGAACAATAAGACAGTGAGTGGATGACACAGTTACCTGCACAGAAGAAATACTGTCTTCAGCAACCCTTCGGTGAGGTTTCACGTTTGCCTGGGAGCAGCAGCATTAGGAAGCAGCTGGAGTCCCAGAAGGAAGCAATTCTGGCCTGGGCCATGTTTCCTTGACTAGCATAGCTGCCTGCGAGCCCAAGTTCTATCCCACACAAAGTGAAACTGGGGACTAGACAACCCTGCAATGGGGACTTTCTTCCCTTTAAGGAAGGGCAAAAGACTAGGACCTACCAGGAGAGAATGACAGTTTCCATAGTAACTGGACCAGATGGGGCCCATGCAGCCCCCCAGCTCCCGGATGGTGATCTTTTTTTGAGCCACAATGTCCGTTAAGTTGGTACCCACCTGTGGAAAAAACCGGGATGTAGAGACCACCACAAGCGCTTTCCCACGGGCAGCTCCTGGAGAGCAATGTGCCCAGCCCTTTACACTGCGACCTAACCACCAACATAAGTCTTCTCAAGTGTTTAGGCTCTAAGGTAGAACCCACAAGGGAGGAGGTCTAAAGATGCTCCCCGGGTTGCAGGACCCACAGGGCTGGCTGTGGCCGGGGGGACCAACACCTACCAGAGGGATTCGCCCTGTGCGGGGAGCAGCAAACTCTGACCAGTGGTGAGGGGCAGGCGGCTCCGGATGCCCTGCGACTCTGTCCCGGCGGAGCCAGGCTCACCGCGATGACACCCACCACCTCCCGAAAGGTGTCTTGAACACACCCACCAGTCAGACCCCAGCTTCCCTTTAAAGGAATCCAAAGCTCTGCTAATCGCAAGGGGATCCGCTTCTCCTAAACCTGCAGGACGCCTACCGTGGGCCGCGTCAGGGGCGGATCGCCCAGGTCGCCTTTCCCATCCCGGGAGCACAGCTGTGCGAGGTAGTCAAGGACTCTTGAGCGGGGCCAAGGAGGGCGCGCCGGCCGGGCCCCGCCCCCCGCCCGAACGCCCCAGACGAACCCCGCTCCGCTCGCCATCAGCAACCCTCGGATCCCCACGCCCCTCCAGACCCCCTTTCCCCCCCGCCCAGCGCGGAAGGATAGTCTGCAGGCGTTTCACCAACATCGTCTTCCCCACCCCCGTGGCCCCCAATAGGAGACACATCCCGCTTCCCGCTCCACTCGACACCCTTAGCTCCGTGAGACACACAAGGCCCACCCTCAGCTCCGCTCTCATTGGATAGACTCCGCCGCCGGGCATCTCATTGGCTTCCCACTCTAACCGTCTCAGTAGGCGAGGTCTAATCGGCGCCCAGCGTCCTGAGAGAGCGGAAAGACCCGCCTCCCCACGGCTCGCGGGCTGGCCGGCGACGTGCGCGTGCGCGCGTCTGAGAGGCAGGCGGAAGCGGAAGTCGGGGGCGCGCTGGCCCTCAGTGGGGTTCGCCGCGGCGTCAGGTTGGGGTACCGGGTCGCCATGGGACGCGGCAGTGGCACCTTCGAGCGTCTCCTAGGTAACGCGGCCCCCGCTCCCCGGTGGGAAAGACCCCCGCCCCCAGTGCTCCCGGGCGACCGCCGCGCGACTCCGGTCCTGGGCGGGCGGGCGCGAAGGCGACGTAAGGCCCGGCGGTCCTGGGCGCAGGGCCTGGAGCCGACCGATTGAGTGAGGGTCCGCGCAGGAGACCGGCCAGGAGCTTGGGGAAGTAACTACCAGCGTCTGGCCAAGCGGGCCTCACGTCCTGAGTCACGAGAATGGATGACTCAGTGAAATAGTAAAGTCTCAGTAGACCCTCTCTCCCCGCCAAAAACCTTGGTTACGTGGGATTTGGGAATTCTGACCCATAGGTGGGCCTCAAAGGGTGGAGCCAGCAGTGTCCTCCCTGGGACCTGCCAGCTCTTTGGAGCGCTGCTTCCCCAGGGATACAGACTCGCGCCGTATGTCCCACCACTGAGCTCCGGGAAGAAGCGCCGGGGCTAAGAAGGCGTTTCCTCTGTTGGGGTGGATAACTGATCTCTCTGAACCTCCTGGAGGTCACAGGTTTTAGGAATGAAAATCAATGTTTATGAACAAGCTCACTCTCCTTTAGGAAACTGTTCTGTGTTTGGGACAGGCGCCCTAGGTAGTGGAACGATCAGCCTGAACCTGGCCTCCTCTTTCCTCAAATGTGATTTCGGAGGGACCTCAGATGAGGCCTCTTCGTTGCTCATTGAATTATCTGGGCTGAGGAACTCAGCTCAGGTGATCGTTCAGCCCTTCAGCGATCAAATCAGGAGTCACTGTCAGATCGTTTTTGATCTTCTGTATGACTCCAGGGACCACGGTCCTGACTGAACTGGGAAAGCAGCCCCTGAGCCGCTCATCTGTGTCTGAGGCCACAGTGACGTAGACTAGAGGTGGTCGTTGGAGAGTCCTCCTTGGCAGGTCAGCCCTGTCTGCACTCCACAAAGCACTTGAGGCAGAGGACCGGGGTCTCTGCTGTATGTATTTCCAGCAGTACCACAGCTGAGAGCTAAACAGGCTAAGCTTCTGAAAACCAGGGACTCTGAGGGGTGAGGCAGCAGAGCTTAGTGTTGAATTCTGGCTCCACCCCAGCAAGCTATGTGATTTCAGGCCCAGTGACTTTACCTCTCTTCACTTTTCACCTAGTTTCTTTGTCCGCAGAGAGCGTGGAAATATTCCCTACTTCTTAAGGTTGTGTGAGAGTTGAGTGAGTTTGTGTAAAGTGTTTGGAACAGCACTTATGTGTAAAAAGCCCACAATGTCTTTCAGGAAGGACAGTGCTTTCCATGATTATTGTCAGGTGTCAGGAGGATGGTCACATAATTTCTCGTTTGGTCCAGATGTCTAAAATGGGAAGGGGACAGTTCCTTCGCTTGTTGCTGAGCTGGGGGGCCAGCTAGGGGATCACACACAGGATGAGCCCTTGTAATGGTGTGTTTCTGCCTTAGACAAAGCGACCAGCCAGCTTCTTCTGGAGACTGACTGGGAGTCCATCCTCCAGATCTGTGACCTGATCCGCCAAGGGGACACGCAGTAAGTGCTCCCTCGGAAGCAGTGGGGTGGCCGCACCGTGGACTGGGGTTGCTTCCCACTCCAGGATCCTGCCCAGATGAAAGCTGAGCACGTTAGACTGCGACGGAGGACTGTGTGGTCTGTGTACTAGGGCTTTTGAGATCTCGGGACAGTTAAAGGACTTTCTCTGTACAGTGTGGGAGTGTCTGGTTACCTGGAAGTTTGCCTAGGGGGTCTCAAGGACCAAATGGCCAATGGGCTTTTCCTCAGTCTTAGGAGCTGTTTTCTTCTTTTTTTTTTTCCCTCTGTTTGCTTTTACCAATGCCTTTTTTTCTGTCAGGGCAAAATATGCAGTGAGTTCCATCAAGAAGAAAGTTAACGACAAGAATCCTCACGTGGCCTTGTACGCCCTAGAGGTAATCAGACCCTGTACTCCAGTTGGTCCTGGTTGGGGTGGCAGCAATGGGCGCACTGCCAACAGTGGAGGCACCAGGGACAGAGGCCTGGGCTGGGCCAGGAGCAGCGCTTCCACTCTTCCGCCTGAGGCTGACATGTGTAGGCCCTGAGGTTGACTGCAGTGTCTGTCCTTGGTGATAAAACACGGAGTTAAAAGGAGCGGGTGTAGCCCTGGCTGCTGCTTTCACTGGAGACTGCTCTGTTGGCTTTCCTGCCTAGCTGGGTGGTCTGAGGGCCCTGTTGAGGCCCACCTTCTTGTGAGGAAGGTGGACCTGTCCAGGAGGGGGAGTTCCTGCCCTGACCAGCAGCTTAAGTCTTCCCCTCCCTGGGGTCTGCAGGTCATGGAGTCTGTGGTGAAGAATTGCGGCCAGACAGTCCATGATGAGGTGGCGAACAAGCAGACCATGGAGGAACTGAAGGAGCTGCTGAAGGTGGGCGCTGTGCAGGAAGCAGAGAGGCCCGTGCGGGGGTGCACCACCCTGAGGGCTTTTTGGGACTTTGCTGGCACCTGTGTCAGAAATCAGTGCCGAGGGCTGGAGGGCAGGTGTTTGTGATCCCTGCCTGGAGAGGTCAGGCCTTCCCAGAAGCTAGCCAGGGCTGCATCTGGGAGTGCGGAGGAGACCCCACTCCTCCTGCAAGGTGAGGAAGACTTCCTGGGGGGCAGGAGCTGAGTCTTGAAGGGCAGGGGATGCTCACTGAGCAGCAGAGAAGGTGGGGAGGAACAGTGCGTATGGCCATGGCAGCGCATGTGAGTGGAGACCTGGGGTCCCCAGAAGACTTGCATAGAGCAGGGAGGCACGTGAGTTTGTTGTGTTTGTGGAGGCAGAGCTGGAGAACAGGAACAGAGAAGGGATGCCAGATCAGTGGGCAGCCCGCCCCCCACCCCGCCCGCCAAGGCAGAGGAGGGAAAATCCTCTAGGGCCTCAAGGGGTCATCTGAGCAGGGCAGGTTCGCTGCCCTGTAGGGATTGTGATGTGGGCAGTGACACCAGGAGGTTGTATGATGTAGAGTGGGGTGGTGCAGCCATTCTTGGAGGTGAAGGGCATCCCACAGAGCTGAGGCTGCCCTAGGTGGCAACCTAGGAGCATAGCTCTGGCACCCAACTCCACCGCCACTGTGGCCTAGGCCTGTTGGGCGCCTGTGGGCCTCACAGCCCGGAGCCCATCTGAGGCTGAGCTGACAGTGGGACTTTTCCAAAGCCCTGACTGGAGGCTTGGCCAGCAGCTCCTCAGTCCTGGGTGACAGAGGAAGAATTAGCACCTGACCTCCTTGTGTGGGCATGATCGTGTCCTGTTCACACGGCTCGGGATCTGAGTCCTTGGAGGGCCGGGGCTCCTGGAGCGGGGTCCACTGACTGGACCTAGATTACAAAAAAGAGCAGGAACTCTGGCATGGGAGCTGTGGTCGGTGTCTCCTCGAAGCAACTTTCTCGACCCACCGTCCTGAGCATTGTGTGTGTACATCGTCGAAAGAGCTCTAGAAATGGGATTGGTTGTGCTTTAATCTACTGGAGGTGGTGGCCTTGTATGTGGAGAACTTTCTGGAACCATTCGTCCCACCTGTCTGGGCTGCCTATGACTGGAAGGAGGAAGCTGGCTGACCGTGCGTCTGCACCCTCAGCCCAGGCTCGGTTGGCTATGCCTGTTGGAGGCTGGCCTTAGCCAGCCCCAGAGTGGGTCACAGGCTGAGGGGCTCCCTAGGTGGTCAGGGTCCTGTTGGGCACAGGGTGAGATGGGGAGAGACAGGTGGTGATGGGACAGTAGGGGTGGGAGAGCCTTCACTTGAGGGATTCCCCAGGTTCTCCCAGGTGGTTAGAGACCAGTTGCAGGCCCTGAATCAACAGACAGCGTGAATGGATTTGTCTTTGGGGAACGGGGTTCCTTGAGGAGGCCTGGATCTGGGGAGTGGGTCCCTACATGGTCCCAGTGCCCTACTTGGGCTCCTGTTGGGGTCTTGCCAGCTGCTTCCTTGTTCTGAGATGTCTCTTTGGCACCTCCATCTCCTCATCTTCCTTCTTCTCTTGCCTACAGAGGCAGGTGGAAGTAAATGTCCGGAACAAGATCCTGTACCTGATTCAGGCCTGGGCACACGCCTTCCGGAACGAGCCCAAGTACAAGGTGGTCCAGGACACGTACCAGATCATGAAGGTGGAAGGTGAGTTATGGGGGTGGGGGCGAGAGGGTCCAGTTCCGGGCTTGGGACACAGCGTCAGGAGTTGGGGGGCTGCCCTGCACCAGGTGGGCCCAAGGGAGGCTGTGCTGGGCGCGGCACTGTGCTCTGAGCGCAGTGGACTCGGAGAGTCTTAAGTGGGGCTGTGGCAGCTGAGACAGGCTTCTTCAGGCCCAGTGTGTGTTCCTCCCTGTTGTTGTGTTACCTGTGGGGAGATGTTGGGGTTCTGGCAAGGAGAGCGGTGGATTCAGGCCACGTTTGGAAGATTTCCTGGTGCTCCCACCAGGTGTGGGTGAGAGGGCAGGCTGGGTCCTCTCCACCTGTGCCGCACTGCAGGGCCGGGTCTTCTGATCCCAAGGTGAGCCATGGAGTGGGAGCAAGGGCACTGCCTGTTGGTTGCAGGGTGGGCAGGACTGTGCAGACACTGTGTGATGAAGGACCCATCCAGGTCAATAAGCTGGCCTCAGACTCTCAGTTCCTGGACTTCAGACATGAGAGAGGACATCCAGAGTTTATGGAGGGGAGTTCCGGGCAGTCCACTGGTTAAGATTCTGGACTTTCACTGTTGGGGACCCAGATTTGATCTCTGGTTGGGGAACTAAATCCCACAAGTCACACAGCATGGCCAAAAGAAAAAAAATAACCAACAAAGAAAGACTTTTGGGATTCCAACGGATCCATCTCTCAAAAAAAAAAAAAAAAGCTTGGGAACTCCAGTTTAAAAGCTCTGGAAAGTGTGGTTGGCTGGAATGCAGGCCAGGAGCCAGACGAGAGGCCCAGGGAAGACCCGTGAGGCCTTGATGTGGTGGGAGCAAGGCTTGGCTCTGTGTGTGGTCCCCAGGACTGAGCGGCCTTGTGGAGCCACCCCAACTGTGGGGCAGGCCGGCTGAGCTGCGCCCCGAGACACCCTTGTGCAGTGTGAGGTCATTGTGCTTGCTGCCTGGGGCTCTGGGCCTCTTCTGTCTGCTTGGGGAGGCAGACACCAAGAGCTGGGATGTGACCACTGGAGGCCTCAGGGCTGATGGATAAGAACAGGTGAGGCTGAGGGCCTCACACACCTGGGCAGCGTTCAGCGGTAACAGGGGCCTCCTTTCTCCAGGACACGTCTTCCCAGAGTTCAAGGAGAGCGATGCCATGTTTGCTGCGGAGAGAGTGAGTTCACGGGGTGCTGGGTCCAGGAGTTAGGCTGCTTGCAGGAGGCAGAAGGGAGACCCTGGGATCTGGGCTTGTTGGGAGCAGGTGAGCTGCTAATCGTCCTCAGCATGAGAATGCCCTTGAAGTAGAATATGCAGCTTTGTCTGCAGGTAGAGAAAGGAACCTGGTTGAAGGTGCCTTAGGGCTGTGGTTCCCAGTTAAATACTTCCATGTCTCCGAAACTGTGGGAAGTCTTGCAGTCAGGTCTTTAGAAAGAAAACCGATTTGGAGGGAGATCCTTCCTCGAGTCACGTCTGCAGTGGGTTGGCCGCAGTCCTGTATGCACACCTGTGGAGAGCGGGGGTGGTCAGGGAGGGCAGGGGCGTGTGACCTGACTCTGCCCCTCCCCAGGCCCCCGACTGGGTGGATGCCGAGGAGTGCCACCGGTGCCGGGTGCAGTTCGGGGTCATGACCCGCAAGGTGAGTACACCTGCTTCAGGGAGGGCCCCAGCTCCCCACCTGGTCGGGACAGACCCCAAGCCTCCCGCTGTCATCACAAGGCCACTGCGCCCATGCCAGGCCCTTTCTGGACTGGGACCTGGTGGTGTGGGGAATGAGGTCACCTGGGGTCCGAGTCCAGTGGTCAGTGCCCTCAGGCAAAGTTCAGGCAAGGCTGCACTCCTGGGGAATGGAAACACCCCACGCCCAGGGGTTTGGGTCTGCATTGCCTCGGCCAGTAGCCCCTTGGCTGAGTCTCAGCTGACTCAGCTTGTCCGGCTTGGACCCTCCCTCTGCTCACTGAAGCCGTGGCCAAGGCTGGGGCCTGGGACATCTGAGCAGACTCCCCAGACTCATTGTCCAGTTAAGACTTATTTATTAGGACAGTGTATGCATTCTTTTGTGAACTTTTTTTCTTAATTTGACTTCTTTTCCTCAAAGTGGAGGCTACAATTGAGAGCTCTTGAGCGTGCCCTGTTCACCCAGGGCCTTTGTGGCCTCCCACCCCAGCCTGGGAGGCCCAGCCTGGCACGTCCTGCAGCAGGCAGTGCTGGGCAGGAGGTGGGCGTAAGGAGTGGCTGACAGGCCTCCCCAACTCACCCCATGTCACAGCACCACTGCCGGGCGTGTGGCCAGATCTTCTGTGGCAAGTGCTCCTCCAAGTATTCCACCATCCCCAAGTTTGGCATCGAGAAGGAGGTGCGGGTGTGTGAGCCCTGCTACGAGCAGCTCAACAAGTGAGTCCCCTGGGACACTGGAGCTAGGGCAATGCCAGGCAGGGCCCCTAGGTCTGAGTCCTGCTGGCCAGTTGCTTGGGTTTGTCTATAAAGTTTTGGGAGAAGAGATGCAGGAGTTGCCTGGAGACCCCCCACCCTATGACAGTGAATTGCCTCTCTGTAGCCCCATTGACTCCATCACACGTACACATACACACCCCCCAGGCCTGTGTGCCCGTACCCACCTTGTGTCCTGAACCATCAAGAGTGAGCTGCAGGCACCCTGTCCCTCTCCCTTCAACTCCCGTGTGTGCGCCCCAAGGGGAACTCTTCCCACGAGACTGCTGCTAGCCATCAAGCCTGGGCATTTGGCATCAGTGTGGTTAGTCTCTGTTCAGGGTTCCCAAGTTCCAGTAATGTCCCGTGGTGGTTCTGTCCTGTCAGGACCTGCCCGCCTCCTCAGCTTTCTAACCTGGTGAGTTTCAGCCTCTCTGTCTTTTGTGACAGGACATTGCTGAGGGGCCTAGGCTGTTTGAGGCACATCTCTGGGTTTGGGTCTGAGGTCTCCTTGTGATAGTCAGGCCCTGTGTGGCTGGCCCAGGAGCCCATGTCGTCCATCTTCCCAGCCTCAGTGATGGGATCTGATGATCTGGGGAAGGGATATCTGTAGGCCGCTCCACTGGGAGGTCCTTTTTTGTGGAAAGCTGCAGTGTGGAGGTGTTTGAGCCCCATTTCCAGGAAGGGGGCTGTCGTTTAGGCCAGTGACTTGCCCAGGGCCCTGCAGCCCAGACGTGACAACTGGTTTGAGGGTCCAGCTTTTCTCTGGATGTGGTCTGTGGAACCCCCGTCTTCCTTCCCTGGGGGTGTCAGAGGGAAGCCCCAGGCTGTGTCCAAGAACACATGGGGGTAGGATACAGCACCCAGTGACACACGGCATCCTGTCTTCTCCAGAAAAGCGGAGGGAAAAGCGGCCTCGACAACGGAGCTGCCCCCGGAGTACCTGACCAGCCCGCTGTCTCAGCAGTCGCAGGTACTGCCCGGGCCTCTGGGGGCGCCTTGACCCTTGGCCCCGCTGACCCTGTCCTGTCATCCTCAGCTGCCCCCAAAAAGGGACGAGACAGCCCTGCAGGAAGAGGAGGAGCTGCAGCTGGCCCTGGCCCTGTCTCAGTCGGAGGCTGAGGAGAAGGAGCGAATGGTGAGCAGGGGGCAGCCTTGCTGAGTCTGGGGGTGCCCAGGAAAGTGTGGAGTGCACCTCGGACACCCTCCTCCTGGTTCTCCCACAGAGGCAGAAGTCGGCCTATACCGCGTACCCCAAGGCAGAACCCACACCTGTGGCCTCCTCAGCGCCCCCCGCCAGCAGCCTGTATTCTTCGCCTGTGGTGAGCCTGCCCTTCAGCTCAGCCCCAATGGCTTGGACCCCCTTCCTGTGGGGCGGGGGGCAGGCAACTGTGCCTCAGCAGGGATGCTCGAGTCTCCTGGGCAGGGACAGGCAGCCTGGTGCCTACAGGTCTCAGCTCCCTAATCGGGACCCCAGTGGAGCAGAGGACACTGGAAGGGCTGGAGGCCTCACTGTCGAGACCCTGGTGTCTTCCATATCCCCCCGAGTGGGAGGAGGTGGGGACATCTTGGGTCAAAGGTGCTCGTTTTTCTAGCCTCCCTTGAGGCCATCACAGGTCTGTTTGCTGGAGGTGGACCGAGTTCTCTCTGTACAAAGGAGGAAGGTGGCAGGTGGGGCAGAGGTTTAGAAAGACATTTGCAAACCCTGCAGGGCACTGTGGGTGGAGCTAAAAGAAGCCCTGCCAGTTGCCTACCCATCCCTGTGGTCATGGGAGGGCATTCCATCTACGGTTATGGAGCCCCTTGGTGCTCAGACAGGCTTTGGCCAGTCTGCAGGGTCCGCGCTCATGGCTACATCATCCAGGCCTCTGTGGCCTGTGGCCTCTCACATCTACCATGTCTCCCCAGAACTCGTCGGCGCCTCTGGCTGAGGACATCGACCCCGAGGTGAGGATACCCCAAGTGTGGCGCTTTCCCCTCGCTGCCTCCTGGCCCTTGGCAGTGACCCCCTCTTGCCTGTGCAGCTTGCGCGGTACCTGAACCGGAACTACTGGGAGAAGAAGCAGGAGGAGGCTCGGAAGAGCCCCACACCGTCTGCACCAGTGCCTCTGACAGAGCCCACGACCCAGCCTGGGGAGGGACACGCAATCCCTGCCAACGTGGAGGTAAGGGGCCACTCTCAGGCTTCCTACTGTGGTCCCTTGGGAAAGGGAAACGAGGATAGACAGAGATGGAGTCTCACTGTCTGGTCCCTTCCAGACTTCCCTCCCGGAGACAGACCCTCAGGCCGTAACTGCAGCCGGAGCTGCCTTTAGTGAGGTAAGTCGTGACTCCCTCCTTGGGCTGGGGGCAGACTTGGCCTCCCAGAGTGCAGAGTGCCAGGCTCACAGTGAGCTCCCAGAGGTGGGTCGTTGCTGCTTACAGCTCTCCATTGAATGTCTCTGGGTTGGCTATGGGCCCTGCTCAACTCTTTGTTGTCTACCCCGAACAGGTTGGAATATTCTGGGGCTCTGTACTTTGGTGCCCAGTGGAGTAAGAGGCGAGGGCCAGGACAGCTTTGTCTTGGCCACACTGTGCCTATGGGCAAAAGTCGAGCCTCCCCGGGCTTCCGTCCTCTCTCGTGAACCAGATGCTGAGGGTGCCTCTTGCAGACCCCCCAGGAGGACCCAGTCAGTCCTGCAGCAAGCTCAGAGCTCAGCATCTGGCTCAGCCGGACAGAGGGACCCTGCCCCAACTCAGGCTGGGGGTGTGGGAGGTGCTCAGGCAGATTCCCTGTGCCCCGGCAGCAGTACCAGAATGGGGAGTCGGAGGAGAGCCACGCGCAGTTCCTGAAGGCCCTGCAGAACGCTGTAACCACCTTCGTCAACCGCATGAAGAGCAACCACGTGCGGGGCCGCAGCATCACCAACGACTCGGCCGTGCTGTCCCTCTTCCAGTCCATCAACACCATGCACCCCCAGCTGCTGGAGCTGCTCAACCAGCTGGATGAACGCAGGCGTACGTGCCACGCACACCCTCCCGGGTGTCCTTCCAGGGCCTCGGGGGCTCCCATCAGGGGCCTGCCACACCCACTAGGGGCAGTGGGTGCCTTCTGGGCCAGGAATCATTGCACCTGGGGTGGTGTGGTCAGGGCTGCCCCAAGGGACCTTGGGCTCTGCATGAGGGAGTCTCAGTGGCAGGTGTCCCACTGATCACAGTGAGCTGGAGGGAATGTATATGTGTGTGTACGTGTGCCCATACATGTGCATGCGTGTCCACCTGCCCTGGAGCCCCAATGCCAGCTGCACCCTGTAGACAGGCACTCAGCTGGGCCCTGCCATTTCCCAAGCCAGGCTGGGCAGCTCCTGTTCCAGCCAATGCCAAGGCCCCCCAGCTCTGCCCCCTCCCCACAGTGTACTACGAGGGACTGCAGGACAAGCTGGCGCAGATCCGTGACGCTCGGGGAGCGCTCAGCGCCCTGCGGGAGGAGCACCGGGAGAAGCTTCGCCGTGCAGCCGAGGAAGCCGAGCGCCAGCGCCAGATCCAGCTGGCCCAGAAGCTGGAGATCATGCGGCAGAAGAAGCAGGTGCGGTGGTGGCTGCCCGGCCCGGCCGTGGGGTGCTGGGGCCAGAGGCGGCCCTGACGCCTGCCTCATGATCCACAGGAGTACCTGGAGGTACAGCGGCAGCTGGCCATCCAGCGCCTGCAGGAGCAGGAGAAGGAGCGGCAGATGCGCCTGGAGCAGCAAAAGCAGACCATCCAGATGCGGGCCCAGATGCCAGCTTTCTCCCTGCCCTACGCCCAGGCATGTGCCCGCCACACACCCCAGTCCCTCGGGGCACCCTGGTGACAGAGAAGTGCCCTGAAAGCTGTCTCTCTGTTTCCAGCTCCAGGCTGTGCCTGCAGCGGGGGGCGTGCTGTACCAGCCCTCCGGCCCGGCGAGCTTCGCGGGCACCTTCAGCCCGGCTGGCTCGGTGGAGGGCTCGCCCATGCACACCATGTACATGAGTCAGCCGGCCCCGGCCGCCAGCGGCCCCTACCCCAGCATCCCAGCAGCCGCGGCAGGTAACGGAGTGGGTGGGGCGGGAGGGTGGGGGCCCAACAGCCAAGACGAACCCCAAATCACTACCCTTTCCTTTTTTTATTGTTATTTTGGTGTGATCTCAAACTTAGAAAACAGTCAGCAGAGCAGTACACAGCATTTTTCAGATTCACTCTTTCTCCCCCTACTCACCGTCTCTTCTGACCCAATTTAGGGGGAGTGGCGGGTGTGACACCCTTTACTACTAGAGGCTTCAGTGCATTTGCTAAACCAGGATGCTGCCCAGGGCCTGGGCACAGGTGCCAGACGAAGAGCCCTGAGGCCCTGGTGTGACCACATCCACGGCCCGCTTAGCATTCACACGATCCCAGGGCCTCATTTGTGCCAACAAGAAACCTGTCACCTGTTTAGCTGTCCTCCCTCTTAGAACGTTCCTTGGTCTTCCATGGGGTTCTGTGACACTGACTTCCCAAAGACCACTGGCCCCTCATCTTGCAGACCACCTCTCACTTGGGCTGTGACTGGTCTTTTGAGAGTGATGTTCTGTGGGTCCTTTCTTGTCTCTATTGATTTCACTTACTGTTCTTTTGTGAGAATATGAAACACAAACTTACTTCTGTTAGTCACAAGGGAAACTCAAACTCCGTCTCCTGCCCCATCCATCTTCAGAGGTCTGAGCTCTCTCCTCTTTGCCTGCAGATCCCAGCATGGTGAGCGCATACATGTACCCAGCAGGGGCGGCTGGTGCGCAGGCAGCTCCACAGGGCCCTGCAGGGCCCACCACCAGCCCAGCCTACTCATCATACCAGCCTACTCCCATGCAGGGCTATCAGGTAGGTGGGGAGGCCGCCCCTTCCCTACAAGGCCCCTGGGCCCAACTGTCTCCCATCGCCCTCTGTCCTCCACAGAACGTGGCCTCCCAGGCCCCACAGAGCCTCCCAGCCATCTCCCAGCCCCCGCAGTCTGGGACGATGGGCTACATGGGGAGCCAGTCAGTGTCCATGGGCTACCAGCCTTACAGCATGCAGGTGAGAGGCTGTCGGGGGGCCTCAGGTGGGAGGAGCAGGGCCCTTGAGGGTGGGAGCGTGCTGGGCAGGCGCCACGCTCTGCTCACCACCCCACGTCCCCTCCACTGCCTCTCCCTGCTGGTTGGCATTTATCTGGTTACAGAGCTGCTTTCTTAGCGTGGGGCTGTTTCATTGTCCACAGAATCTCATGCCGACCCTCCCCGGCCAAGATGCGCCTCTGCCGCCCCCACAGCAACCCTATATCTCAGGGCAGCAGCCTGTGTACCAACAGGTGAGCCTCTCCTGGGACCACCGTGGGTCATGACAGGGGACAGGCTTCACTGTGGACCCCCCTCTACAGTGGGGCTGCCCTGGGAAGTGTGGCCGGCGTGGGCCAGGGCTGCTGCTCTTCAGGCACCAGGACACACATGTAGCAATAACTGCTGGGTGTCAGAGCCATATGTTTACTTAAAAGCCCAAGGTCCCATCAGCTCAGCTCCAGAGACATGAATCTGGAATGCCTGGGGAGTGGAAGCCTATCTCTGCTGGGAACAGGGAGTCCATGATGAGTGGAGGGAGGGAGGAGTCAGGAGCGTGGGCTTGAGGGGCCTAAGTATGGGGACAGGCTGGTTTGTGGAGTGTTCTGGAGAGGAGCTGGTAGAGGATGGGGAGGCTGGGGCCTGGAGAGGGAGGACAGACCACCGGCCCGTGTGTCCCCCTGCAGATGGCGCCCTCCAGCGGCCCTCCTCAGCAGCAGCCCCCAGTCGCCCAGCAGCCCCCGGCACAGGGCCCGCCGGCACAGGGCAGCGAAGCCCAGCTCATCTCGTTTGACTGACCCTGGCTGGGAACGCCCCATCTAGAGTAACACTACGGTTCTCCATAACCGCTGCCTCCATCTCTAACTAGCGCGTCCTCCCGCCTCGCTCTCCCCCCTCCGCATGGGCGGGGTGGCCCTTCCCTCCAGCTGCCTCCATCTCCGTCCTTGCCTGCCAGCTCCTGGTCCCCCTCGGCCCCATCCTCCTCCCTGTCTCCTTGGGTTGGCGTCTGACTCCTTTCCCCAGGGCTGGGCCTCGGGGAGGAGGGTGGAAGGGAAGGACCTTCCCTGAGAGGAAGCCCCTAGCCCAGTATGTCGGGTTCTGTGAGGGCTGGCCAGAGTGGGGTCTCTGCCCCACACAGCTCATGCCCTCCCATCCGCACCCGGGAGTCCTTGGGGCCATGGTCTGTGACTAGCGTGAGTGCTCCCCAGAGTTCTCCAGCATGGCCCCCCAGGCTGTCAGCAGGGATGCTCCTGGCCCACAGAGGAAGGGTGGGGCCTGTCTCCAGCTTCTCTGCTTCTGAGCTGCCATCTTATCCAGTGCCCTGAGTAGACAGAATGTAACAGTGATAATAAAAATGTCTTTCAACAAGTATCAGGGTGTCTGCTCAGAGGGAAAGTGCTGGGCAGCTGGTTCAATTCTGGGTGGGTGTGTGGGTGCCTCGTCACAGGCCAGCTGCCCCTCGCCCCAGGCCTAGTTCCACAGGAGTCTCAACTGGTGCACGCTACTCAGCCTTGAGAGCGATTGTCTTCCTGAGACTGAGCAATGAGGACCTGTGCCCTCTCCACCCAACTGCCCTGACTCCTGGGAGAGACGTGCCGGGCCTGGGCTCTAGTCTGAGTCTGCACTGTCAGAATTGTAGCCTAGAAGAAAATGTCTATGACAACATGGACTCAGAGCCTCTCACATCCAGGGTTCAGTACATTTCATAAACAAGTGTGCAAACCTCTTGGGTGATTCCCCTTGTTAGCTCTTCTATGAAGGAATGCAGTATAGTTTAATGGGCTCAGAGCTCAGGGCAAAAGCAGGGCCAGGATCAGAGGTGCTGGGCAAAGGGAAGCACAGCTTTCTTTGACCTAAAGTCAGGACTGTTACCCCCGGTCAGATACCCCCTGTGGTATCTAGGACAGAAGAAGGGTGTGTCCCCTGCTGCATTTAAGGAGCAAAGGCCCTAGGACCCAAAGGGCTGGGGACACCCCATGTGCCAGATATTTGGGAGCTGAACTAAGAAGCAAGAGTGCAGAGGATTCGGGCAGCTGAAGACAAGAGTCCAGGCTTACAAATTCTCCCAAGGACCCCATCCTCGACCCTTTCCGGGCTCAGTCACAACCCTTAGCAGACGCTGCAAGCAGAGTTTCTAGCTCGCTGCGGGTCTGGTTCAGGTGGAGGGTGGCGGCTTCGCTACTGGGGCGGCCAGAACGGAAGGACCAAATCTGCTCCCGAGCTGGCCTGTAAGGCATCCGTTTAGATACAGGAGACAGAGGAGAAGGCGGCCCAGAGGGCCGGGGAGCTCCTCCCGCCAGGTGACCACCGGCCGCCGGGGCCCCGGAACGGACCTTAGGAGGAAGGGCACTGGGGATGCCCTGGCGTGCCCTGCGGCAGCGCAAATGTCATACGCCCGGACTCTGCTGCAGGTGTCACTATGCCGTTCAACAGAGTCAGGTCCCTGCCCGTCGTCCCTAGTGTATCGAGGGCCCAGTTCGCTTCCCCGACTCGAACGAACCCTGGCGCCGGGTCTCCCTTGGCTTTCTCTCGGCTTCATTCGCCCCTCAGCGGGAAGGGCCCAGATCAGCCGCCGTCTGGCCATCGCCCCCTCAATGAAGCTCTGCGCCTGCGCCGCCCGTTGTCTTTCGCATAATCTCGCGGAGCGAGAGGAGGCAAGTCGAGTTGAGGCTAGAGCGTCCTCCAGTTTGTATGCGCGGCTGTCCTGGAGGCTAGAGCGTATTGCCCAGCTCTATGCTCGGTAGTCCTGACGGCTAGAGTGTCCTCCCTAGCTCGTATGTCCGGTGGCCCCGGGGGCTAGAGCGTCCCGCCTACTAGGATCCGCGTGTGACCTTTTCTCCTGTGGAGCGATGCTGCCGTCGGCCACAAGCCTCCTACGGGGGCCGTGTCTCGGGCTTCGAGCTGCTGCGCTTCGCCTCGCCAGGTACTGCTGGCCGCTGAGGGCTGGTCAGGCTGGTAGGATGGGGCCCTTGGCTCGGCACTGATGGTGCACGTTGGGGCGGCGTCCGCGGGCGGGGGGCTTCCCCCGACTCGGTGAGTTCCTACGTGGGTGGTAGGCATGGGGCCCCCACTTAACGATCCCCTAACCTCACGGGCCGCCGACAGTTCTGGGGTGGCCCCGGATGACCTTGGACCGGTCCATGCTTTTCTCCGGGCCTCAGTTTCCCTGGCAGTACAGTGACGTGGTAGGACTCCCATGAGTTGATCTGGCGTTCTACCACCAGGGACCCCAGGTTCTGAAAGTTTGCGCGGCAAAATGCATTCAGGTAATTGCCTTACGTCCATGGGCTGGTAGAGTTCATCCAAACCGGAAACGTCGTGGGTAGCGTGTCTGCACACAGTTATGTGGGTTTCCAAGGCCCTTTGAAGAATATATAAAGTGGCTGGGAAATCCCTTTTGTAATCCACAAGGTCCCTGGAGTCTGAGAACCTGGGTTGGGACCAAGGAGCTAGCTCTTCTGAGCTCATGGCACCTACCTGCCTGGCCCATGTCACCCGGCTGTGCTAGGCTGACGACTCTGTTTTAATGGGGTTCAGGCTACAGGTACCTCACGTCTGCGCTGTGCGGCTTATGAGATGCAGCAGCCATCGAAGGGGGGAGGCCCTCACTGGTGCCCCCCTGGATAACGCCCCCAAGGAGTACCCCCCCAAGATCCAGCAGCTGGTCCAGGACATTGCCAGCCTCACGCTGCTGGAGATCTCTGACCTCAACGAGCTCCTGAAGGTATCAGTGCTCAGGCTGGGCAGGGAGCTCTGGGGCCCCTTGCTGGGATATTTGGGAGTTTCGTAAATTATCCAAAGTGTGCTCTATAAATGCAAGGACCTTGCCAGGCGTGTTCTTGAGCATGTCTGGGTATGACAACCAGCTCCTGAAACTACCCTTCTTTGTCCCTGCAGAAAACACTGAAGATCCAAGATGTTGGATTGATGCCGATGGGTGGCATGGTGCCTGGGGCTGCCCCTGCCCCAGCAGCCCCGGAGGTGAGCTCAGGCCGGGGCATAAAGAGGTGTTTCTCTGGTGTCCAGCTGATATCCTGTCCACCTCACATGGACAGATTTCTCTCCTCATCCCTTATCTTGGTCCTTCATCAACCAGGCACAGCCTGTAGGTCTGTGCGCTTTCTAGCTCTGGGCACCCCTGCAGCCTCGCTGGCACCTCCTCCCTGCCAAGACTGTGCAGGTTCCTGCCCATGTGAAGACCATGTTTATGGTGGAGGGGAACAGCCAAAGACGAGGAAACAAGAAAAAAAGAAATTGTATTAAACAGAAAGGGAAAAGAATAAGGAAGAAGCTCTTAAGGGAGGGAGAGGGTTACAGTTTCAAGAAAGGCTGCAAGGAAGGTGACTCTGAGGAAAGACTTGAGGAGCTAAGGATCAGAGTGAGGCAGAGGGATGGCAGGGCCATGGAAATCTTGGACTTATCCACAAGGAGAAATAACACAATTATTGATATATCCATGTCCCAGCCTCAGAAATCATAAAGGTTTTGCCACATTTGCTTCACCTGTTCTTTGAAGCTTGAGACATTTCTGGTCTCTTCTGCCTTGTGTGTTCCACCATCCATCTCTGAAAGCACCAGTGTTTCCTCACGTTACCAGGAGCTGTTTGCACAACAAATGCAATTAGCAGGGTTTCCTACCCTAGGCTTTTCAAGTTTTACTAATGGTTCCAGACTTTTTTTTAAATAGTTTTTTACGTATAAGTCTTAATTGAGGCATGCAGGATCTTTTCTGTTGTTGAGGCAGGAGGGCTTCGTTGCCCCAAGCCGTGCAGGATCTTAGTCCCCTGACCAGGAATCAAACCCTTGTCCTCAGCATTGGAAAGCGTATTCTTTAACCGCTGGACCACCAGGGAAGTTCCATTTCCAGACCCTTTTTTTTTTTCCATACTTTGTTTTTGGTTGCACGGGGTCTTCGTTGCTGCTGCAGACTTTTTCTAGTGGAGAGCGAGGGCTACTCTCTACTTGTGCACTGGATTCTCATTGCGGTCACTTCTCTTGGTGGAGTACAGGCTCTAGAGCGCAGGCTCAGTAGTTGTGGCACATGGACATAGTTATTACAGAGCATGTGGAATCTTCCCTGACCAGGGATCGAACCCATGTCTCCTGCATTGGCAGGCGGATTTTTATCCGCTGTAGCACCAGGAACGTCCCAGACTTTCTTTAAAGCAGTCAGTTTACTCAAATCCAAATGAGGTCTGTGTGTTGCATTTGGCTGTTGGGTTTCTCAAGTCTCTTAAATCTGGGTGGCTGCCCTCAACTCCCTTCCCCCAGCCATCACCTACTGAGGAAACCAGGTCAGGGGTCCTGTGGAGCGCCCCACATCCCACATGTGTCTGAGAGTGCTACCAGCCTCATCCACACTTCCTCCCCACACCATGACCTGGAATGTGACTATACAGGCTAAACAACTGGGGCAAGGAGAGGGAGAATTACTGTGTCACTTATCTAAACTGGAGTGCTTTTAAGGATAAAGGGGGTGCTGTTAATAATTAGGCAGCAGACCCAAAGTAGAACTGTTGGCCCATGCAGTCCCTGCCCTAGGGGTGCTGTAGTCTTCACCACTGGAGCTCTGTCATGCCTACTTGTTCCATTGTTGGTCACCTGGTGGAGCTGAAGCTGGTTGTAAATTTGTCATCAGTATGTAACCCTGGGCTTGGCTGACGACTATATCAGCACTGCTTTTCTATAGTGTTATTCTAGCTGCAAAGCACTTATGGTGTCATTTTTCCTTGTCTCAAAAGTTACAGTTTTTAAAGGATAAGGAGAGTAGAGTGCTGGGTGGTGGGGGCAGAAGGTAGTTTTAGAGCAGCATCTGGAGAGATGGATCAAGCAAGGAGGGCACCCAGTTTGGCAGCCCGAGCCCGCCCATCTCACTGTGGCCTCCTGGCAAAATCTCAGGCTTTGTCAGGCAGCGTGCCTGGGTCTTGCCTTTGGGTTACAGGACAGGGTGGCCTGGGAATGAATCTGCTTGCTTCACCCCGTCCTTTCTCACCTTGCCACCCACTTCCTACCTCCCTCCCCCAGGCAGCAGAAGAAGACGTCCCCAAACAAAAAGAACGAACACATTTTACTGTCCGCCTGACAGAGGCAAAGCCCGTGGACAAGGTGAAGCTGATCAAGGAGATCAAGAACTATGTCCAGGGCATCAACCTCGTCCAGGTGAGGTTCCGTGTACCACACAGCCCTCTCCCGCCAGCACTGACAGCTCTCAGACTGGCCCAGGTCCAGGTCGGGTTCTGACTTTACTCTCTGGCAGGCAAAGAAGCTGGTGGATTCCCTGCCTCAGGAAATCAAAGCCAACGTGGCCAAGGCCGAGGCCGAGAAGATCAAGGCAGCCCTGGAGGCAGTGGGCGGCACCGTGGTTCTGGAGTAAGCCGCCCAGGAGACTGTGGACAGGGTTCCCGGGCCCTGAGTGGGGCTCTGCCTGCTTTGCGCCCAGCACCCAGGCTCAGTGGATGGAGCAGCCTTGGAGCAGAACTGGGTATCTGTACCATGAGGCCAACTCCGTTCTGGGACAGACGGATGGACCTGCTGAGATGGGGAGGGAGGGGCAGCCGCTGACTGTGCAGCCCCAGGGAGAAGGACTCTAGAACCTACCAGGAGTGTACACACCCCCCGTGGCTGCTGGGAAAAATGCATTGTCCAGGCCCTGTGTGTGGAGTCGTGTGTGTCAGTTGGGCACCACATACAGCAGGCTGTCCTCTGAGATCCCAGCGCAGACTTGTCCTGCTAGTGGGGGTGGCAGCTCCTGCGTGGCTGGCACTAAATCTTCACCTGGGAGCTGGTGGGGGCGCCTTTGGAGCTCCTCGTCTTTAAGTATCGGTGGTCTTTAACAGCAAATACAGACCTGGGCTGGTGAGAGTGAGATGTGTACCATAGGTGGGGCGCAGAAGGCAGGAGGGTGTGCTTTGCAAGCCTACAGCAGTTGGGGGTGTTAACTGCTCCCTTAGAGGGGCTCAGGGAGCTTTGTTATAGAGCCAGGGGTTTGGTAAGAAGAGGTGACCTGGTGTCAGAGTGACGTTTACAGGTGGCAGTGACCACCCAAGCTTGCAGGCTCTTGCCTAGTGCCCTCTTTTTCCAAGAACCCTTGGCTTCCTTCTGGGGAAGTGTCATCACTGGCCCATGCCAGGAGGCCCCTGGGGCTGAGGGCAGGCAGCTAGGGTTAGGGCTTTTTGAGTATCCACTCTGAAGAGGCCCATAGTTCCTGTGACTCGTGGGGACCCACCCCCTCTGGCCTGGGTCTTCAGGTCCCACCTAGAGCCCCCTCCCTTGGTTTGTGGGACCAGAAGGGGACACTCGGACTGGGAGTGCTACCCTCTGGGTGAGATGGCTCAGGATAGGCCCAGGAGCTGCTAGGCTCCCAGATGGATGTGCCCAGCAACCCCCACACCACCTAGGGGTCCTCCACAAGAACGTGCTTCCAGCTGGCCATCATTGCAGGAAGAGTCCCAGGAAAGGGGAAGTGGCCCCCTGACTGGAGAGCCTCATTAGCCAAGCCTGGGGCCCATGAAGTTAACAATTGGCCGGCATCAGATCTCTGAGTGTGCCATCACTTAGCAGAGGGGCTAGCTAGCTACCTGGGGCTAAGTTTGGGCTGCTAATCTGCTGCCTTTTCCTAGGGGCAGGGAGTGGTCCAGGCTCAGGGATAGCCCTCAGCTCAGGTCTGTGGGGTCACAACCCACCTCCCGCCCTATGGGTGACCTTTAAAGGCCACTTATCCTCTGAGCTCCTTCATCTTTTTCCAGGGCAGCTAGGGTGATGACATGGGCTCCCTTCACCCCACCCGCCAAGGATGGGCCACTCTGTCCATGGTAGTATTGCTAAAAGCGTCTGTACCCGCGGGACCATCAAGCCCAACTCCTCCCACATTGCTTACAACAGACAGGATGCTGCCATGGTGCTCCCACCCGACCCCAAAGTCCTGTCTGAAAGCACTGAAGACCCTCGGCCTCCCATCCCAGGCCGCTTCCTGGCCCAGACCTCTGACCCTTCCAGCTCCCCCAACCTGCTCCAGCCTGTGGTGGCCCTAAGGTGTCGCAGACCTGGAGTTAGGTTGGGTGTGCCACTGGGGATCACCCTGGGTCCCTGGAGCCCACTCAGCCCTTAGGCCTGGTGTTGGGAGGTGGGCCTGCTGGGCATCCTGAGTTGCCCTGCTGGCACCCACGGAAGAACTTAGAAGATCCCTTCAGAGCCTGGTAGGAGTTGGCCTTTGTGCAGGCTCATGAGATGATCACAGAGGACACAGCAGTGGGAGAACCAGAGCTGGCCATGTGCTTCTCACCCCATAGACACCCCCCACCTCCTCCTCCCTGCCAATTCCAGGGACCCTGACATATGCCAGGCCACCCACATGGCTGCATCCTCCATGCCCGGAAACCAAGAGAAAGTGTGTAAATGCTGCAGCACAGACACCAGATCCCAAAACAGGCCTGGCTGCCAAGCCGTTGTCCAAAGTCCCCATCCCTTCAGATTTATGCACAAGTGTTTGGGATCCTTTTGAAAATTTGGGATTTTTTTTAGTTCCTTGACCTATAGTTTGCAAAATCCACCTTTTTCTAAAAAGAGTGCTCCACTCTTGGGGCATTCCTGTTTTTCCCAGGATTTCTCCCATACTTCCAACTGCATTTTCAGCACATCTCTACCCCTGGCCCCATCCCAGGCTCCTTGGCAATTCTGGGCTGGATATCTCTGCAGCCAGCTGTTCACCCTCCCGACTGATGACAGAGGGCAGAGGCGTCCTATGGTTCTAGAAGGCAGTTTCCTTAGTTTCCAGGAGGGCTCTTTAGGCAAATAGCAGGGTTTGCTCTGGCATCTTACCTCCGACAGAATCCCTATTTGCTTAGGCTGGGCTGGACTTGTTATTCCTGGTTCCTGGTGGGTCCAGGGACCAAGATTTGCTTCCCTGGTGCCCCTCACCCTTCTCCCTTGGGGTGGGGGCAGCAGTGGCTAAGCTGGGACAGCAGGACATGGGGCCTTTACTAGTGCAGAGGTCTCTGGCTCTGCCTCCCCTGAGATCCATGGGGCCCCGTCCAAAAGCGGCCCTGGGGACCCAGATTCCTCTGCCCCGCTGGCGCGCCTTCTGGCTAACAGCACACCTGCGCTTCTAGTTGATGGGAGGTGCGCGTCTCCTGCTCCGGCTAGGCCGGGAGTTTGTTGACTACCGCCTCCCAGGAGCCTGAGCCCTCACGCCCAGAATCCCCATCCTCAGGGTAGCTGTCTGGGGGCTGTCTGGTAAGAGCTGGCCAAAGGCTGGGCGTTCGGGAGGGGTGGGTGGGCGGGGCGGCTAGTCTCCGAATTGCCTGTAATCCGCAGGTTGGCCCCGTGGAGGTTTTCCGCTGCCCCTAGCAGCTGTACGTATCCGGGGCCTGCGCCGCGGGGGTGGGAAACCGGGACCGCGGCAGCGGCAGGGCGCTTTTGGGAGGCAGGCCTCTAGGATGGGTGGGGGCTGGCCGAGCGCCCAGACTACTCGGGCCTTGACCTTTGCAGACGTGACTTAGGCGCCGGGGCCGCCCCGTGGGCTGGCCGGCGCAGAATAGGGGGGGCCGCAGGTCCCTGAGAGGAGCGAAGAAGGTCCACCTAGCAGGCTTCCTGCGGTCCGGCCAGTTGGGGGTCCCACTAAGGGGGTCCGACTGAGCCGCCACCACTGGGGCGGCTCGGTGGAGCCCACCACGCTAGCGTACAGAGCCGCGGCCGCTTTAAGGCTCGGGACCCACCCTCGGACTTGGGGGCGGGGTCTGCGGGACCCCGCCCCTTAGCTCCCGCCCCCGGGCCGCGCGGGTGCATTGGTTGTCGGCGGCTAGGGCGGCCGGCGAACCTTTGAACGCGCGGCGGGCGGCTGCGAGGACCGGGCTGGGTCGGGCCGGGCCGGGCCGAGGAGGGTGCTGGAGCGGGGCCGGGCCGGCGTCTGGGTTTCACAGGCCGGGTTGGGGCCGGTACCTGCGCTCCTTGGCATCGGCGGCGGCGGCGGCGCCTGGGCCATGGCGGAGGAGGCGCGCGTGTCGCGCTGGTACTTCGGTGGGCTGGCGTCATGCGGGGCCGCCTGCTGCACGCACCCGCTGGACCTGCTCAAGGTGAGCATGTCGTGGGGAGGGCCTCGGGCTGGGCTGTCGCCCCCTCCCGGAGGCTCTGCGTGGAACGGGCGGCAGAGGTGCCCCTTGGCCCCCCGCTCTGCTACCTGTGTGACCTTGGCCTGGTCTCCCTCCCAGCTCTCCTGAGGGTGGTTCTCTGTGAGCGCAACTGTCGGCACCCCGGCAGGACCACGCGCTCCCTCTGCCTAGTGGGTGCCTACCAAACACACCGGTAGACGAAGGAGAGATGTGGCCGGCACCCCTGCTTTGGGCTGCTTCCTCGTGGGAGGTGGGTGAGCATCTGGAAGCCATGATCCCAGCCTGCGTGCAGGTCCTGCCCAGTGAGGGTAATTGTTTCTTCCATCGAGAAGCAATCACACTCTTTCTACATTTTTTTTTAATAAAATGCCTATGGGGCAGAATAAGACAGAGTTTCCTTTGTCTCTGAGACAGACCAGTTTTTTGCTCATTTCTCACCACAAACAACAAAAGAACGGCTAGAAACTCAAAGCATATTTTGGCAACTGGGCCCTGGGCCGTGGTCTTGCGGAGTCTGTTGGCAAGAGCGGTCACCTGACCATCCCCTTCCTTATTCTCACCCAGAGCAGCCTGAAACCCACGCTGCCCCCCTTGGAAGGATTGGCACCTGTGTCGTGGGCTGATCCAACTATCCCTCAAGCTTCAGCCTAGCCACCAGGAAAGGCAGGATTAGTAGACGTTGGGGGTGGGGCTGAAACTGGCAGCCCCTCCAGCATTCAGAGATCTGAGAGAGTCCTGTGTGGCTCCTGGTAGCCTCCAGGACCTGTGACGTGGCCTGGCCAAGCAGGGCCAGGTATTAAGGTGCTTTTAGTCTGTAGGAAGAGGAAACCTTTCTCATGCCTGCTTTGTTTTACTTTCTGGGTGCCCACGCAGGTCCCTGTGCCCTCCCCCCCTCCCCCATCACAGGCCCTGGAGGGTCAGACTGACTGTCTGCCCGGAGGTAGAAACAGCTTTCAAGGACTCTTGGAGCCTTCCCTGGCCCCAGGCCAGCCTTTTCCCTTGTCCAGAGCTCCTTTGGGCGTCACTGCCCCTTGCCCTAGCCCCAGGTGTTATTTTGCTGCAGCACACTTAGCGTGGGGGTGGGAGTCTGGGAGGTGGCTGGCCACAGGAATGTGGCCGCCCTCTGGCTCAGGGAGCACATGGCCTTGGGCTGGGCTGCAGCAGGCGGTGTGGGCAGCCATAGAGGCCTCCAGCAGAGGAGGCCCTGGCCAGAGTTTTTAATCTCTCGGCATTGTCTTTGGGAAAAAAAGTATCTTAAAGCTCCTGACCTCTGCCTTTGCCCCACGTCTTGGCTGCACCCTCACAGTGGCTTCTTGCTTGCACTGGGTGCTGCTGCTTGGCCACCCTGCCCCCAGGCCCCAGGCCCTAGGTTCCCGGCTCACCGCCAAGAGAGACTAATTCAGCAGAGTCAGTAACTTGCCCCATTGTGTCCAGTCAGGACGTGTAGGACCTGAGTGTGTGGTGCAAGAATGCACTCCGAAGTGCCCCTCCCCTTGGGTGCCCCACGGAGCCCCACCCACCTTTCCTGAGTCTCCCCTGTTTCCTGAGGACATCTCTCAGTCCCCTAATTCTGTCCCTCTCTGGAGGCTACCAAGTGGGGCTCTGGAGTCTCCCAGTGTCCTCATCTAAAGGACGGGGCTGATGACTCCGCCCCAGGGCAGCTGGAATTGCATCCCATATTGGCTGGCGTTGTCTTCTGTGAGGTGATGGCGTGGAACAGAGCTTGGTGCCAGACGCCCCAGCTGGTGCCCTAGGAGACCTCAGTTTCCTGTCTCAATACAGGTGCTGGTAGCACTTGTAGCAAAGGGCTTCAGAGCAGAGCTGGCCGGGGGCGGGCTCCAGGTGGGGTGCGGCTCTGAGCGGGTAGGACCCCTCCCCCACAGGTGCACCTGCAGACGCAGCAGGAGGTGAAGCTGCGCATGACGGGCATGGCGCTGCAGGTGGTGCGCTCTGACGGCATCCTGGCGCTCTACAACGGACTGAGCGCCTCCCTCTGCAGACAGGTACCTCTGGGGGGGCCCCATCTCCCAGGGTAGTGGGTGGGTGGGGGCTCATGGCCAGCAATCCCTTCGATCCCTTAGGTCTTGATCCCAGAGCCCACTCTCAGCCCACGGAGGCGGAGGGGTTGCTGGCCTCCCTCCTGCCCACCGTAGGTGCCCTTTGGGCCTGGAAGTTAGTCTCGCATTCTCAAGACTGCTTACAAGGACAGAACTACAAGGCCTAGGAGACCAGCAGCCCCCGGGGATGGCGCAGGGCATGGCTTCTGCCTTGCACAGAGTCAGCCCAGCTGGCACAGCTGGCCCAAGACCTCCACCTACAGGTGGGGAAAATGAGGCTTGCAGGGACGTGGTAGGGGATGAGGAGGGGTGGGGCCAGGTTTTTGAATTAGCTCAACTGCTTTGTGGCCTCTGGAAGGTTCCTGGGTGTCCCTGTGGCCCACATGGTGATGTTCGTGCACTGGAGGGCCAAGGATGTGGGGGGTGCCCAGCGCCATCCTTCCTTCTGCACCTTCTGAGCTGGACCCCTTCTCCCCAGATGACCTACTCCCTGACTCGGTTTGCCATCTACGAGACCGTGCGGGACCAGGTGACCAAGGGCAGTGAGGGCCCCTTGCCCTTCTACAAGAAGGTCTTGCTGGGCTCCATCAGCGGTAAGCAGCCGGGAGGGAGGGGGTGGTACAGGTGAGGCAGGAGGCATTGCCAGCGGTCACGTGTTGGCTGTTGTGCCAGGTTGCATCGGCGGCTTTGTGGGGACCCCTGCGGACATGGTCAACGTCAGGTCAGTGCGGCCCTGAGGCCAGGGTCTTGCTGTCCCCCGGCAGAGCCAGGTTGGCTCACGAGGGTCTCGGTGTGTTCAGCCTGGAACATGTCACTCAGATCTTGGGGTCTGGGGTGCTGGAGGGTGGTGCTGAGCCTGTGGTGGGGCAGCCCCGGGCGGGGCCAGCTATTCACTCCCGCTGGGGTCTGTGGAGTGTCTGGCCCTGCTCCCCTGACCTCTCTGCTTGTTTTCAGGATGCAGAATGACATGAAGCTGCCCCAGAATCAGCGCCGAAAGTGAGTCACATGGTGTGCCCAGGGGTTTGAGGGCCAGGGCTGAGAAGACCCCTGAGCAGCTCTGCAGGACCCAGTGGGGACTCCACGGGCCACCACATCTGTGGGGCCACGTGGAGCAATGGGGTGGCTGATGGATGTTGGAAACATACATTGTGAGCGTCTGTTCTGGAATCCCAAGGGGGCTTCCAGCATCTCTGGGTCCTACCCCTGTGGGAGGACCCAGGATTGGGGACCGGACTGGGCGGTGGGCAGGAGCTGGTCACTCTGCTCCCTGTTGCACCTGTACATGCTTCATGGAGGGTAAGTTAGAAGCTTAAGTGGTCTTCAGAAGGGTTTGGGAGCTGGGTGGTTATTTCTGTGATAAAAACATCATATTGTGAGAGATCTGAGACACCGTGGGTTCTGAGACCCTGTTTATGGACAGACTCTGTAGTTAAACCCTGGGCGCCAGCATCAGCCAGTTCAGGGAGGAGTGTGGCCTCAGGCGATCCCATTGTCCACTCTGGCCAGAACATAGGCCATGGGGAGGGCAGACTGAATGGGTTGGGAAGGGGACCCTGCAGGGCGTCCCATCCTCCTGCCCGTGGTAACAGCCTGCAGGCATGACCAGCCTCGGAGCTGGCAGCCCCCCAGCAAGGGGGTTTTCCTTTGGAACGCGGGGGATCTTTAGGCCCTGAGGTCCCCTGAGCAGTGAGACCTCTCTGAGCTCTCAGAAAAGGCTGATGTCCTCTGGCCCTGAGATGCTTTGGGTTCCTCCTGGCCTGTGATGGGGGTATGGCTGTTTGTGGGGAGGACCTTCCCGTGGGAGCCTGTGGTCAGGGATAGCATCACTTTCTGTCCCCCGGCAGCTATGCCCACGCCCTGGACGGCCTGTACCGTGTGGCCCGAGAAGGTAAGACAGGAGGTGGGGGCCTGGGGCAGCCTCCAGGCAGGACCCGGTAGTGGGCCTTAGGGGGAGGCTGGGATGGGGGGTGCTTCGGGCTGGGTACCCAACCTCTCCTCTTCCCCCGACAGAGGGTCTGAAGAAGCTGTTCTCAGGCGCAACCATGGCGTCCAGTCGAGGGATGTTGGTCACCGTGGGCCAGGTAGGACTTTGGCTTGGGGTGGCCCTCTCAGGCAGCACCTGGGGGTTGGGGGCCTGGAAGGCAGCGGGCACTAACACAGGTGTGGCTGCAGAGCCGGGCTCAGGCAGGTCTGGGCCTCATCTGTCCGCCCGGTGCGGCGCCCGTAGATGACCCACAGAGCAGGTACTTGGTCAGTCCAGCTGGTGTCGTTTCGGGCCCCATCTGCTTTCCCCTGAGCTGTCCCTCGTGTCCTGACCATCTCCATTTCGTAACAGCTGTCCTGCTATGACCAAGCCAAGCAGCTGGTCCTCAGCACGGGCTACTTGTCCGACAGCATCTTCACTCACTTTATCGCCAGCTTCATTGCGGTGAGTAGTGTGGGGTCCCTGACCAGCCTTGGCAGCTGGGGGCGCCTGGGCGGAGCAAGGGCTCAGAATGGTGGGAGGCTTTGGCGAGGTTGGTGGCTGCCCTTCTCAGGCTCTGCATTAGTGGGAGGAGCCCACGGATCCCCAGAGCCCAGGTTGGGAGTGTTCGTGTTGTCCCCATGGCCCTGGGGACACCTCCTGGGGGTCCAGATGGGCCTGCGGAGGGGAGGTAGGAGGTGCCTTCCTGGCAGACCCATTGATGACAGCTTGCCCTCCAGGGTGGATGTGCCACATTCCTGTGCCAGCCCCTGGATGTGCTGAAGACCCGGCTGATGAATGCCAAGGGCGAGTATCGGGTGAGTGGGGTCCCTGCCCTGCTGCTGCCAGGTGAGCCTGTGTCCCTGGGCCAGGGTACAGATGAGGCTGTGTCCCTCCCGCTTGCCATCAGGCCTGCAGCTGCCTGGGCCCCAAGTGTATTTTTAAGTCAGGTTTTTTGACATGGTGACAGAGGCAGCCTGGTCACAGCAGGGTGGCAGGTCCAGCACCTGGGGCCAAGCACCTGTCTGGGGCTCCCTCCATTACGCGGGGTATCTTCTGTGTCTATGGCAGCCACCCAAGAACCATGGGTGCCTGGCGGGTCAGCCTGGCCCTGGAGTGTTTTTAAATTCTAGTTCTGCCTAGCTAACAGGCCAGGGCAGCCCTTGACCTTTGTGCCCACCAGCCCTGCCCCCCGTGTTTACCTTTGAGCTTTCAGGCCTGCTGCTCTGCACACTTATACCCACATCAGTGTGACCAGCTACTGGCACTGGTGGTGGGGGAGGGGGCGTGAGGTTGTGGAGGTTCCTGCCTTTTGAGAAGCAGCTATTTTATTTCATTATTTGGCATTTGTTTGCAGGGTGTTCTGCACTGTGCCATGGAGACAGCGAAGCTGGGGCCACTGGCCTTTTACAAGGTTCGGGGTGAGGGGGCAGGGCAGGGGGGTGTAGGGCGGGGGGTGGGGTGTCCCTCTAGAGCTGTCTTCATGTTCCCCTCCTTTCTCCCGCAGGGCCTCGTGCCTGCTGGTATCCGCCTCATGCCCCACACCGTGCTCACGTTTGTGTTTCTGGAACAGCTTCGCAAGCACTTTGGCATCAAAGTGCCATCCTGATGTGGTGGTGGGAGCAGCTGGGTCACACCCAGCCCCCTGCACCAGTTTATTCCAGAGTCCCGGAGGGCTGGCAGCTGAGCACTGCCCTGAGCCCAGCACCTGCCCACTGTGCTCCGGCTGTCCCCTCTGGCCCAGGACCCCCACCCCGGCCTGCCTGGCCAGCCCGGTGACCATTGTCCCCACCCGAGCTGCTGGCTTCACCTCCATCTCCTGCTGTCGCCGCTGACTCTCCCTACTTGGTGTCCAGCGGCGCCCTGTGCACAATAGTGACTCCCTTGGAGGGCCTGGGCCCCAGGTTGGGTATTCTCTCCCCAGGTAGGCAGTTAATCTTGGAGCTGGGAGGGGTGGGGTGTCCAACCTTTTAGGGTCTGGGGTCTCCAGCCCCTGAAGTCTCTTCCTTTCACGAAGCCCAGGACCCCCAGCAGCTCCCACTGAGGAGCCGGGTAGCAGAGTAGGGGTGTGAACCCCCAGCACCACTCATCGAATGACGTGTGCACCTGCACTTTCATCCCAGGAGAGGGACCATAGCTTTCGTGATGTTCTTTGAGGTAGCTGTGCCCCACAGCTGCCAGGTCAGAGCAGAATGAGTACCCAGGAGGAAGGGCCTGCGTGTGACCCTTAGGCACCCTACCTACCCTTCCTGGTCCAGCCCACCCCCCACTGGCTTTAACAAGTGAAAGTGAAAGTTGCTCAGTCATGTCCAACTCTTTGCAACCCCGTGGACTCTCCAGTCCATGGAATTCTCCAGGCCAGAACACTGGAGTGGGTAACCCGTTCCCTTCGCCAGGGGATCTTCCCAACCCAGGGATCGAACCCAGGTCTCCCATATTGCAGGCGGATTCTTTACCAGCTGAGCCACCAGGGAAGCCCTGCTTTAACAATTAGTTTCACCAAAAGCTTTCAGCGCCAGAAGGTGGCTGCTGTCTTCGGGGAGTATTCTGTGACCCCTCCTGGCTCCCTGAGCAGGAGTGGCACGTTCCACGGGGGCTGACTGCACAGTGGTCACCTGCAAGGTCTCCGGTAGCTGGTCAGCCAAAATACCCAAAGCAGCCTGCAAATGAGGCTGAGGGCTGCATCTGTCGGTCTCCCCCAGTCAGGTGGGCACTGTGCCACTACCCCCCGCCCCCAGCAAGTGACCAGCAGTCCCACATTGCCCTGCAGGGATGTTAATAAAGGATGGTGAAGTGCTGAGTCTGGTTCTGCATCCAGGCCCCTAACTAGTCTGCCTCGCGGCCAGGGCCTATGAGATCCTCCTTTGCACCTTCCAAAGAGGGCTCTAGGGTTTATGGACGGGCAGGCCCAAAACAGGGGAGAAGTCACAGCTCTGACTGGATACACTGGGGTGGCCAGTGGGCAGAGGGCTGGGGGAAGAGCAGGGCATGGGGCTGGTTGAGGGACTAGTCAGTGTTGCAGTCCTGGATCCGGGTCACCGTGGATCCCCCACCCAGGGCTGCCCCTTCCCAGCAGGCAAAAGACAGAGTTCCCAGCAGGCACAAGACAGAGTTCCCAGCAGGCACCTGCCACTACAAGCCCCCCGAGACAATTCCTGTGGTGGGGGCAGGGGGCGGTGCTGCTGCCTGATCTCCCTGGAGGTGCCCCTTGAGTCAGAGCCCTGGCCTTTTAGATGCTGGCCTATCATCTAGCAAACCCAGATGGGACTGGCCAACCTAGGTTCTATGGGCTACAGGCCCCCAGGCTGGGGCAGGAGCTGGTGTGAACACCACCTGACCTTTTGCTGTCCCAGGACAGGTGGAAGCTACCCTGGAGCTCCTGCTGCCCCAGTCGGGAAAGGACAGATATGCCCCAGGCAGTTCAGAGTCAGTGCCTCTGACACCCTTGCCATGAAGCAAGGAGACTTGTGGAGCATTTCAAGCAGATAAAAAGAATTTTTAAGTCGTGGTTATGGTTGCATAGCTCTGTAACCTGAAAATGACTGTATTTCAACAAAGCTGTTACTTAAACAACACACCACCCACATGCCCACCCGAGCCTCAGCAGTGAGTTTTCACTGGGCCTGTGTTCTCCAAGCCCTACAGACCCTTTCCCACCACTGGATTATTTGGAAGCAAATTCCAGATGTCCTGTCATTTATAGATAAATACTTAACAAGCCTCCGAAAACAGTCTTTAAAAAATTCTAACATAACTGCAATAATAATTCACTGTACATAAAATGGCCTGTGTTACCATCATCAAATTTCCTGGGTTAGCATGTGCATGTCATTAAGTAGTTGGTTTTGTTTGAATCAAGTCCAGCTGAGATCTACTCACGTCTCTGGTGCACGTCCCCTCCTCGTCCTCTCTCTGCGAGATAAGCCGGGTCCTGGATCCAGTTGCTTCTCCCGTCCAATTTGGCCCCTTCCTCTGTGAATTTCCTAAAAGTGTCAGAGAGATCTGGATTAGAGTCACATTTTTGGGTGACGGTGCTGGGTGTGAAGTGTGGTTTCCACTGCAGTGTTTGGGCACGAAGCAGCCATGTGTCTGAGAGAACACATGGCTGGGGGCCAGGCTTCCTGAGCCCTGGGCAGGCAGGCAGGCAGGCGGGCATGGAGCACCCAGAGCCTCACAGAATGTCCAGTCTGGTGCCCCAGCACCCAGGCTGGAGTCTCACTGGGTGGTTGGAACCCAGAGCCCAGGAAGTAAAGCGGGAAGGGCGGGAGCACATGACTGTGGTCGTGGGCAGGCTGACGCTTCTCTCAGACCCCTGGCAATTTGAAAACAGCAAATCTCAGAAACGTTGCCCACACAGGGCCACATTCTCTGCCCTTAAAGCTGCTTTGATTTGAAGCATTGGGATCCTCTTTACTTGCCTGCAAGAGTGCCCAGGCAGCCTGGGAAGATGGCATTTCACCAGCCTCCTCCCAGCCAGTCAGCTTACGTGGCGCTTCCTGGACCAGTGTCAGGGGACGAAGGGCCCCATGTGGTTTGGGGAGGATACTGCAGAGCTGGGTGCAAAGGGTAGTGAAGGGATGCAGTGTTTACTGGTGGGCCGTGGGGGAGGGCTTCAGGCACCAGCCCTGTAGGGGCCCAGCGTCCTGGATGGGGGCACAGAGGGGGAAATCAAGGCAGGCCAGGGAAAGCAGGAAAATTGGGGCAAGTTAGGGATGAGGCCCTTCCCCAGGGAGTTCTCCACCTGTGTTGGCTCAGAACCAGTCTGAGAAGGTCAGCAAAATAGAGGAGCAGCCTCACCTGCAGGTCACCTGATTCAGGTAAGGAAGTAATGGATTTTCACACTGGCAGGGAAGCAAGCTCAGCATTTCATGATTCAGTCTCCACCTTTCTTCCTTAAAGACAATAGTTCACAAAAAGTTACACAGCAGGAGTCCACTGTCAAGAAGTTTGAGCAAGGGTGCCAAGACAAGGCAGTAGGGAAAGACGCCTTTTCGACAACTGGACATCCACACACAGAGTGAGCATGGGCCCTCCCACACACAGGCACACGTTTCTCAAAATGGACCACAGAGTTGAAACTGTAAAATGTGTAGAAATGAAGACCGTGTAAATGAGAACCAGCAAGGCTGTGTGCTTGGCTTGCTCTAGCAGAAAGGCAGCCCCCTCACTTGCATGTTGGCAGAGCCTTAAAGAGGGCAGAGGAGGGGGTGGCTTCATCATGAGAGGGGGGCTCAGGTGCACCCCAAGTGGGAGCTGTGGGCTTGAGGAAGCTGTGGGGGGCCAACTGGAGGTGCTGCAACCCCTGTGGTTCGTTAGGGGAGCATACTTGGCTTTCTCTGGTTGGTCCTGAGTTGGAAGCGGAGGCAGAAATTGGGGAAGCTGGCAATTATTGGCCAAGTTTGGGCCTATTGCTACAGGGGCTTAGAAACACTTGGCCACGAAGAAACTTGCACAGGAGCCTTCAGAGCAGCATTTTACTCTTACAACAAAAAGGTGGAAACGACCCAAATGGCCATCACCTGATGAGCAAATGTGATAAGTCAAATGTGGTATATTTGTATAATGCAATACTATTTGGCCATACAAGGGAGTGAAACACTGCCATACTACAACATAGATGAAACCTGAAAACACGCTGAGTGGAAGCAGTCAGTCACTAAAGACAATGTATTATGTGATTCCGGCTCCAGTCCATGGGGTCAGAGAGTCAGATTTGACTGAGCGACTATCACTTTCACTTTTTCATTTGTATGAAGGGTTTAGAATAGGCCAATCCAGAGACAGGAAGTATTGGGTTGGCAAAAAAGTTCATTCAGGTTTTCCTGCATGATCTTATGGGAAAACTAGAATGACCTTTCTGGCCAACCCAATAGATGAGTGGTTGCCAGAAGTCAGGATGGGGTAGGGTGAGGTGGGGTGGGGTGTAGTGGGGTGGGGAAATTGGGAGTGACTACAGACGGAGACAGATTTCTTTTTGGAGTTATGGAAATGTTTCAAATGTAGTAGTATAGGATGGTTGCACAATTCTATGAATAGTACTAAAAATCATTGACTTGTACACTTTATTTTTTTAAATATTTATTTAGTCGCACTGGGTCTTAATTTTGGCACGTTGGATCTAGTTCCCTGAACAGAGATCGAACCTGCCCACCCCTGCATTGGGAGCACGGAGTCTTAGCCACTGGACCACCAAGGAAGTCCCCTGAATTGTACACTTTTAATGGAGGGATTGTATGGTATGTGGTGACTAAAATTTTCTCTCCTTGACTAAACTCTAGCCAGGCTTGTCTCAAAGCCTGCTTCTGCATCAGGCCTGGAGAGACTCGGTTTCCGACAGCTCAAACTGCATACCTGGGGCAACCCCAGCCCCGCTTAGAGCACCCACCTGAGGCTGGACATCTCGGGCCTCTGTGAGAACACAGAGGATCACTTCGGACAAGTGTGTTAAGGAGCCAGATGGGGTCTCCCAGCCTCCTGCCTGCTTTATAACTGTCTGCTGCCTGACTCCATTGCCTGAGCTCTCAGCCCTCCCAATTCCCATATTTTCACTTTAAAACACCAGTTACCTCCGCACAAGTTGAAATGGAGTTCAGTTCACGCTGGAATTGT